TTCAGGATCCTTATACTGCCACCTGCTTAAGGCATGTACCGGTAGTTTTACACAGGGCTGAAAATATGGTACCACAGAAGAGGAATGTAGTTGTGTGTTTCAACTCAGGGATGATGTATTCAGGGATCAGTTTGTTTCTTTTAAGTCCTTTCATATTTTTTTCTTGTGTTTCACCCTTTCATTTGAATTCTTTAGCCTTCTTTAATGTGCATCCTCATCTCTTGGCCCCATATAACCTCGCCTTAACAACCAGTAACGCTGAATAATGTGATGGCTAAACCTGTTCATCACTCTGCTATTGTGTGCTGGAGATGGAAAACTACATGAAAAGGATTATAATACTAGAGGGGAGGGTCAGAGAGGTGAGGGCGAGAAAACAGGTATATGGAAAAAGGATGGAGGGTTGACAAAAACCAAAGCGAAAGAAGAAACACGCGGAGGACTGATGGATCAAGTATTAAGAATGGATCCATGATGAAACAAAACAAAAGAGGCAAAACACAACCGAGTTATAGATTCTGATATGATTTCAACAACACTCAATATCCCTGTTTGCAAAAATAAGGTTTTAGAAGCAATGTAGCACATTTCTAAAGACACACAGAGTCATTGAAGCCCAAACTTCCATGTGATATCAGTCGATTAATGGACGAGTTACCAACCCTGTGAGAAAGGACAGAAGTGGCACACCGGACTGAGAGAAAGGAAGCTGAGCCACCTGGTAAAGTTGATCCAGTTTAGAGGCAACTGCACACATTTGTAGCATACTTTCAAAAAGTACTCATCCTTTCTATCTGTCTTTAATGGAGAGAAACACATTGGAGGATGATAAATAACGTGTTAATCCAGCAAATACATCAAGGTGAAAAAAATATGTAGTTAGCAGTGCTTATAAAACAATGTCAGTCATACAATACAATACAAGAACAAATGAGGATTTCATTTAGATTTGAGTGAGACAAATCAAGAGGAATATAAATCAAGACAGATGTCCTAATTACTTTTTAATAAACCTGAAGATCCTGATAGTACTTAATGTTATTAACCTGAAATGAAACCAGTCATTGCATCTAATTTAAGACACACTTTACAGGTAACCCTTCAGTCATCATTTATTAAAGTCAATTTTCTAATTAGAAAGTTAATTTGATAAACTATCCGCAAACCTTGAACTTTTATACTGAAAAGTTATACTTTGACTTCTGTGTCACATGACCATCCCTCATCCTTATTCAGTTCTTCATTGTGAAACACAAAGAACTTTATCAGAACAAAATCACACCCTTTTTACTTTTTTTTCTTACCTTCTTGATCTTTTCAATCTGTGATTTTATTTTGTTGTTTTTAGTTTAAATTTGAAAAACAGCCAAAAGATCTGCCTCCTTGCTTCTTGTTCTTTCAATACCTTGAGAAAAATCAACAGCTTGAAAGTACACAAACCCTGAGTTGCTTTTGCACCACCATTAAGAAAAAATCTGTAGCATAGCTTGACAAAGTTTGATAGTGGTTTGCAAAACTTTGCACTTAGCATGACCCGATTTGATTAGGACTGTTTTATGGAAATAAATAAATAAAAATGTTCTGTTTAACCAATGCAAACTTTGTAATTAGTGTTGACCAAAGTAATGTTGTAATCTGCTAAGGCACTATACTCAATATTGAGAGGTGCATTGTTAAATAAAAATCCAATTAGCTCATGGATGTGTTAAAATTAAGCTTGCACTTCTGTCCAGTGTGACATGCATTTGCAAAATAAACTCATTAATTAATGAAAATGTATTGTAATGTAAAATGGACTTGAAAGTATAGTTGTCCTGCTTACATCAATAAAATAGAAAACCTGTTTACCGTATACATCCAGCAGACACAGTGCTACATAAGAAATATTTGTATAATATATGTTTTTGTCAGTTTACATGTATATTTAGAAGATGTTTATTGTAAGGCATATTTGTATATGTCTGTATTAAGCTGTTGATTCACAAATGTGGATCTTTTTCACCCATTTCCAAACTTAATTCATTTAGCTGTGTCATTTTAATCAGAGGTCTGTCACAAATTCTCTGTAGAAAACATGGGGTCACGTACTACTCAAGCAGATAATTAGATCTGCTTTGTATTTTCACTTTGTGAGAGTTTGAGATATTTCTCTCCTCAGGGTCTGCAAACACATCAAAGTGGCCATGAACTTGTTAGTACCTGGTTATTTATCTAGTGTCTACATAATATAATTATTTCCTTAACATTTTTTACCACAATCAATTTGAAAATTAGGTAAGTGAGGATCCTTTCTGACACCTCATGTATGTTAAAAAAATGTTTTTGTGAGAAGTGTATAATATTCAACTATTGTTTACTTGTGTAAACCAATAGCAAATGTGCACTGTATTCACCAAAAAGCAGTAAGTGGTGCATTTAAATACATGGACTTTGTGGGCAGATCATGAATATTAAGGCATTGTGGCAAGTTTTTGTATAAAAAGTTGATATTTCTGCTGCTTCGTCCATCCTGTGTTGCGCTTATACAAACTACCAGGTAGCTTTTATTGAAGGTTTCTCCCAAACTTGAAGGACAAAGACCTGCAGTGATAAAGGTCCAGCACAACTATTATGACTCACACACACTCACACACAAATGTCCAGAGAGGGACAAACAGAACTCAAAATTCTTCTCTGGCCCTTTTCCCTTCATAAATAAATGCCAAAGTGACTGCTCTTAATCCTCTTCACTAAGTACAAAAGAAAAGTACTTATTGGTGTTCAGGGAGCGTTTTAATGTCTGTTTTTTTTTTTTTTTTATCACCAGGGGTTCTCTAGAATGTCATTAAATGCTCTCTGTCAAGAGTTTCTCTTTTAAAGAGAAAAAAACAGTTTATATGAAGATGAAAAGAACACTGAAGCTAAAAGAAACCAAGTCATTGACCTTGTTGCTCAATGTTTAAGACTTGCAAACAAGGAAAACAGGCCAAATGCACAACATAAAGTGGATTAATTCCTATTTATTGAGTCTAGCTATGGTGAATCAAACCCGCATGTTGATTCAAGATTCATTTAAACTGGTTAATCTACCACTCCCAGCAAAGGCTGAAAACAAACAATTCTTTGTGGTAGACTAGCGTTGATGACAAACAGCCTGCTAACAATAGCTGCGTTTACATGGGCACAAAAAATCAGAATAAATGCCTGATTGAAATAAAAAAGCCTCATGTAAACATGTTGATCAGAAGATTCTGATTCAATTTGGTTCAATCGGAAAGAAATTGTATTCCGATTGTCAGGGGTGGTTTATGCCGATCATTATTCCGAAACGCGTCCATGTAAACATTTATTCCAATCATGAGTCTCTTACCCGACACTGTCTTCTCTCTTTAGCCTTTGGTTTATTTATTGAGACCAGTTTAGGAGGTTTCATTATTAACACTTTGGCATAAAACACAACCGCAGGTGCCTTGTCTGCTCCTGCGGTAAAATAACATGGCGTACATACAGCATGATGATGTCACATCTGCATGCACAGTACAACCTTTGACAGAACAGTAACATAAATATGCAAGGGCGCCATCTCGTGACAACATTTAACAGGACGAAACTCCTGAATTGGATGGAGTGAGCCCACTACCACATTTGTTGGTTTGTGTACAGCACATGCATGAATACAACTCCAAATGCCCCTAATCTGAATAAAACTTGGTGCATGTATACGCACGTCATGATCAGATTATTTGACTTTGCGCCCATATAAACAGTGGATTCAGATTATCCAAGCCCTCAAATTTTTAATCAGATCAGGAAATTTTGTAAACATGGCTACTGTTGATTGTAGTTCAGGGAGTTTCGTTTATTGTCTTGCAAGAGACACAAAAATATACACAAACCAAGAAAACCCCTGCAGCTGCTGGGGGCTGGCTGACCACCAAACTGAGGTCCAGAGCAAAATGAGGCAGCGAGGCACCAATCTGAAAAAATACAAAAGATCAGAACAGATGCAATGTTCAGAAAACCCAGGAAGAGCTTTCACCTGGAAAATCAGAAACTGGCACTACTGAACAAGACAGAATTATGTAGTACTCGTAAAGGCTGAGCTGGTCTTTATGGAGAGGTGAGTTGATTGGAGAGTGCCATCAGGTGTGCCCCGCTGCACTTAGCCAAAAAAGTAGGTCAGCATATAAATGGCCAGGATTCTTGGATATTACCAGTGGCCAGCAGAAATGTTAGTGTGCCCTGAACCCTACCACAAAGTCAGTAAAGCAGCCATCATGATCTCAGCGCTTCTGGTAAATTAAGGGCAATCAATGGTGAAGGACAGCCATGTGTGTCTTTCCATCACGTTGGTTATAATGCAATACAAGAACTTAATTCATAATCATAACCAGGCCTGTTCGAGTCTGGAATAGTGTGAGCACAGGCCAGAGAGGGACTGGTGTAGAGGTACTGTACTTTGACACAGTATGGGACAACTGGACACAGTGTGATTTCATTCCTTATCTATGTATAGGGTACATAAGACTTCTGCAGAGATGTTGGAGTCAATGATAGGGCATGATGAATAATTAATAACCAGATAAAGGCTTTACAATATGCTTTAGGCAGATTTCTACTCAATGACAGGTCAAAGTCTTGATACGTTTTAAGTTCAGACTGGTAAATTGAAATCAATAATGTCTGTGGAGAATCAGAACAAAGGAGTGAGAAATGTTATGCACATATCCCTGTATGTAAAAGACAGCAGTACAACAATCTGGCCTCTACCTGCTCAGTGAAATATGCATGACAAGTTTCATAAAGCAGAAAGATGAAGTGAATCTCTGGATGTTTGCGAATAAAGTCTGTTCATATTGTACCACTAGAGACACAAGGAGTACAGTGCCTTCTTCACAGCTACTCTTACTCATTCCTACACAATAAAAAAAGGTGGAATCCAAGGACTGAAGGCCTCCTTAATGGATTTAGTGAACTTAAAAAAAATGGGAATAAAAGTTAGAATGAAGAACACATCAAAGTTCAATTTCTTCTGCCTGAGCTGCTTTAATGAAATATGAAGGTGCTATGAATAAGGCACACCAGCCTTGCAACACTTGGCATAAATCTTCCACAGTGCACTCTATGGCCTGTTAAGCAATGAATTTAATATTGGAGCGATTCGACACAGAAGAGAAAAGAAGATGTTTCTTCTTTAGTGCAGCCATCAGTTCAAGTAGGAAGTTAGTTGAATCAAGTCTGTTAATACCCCTGATTGTCCTGTAAATTTTAGAGACAGGGTAAAGGGGCTGACGATTTTATGTGACAACAGGAATCTGTGATGGAAATTAACTGTCGTTCTTTGTCTTTCCTTATTCAAAGTGGCATATTCCTCTGGTACTCTCTGTCTGGCGCCTTTCCAGTCTGCCTCTTTGCTCATTTTACTTTATCAGGGGTGCTCAGGGAGGTATTTGCAGTCTCTATAATACAAGACAGTGAATAAACACCACTAGACAGCACTGAGCTAATCATTACAATTTTAAACATATTTAAAAACAGAGTTAGACCTGAAGGCAAAGCCGCAGGAGTCGTGATTGGGATAAAGTACAGGTTCCTGTGAGTGGGAGACCTGACAAGTATTACATCTGGGTCATTTAGGGACTGCGCTGAAGATATCAGAGGAGGTGTGGAGGGTGTTTTTGATGAGGTCGGGACATGTTGTATTTGCTCTTAATTTCATATTTCATATTTGGAGGATCAAAAGCAGGCATGAAGAACAAGCTTTACTGAGATTTACCTTGAAAAAGTATGGCTCAAGGGGACAATATTGTAGTGCAACAGCCCCCCGAGCAGTGTTGTCACACCATCTTGGCTGACTCATTTCTATGCCTATAAATGTTACAGGTGGCTAAAGGGGGCAAGGCAAGGAGATTATGATCTACATGTAAGCTGTGTCCCAGGTCAGGGACACACAGCCTACATGGCATCCTTTGAAGGACCCTGCCCACAGAGGACCAAGCCTTCACAGACCACTAAAGCTGAACTAAAATGAGACAGTCTGGTCCGCAGAGGATTACTTCACCGGCTGTTTCCACCCTTAACCTCTCATTAGTGAGTGCCGCTCCTGTCACTTCGCAACCAGAAAAGCTGCAACTGAACTAGCTATACATCTCACCACATACAACCAATTATTCCAACTAGAATAACTTGAAGTTTTACAGCTGGCTAGTTGAAACCGTAGACTGAAAGCACGATGGAAAACTTGGTTCCGCCTTCCATCAGTATACGGATTTGAAGCTGAAAAGCTCTCTGTATTTCCGGGTTTTTTCTCTACTTCCTGAAACCAGCATTGTGCAGTAGCATTGTACGCATTCGGCAGGAGAGTTGCCAAGAGTCGCTTTGATGACGCTCGACTCAAACAGAGTATCCCCGGGTGAGCTATGCAATCTTCATACACCCATAGGCTGTATCAAGTGTCAATCATGAAACACAGAAAAAAAGAGGACTTGAGTACAAACCAGTTTCATAATAACTACATGTCAGCATCACAAGCAGGGGGCAGAAAAATATATATTCAGTGTAATAAATGTCTAAAGTTTGTCCACAGCTCCATAGGGATTGCTAGAGGAGGTGGGATTTATGACCTATACTGCAGCCCGTCACCAGAGGGTGCTGTTCTCTGAGGCAGACGCTGTTCATTCATTTGAAACCAATACATTTACATTGACATTATATTTAAAAGTAGATCTCTTTCACTATGGCACTATGACACAGATAAGTTGGACACAAAGAACATTTACTGTCACATCATCTTGGATGCAGACCCTGTATGCAAAATTCAACATACTAAAGAAACCTTGTTCCGACACATTTTAAAATGTATTTTGTCACCTCTTCCTGCTAATAATGTGGTAGCAAAAATGGTAGTACTTGATATCATTTGTAAACAAATCAGAGAATTTTAATATTACTCTCAATTCATTTGGAGAGCACAAAACTCTTGATTCAGGGCTAATGGCTGACCGGTCATCAGCAGAGAAAAGAAAACACGGAGGATAAAGCTGTGTACAAACTAGAAGGGAAGGAGCTGAGTGATAGAGACATCTACAAAATTGAAGAAAACAATGAGCAACCGCAAACCCACAGCACAGTATGGGCATTGGCTGAACAAACATAAATGAATAAATAAACGTATCCAAAAAGCAGCAGCAAAGAGGACCTGCATTCATTTTCTACATCTGTTAAGACTGCAAACAGAAAATCACTAATGTTTTGACTTTAAAAAGCGTTTTGGATGTGCTTTATGACAGTAAAGAGGGCTTATGTTGAAGTTTTAACAAGAATGGGAAAGTGAAGTTGAACAGAATAATGTTGCCATGGAAACCAACCATCAAATCTGAGAGAATATTTTTCCAGCTGCATACATTTTTTAGTTAAACTCAAGAAAATCATCTTGAAATCAATTTAGGGTTGTTTGTATCTTAAGTAGACGAGTGGGCATGGGCGGGATGTTTACAGTGCACAATAGAAAACCCTTGAGGCTGGACCAGACCCCTTTGTTTTCTGTTGGGTCTTGCTTCACCTTGTGGAGTCTCCACCTGGAATAAATACCCACTCCCAGACATATCCTCCTGATTTCCAATCACAAGCTTTGATTGATGATTATATCATTGTTAATGACAAATTCACCTTAGTATCTATGTCAGTGATTTTCTTACATCCTCTTTTTGGAGGTTATGTATAGTAAACCACTTGACCCAGAACAGATATTTTTTCAGTGATACTTAGAGTCCCCTTTGGGACTGTTTTAACCCCCCCAAGCTTTAAACAGCATCTCGAAATGTTCTATGGTGGTTGATTCTTTATGTGACCTTTTCTGCTGTTTTTGTCTTTTCCCGAACCAAATCCAGCTGAGCGGCAGCTCACTTCAGAGTAGCTTACAGAAAAACCGAAGACCCCTGCTCTTTACACACATTATTCCTCATCTGGTTCTACACACCGCAGGGCCAGAAAAAGCTTATGTAGGAGGAGGAGGAACCATATTACGGAATAAAGAGGTTAAAGTGGAATTAGAATTCAGCTGTTCTGCAGGATATTTTTTAATTAATTAAACATCTTTTGAAAACGCTTGAACCACAGCGGCCCAATTAGAGGAAATTCTGGGGATTCACAGGTGTTTAATTCATACGGCAGCTCGTGTTTAAGCTCATCAGTTGAAACCGACAGACACAAGGTGTATGCTGGCTTAGATATAGGAATCTGTTTAGCCTACACATGCTGTGCACTCCCACACACTAATCTTAGACTAACAGGCTGGATCCACAATCCCCTCACACAGCCATCAGTATCTCCTGTGCTCACTGCAGATTCAGCAACATATGTATTTTTCAAATGCTCTTCATAGATAACTTATCCCCTTATTTGGTTCAAACATCAAAAAGAAAAGATACCATCTAGAACAGACGCACTGCTTTCATTTGAATTCTCTTTATCACACACGCACGCACGCACACACACACACACACACATCGGGAACATTTAGCCTGCACTCGATTTTACATCATCTGAAAATAAGATTAAAATGTTATCAGTTTTACCACCTGCGCAGCGCGGCTCCACTCTCACTGTAGATACAACAAATCAAGCATAATCCTGAACTAGAAATATGTTCTGCACACACAGACATACACACACACACATACACACATGCACTTGGGCTTAAAGATTAACTAAAATAAGTGTTTGACCATTAATTGCCACCCTTATGGAGTTTTATCACTAATCTATTTCATCATAACATTTGGAGCCAAACAAGTGAATTTATTTCATCTAAAAGCTCTCCTGGGATAATTAGACAGTTTGGTGAAAGGCTGACACCAAGTGGTCATAAGAGGTAGTTTAGAGTGATTGTAAAAGTTATGAGGAAAAGGAAAACTTGAACTTCTTGATAAACTAAGAAAGAACAGACATACAGTACATACTGTAATAAAAGCATAAATAGGAATGAAATGCATATTAAAAGGTACAGAGCGTGTCATTTGGTGGTACCTTTAAAAACATAAGACTGCCAAATCAGAAAAATAGATGCAACATCCAATAAAATTCTTGAACTACATCTAAATAACCAATAAATACTTGTGTAAATTATATTTATACTAAGTCAGTTACTCTAAGCTCTTACTTTACAACATAGGATCTTATTTTGTGGTTATTATGTCAATAACTTGTGTTATATTTTAATAGTTTTAATCAAGTTTGTTTGTAATCTTTATCTTTCCAGAGCTTCAATGTTTCACTCCTATTTCTATAACCATCCATTCTCAATCTGGGAGATCTTTAGTGCTCACACTGATATGCATTTAACATATGCTATTTTTTTGAGTAATCACAGAATAAATAGTAATTTATTGACCGAAAGAGACAACAGACATTTCTCTGTGCATAATAAAGTTTACAGCACACATTTTTAACCTTTAAAGAGGGGGTATTATGCATTTTTTTCATACTTCCTTTCTGTTTCCTTTTTCATAGCTTTTCATGATTTTTATATTAAAAACGCCTCAAATTTCTTACTCTGGTGATTGGCCACTTCTCTGGAAGCTTTCCAGAGGCCAGTCGAGGGCAGAGCTCGATGCTCTGGCCCACCCCCTCTATTGTGGTCAATCAGTCGCTCCACTGTAGGTGTCTCCCATAGACTGTATGTAGAATAACCAGCGTCTGCCTCCTCGCTGGGTGAAGCCACCGTGAGAACAGCACCCTCTGGTGACGGGCAGCAGTATAGGTCACAAATCCCGCCTCCTCCAGCAATCCCTATGGAGTTGTGGACAAACTTTAAAAATTAGTTACACAGACTATAAATTTTTCTGCCCCCTGCTTGCGATGTTGACATGTAGTTACTGTAAGACTGATTTGTGCTCAAGTCCTCTTTTTTCTGTGCAGCTCCATTTTTTAAAGTTATTAGAGAGTTTATGTTTTCTATGATTGACACTTGATACAGCCTATGGGTGTACGAAGATTGCGTAGCTCACCCGGGGGATACGCTGTTTGAGCCGAGCGTCATCACAATGCTCCTGCACAAGTGGTGAAGTGAGTACAATGCTACTGCGCAATATTGGTTTCAGAAAATGGAGAAAAAACGCGGACTTACCGAGAGCTTTTCCGCTTCAAATCCGTATACTGACGGAAGGCGGAACCAAGTTGTCCATAGTGTATACAGTCTATGGTGACTCCTCACACGCTGTTGGAGGCAGGCAATACGGCTTTGCCAGAAACACAGATGAACTGGTGATAAGAGACTGTAACGCTGAAGCAGGCGTTTCAGTGAGTCTCCGGTTTCGAGCAGCTTACATGTATTTTCTAAGATTATGACAACATACGTTTACCTCCTGATTTGAAACCTAACATACATTTAGTATGAATACCAAATATTGTAACTTTGCAGTTCAGGTGTGAATGTTGAAAAGCATAATACCACCCCTTTAATAAACCTTCAACATCAAAGTAAGTTATGATATGAATCTGTCCAGGATGCACAGATGGTTAGGTTAACAACTTCAGATAGTCACACATTTTTTGTGTATCACACTGCACATACAGTTCTTTAGTATCCTAGAAAACAACCATGCCAATCTTGGCTTTTCCTTACTAATTATCCTTCATCATACGTCCAGGTGGATCCTTTGATGGCGTTTAAGGTTACATTTCTGAGTGAAGCGTTTCCCACAAGACAAGCAGCAGTACGGTCTCTCTCCTGTGTGAACGCGACGGTGGGCTTTGAGGTTGCTCAGTTTGGTAAAGCTGCGACCACAGAGGGAGCAGCAGAAAGGCCGCTCGCCTGTGTGGGTCTGCAAGTGAGCCTTCAGGTTGCTGGGGTGAGGAAAGCATTTCCCACACTGACCACAGCGCTGGAGCTGCCTGGAGCCAACAAGAGGGAGAGAGTTAGGGAGGGGTAAGGGGCTGGTGTGAGGCGAGTTTGTGGACTGATGATGGGTTTTGATGCCGACCCATGGAGCACTAGTTCGGTTCTGTACAGCTTGTTTGTTGCCCAGGTGGACTTGGAGTGAGAGTGGAGGAGGAGCAGCTTTAGATGTGGAGGGAATTCTGTTGATGGAGTTTAAGTTTACAGCCTGAGAGTGAGCTAAAGAGGTTGCTGCAGTGGTGCTGTTTGAGAGTGCGTGAGGGGGCTTTTTGGTTGGTCTGTGGAGATGCTGTAAAGCAGCTTGCAGTTTTAGACCTGTACCCCCTTTGGAATGAAGCCTCATGACCTCCTGGACTTTGGCTCTATGGGAGGTGCGGTTCTGCCCAAGTGCTTCTGGACCTCCCCTTTGGTGTTTGACAAGAGATGAAAAAGGTGGCGATGGTTTTTCCTTTACCTTGGTTTCCACACACTCATCAAAGTCAACAATAACCTCCTGCTTGATAGTTACTCCCAACACCTCACTGTTTTGGAGTCTTCTGTCAGAGGTTGCTGAGGATGAAATCTGGTCTATACCTGGTGAAATGAGAACATGAATATCTAGATCAGACGGATCATGTTCTGTTCCTGTTGAAGATCTTGTAGTTTGGCCTCGATTACAGTCTCTTTCTGCTGCGTGTTTTTGATTCGGCACCAATCCAGCAGTTTTGGCGGTCAGACCAGCCCAACCACTGTCCACCTCCATAGCTGGATCTGTGCCCATGTGTGTTTCATCTTGCTCATCAGGGGAAACAAAAACAGTAGAGACCTGCCGGTCGTGCTTGATGTCATTTCTCAGTAGTTCCTCGCTGTTTTTCGAAGTGTGTCTCAGTTGTGCCTCAATTTTCTCACTAGCGCTGTTGGATTCAAGCCCAGCTTGACCTGGAACGGTAACAAAGAGAATTTATGTCTCGCACATATCAAGAAATAAGATGTTAGTTCACTCAGCTCATTGTTCTAGTTTCATCTAAACATTATCCTGCAAGTGCATTTGCCATCTGTGATTTGTTCTGTTTTATCGGCTTGTAAAACTAATTTTAGAGTCTGACATTTTTTTCTATGCTGCATCTCAGTGTAAACAATGTTACTCTCTTCAATCTCAAAGGGAACAAAAAAACATTCTCCAATCTACTGTTAAAGACAGATAAACTTGAAAAACAGAAGTTCAAACTAGTCTAACCTCTGGTAATCTGATTTTGTAAACTTAAGTCATGTCCACAAGAAAAGTCTTTCAATGTGGAAGCTTTTCTTTCAGATTTTTTCAAGCAAAAAGTTAAGAATCAGCAGCGATAAGAAGATGTTGGCCTTTCCACAGGCCACAGCTTTAAACAAGTTGTTTTGCTGGCAGTAGTACCATCTAGACCAGGGATGGGCAATTCATTTTCACATGGGGCCACATGAGAAACCTTACCTGTGTTACCACTTATAATTGGTACCACAGTATAAAACAATGTTATTGATCAACTTTTCCTTTCATAATCTGTGGGCCTAGTGTCAGATTTGGTGGGTGAAGGTTGAACCAAGCCTGGTTAAGACAGAAAAGTTTTGTTTTGTTAGGGGGAAGTGGACTTACAGTCACAAGTACTTAAAGAGATTACTGTTTATTTGGAATTATACACACCAGCCGGCCATAACATTATGAGACCTAAGCGGTCTGAATCCAAACACAACATCTCTATCATCACAGCTGAAATGATCATATGTGCATGAGGTGTTTATTGACTGTAAATCAGTCATTAAAGTTGTAGAGGGTGTTGGTGGTGAACTGTTGTGCATTACCATGAAAGTTGTTTCTCATATTTTGCGCTCTTCATGTTTATTGTTAAAATGGAAAATATGAGCGGTTTTCAACATAACACACTCCAGTCAACACTACAACCCACCACATTTTCAACAACACTTAAACAATTTGATAAATATCTGTCTGATCCTGTCAACAAAAGCTGAAAATTAGGAAGCTTCATGAAAGTAGACTTTCTGTAGACCTGATGTGTTGGGTTACATCAGATTTTTTAATTTTATTTGTTTAAAAAGCGTCTCGGGATAATGACTGTTGGCGCTACATAAATAAAATCTGACTGATTGATTGATAGTGCTCACAATGTTATGGCTGGCTGGTGTTTATGTGTTAAAAATCACACCACAAAGATGTGGTTTCATTGATTGTATTTTTTCATATTTCAATAAATTCTAGAGAAAGAAGACATAAAATTAGAATTAGTACTACCAGTATCTCACTTTTTTCTCTTAGGATGTTTAGTATATTTAGTCTGAATTTATTGTATATATTTAGTGTATTTAGTCTGAATTTATTGTATATATTTAGTGTATTTAGTCTGTATTGTACATACTTCTTATATTTAATTTTATTTTGTGTTTTTATTGGTGCTGTAACATGGGAATTTCCCAGTTTGGGATTAATAAAGTCTGTCTGTCTGTCTATCTATCAAAGGCAATGGAAACTTTTTTTTTTTTAAATAGCATGCAGCACTAAGACATGAAAAGGACGGACTCAGAACTTGGGACTTTGTGACGCAGCACTATATCCACCTTCATTTGTGCCACCCCATCCTCCTAAATCCACAGAAGAACACAATGGCTTGTTCACGTCTTCTTCTTCCTTTAGATCCACCACTGGCAGCACATTTTCTTCCTCTGTTGTCTAAACGGCACAGAAACACAACAAAGAAGGATGCAGTGTGAAAATAAAGTGTGCACTTCACCTTCTTTCAGTGTTTTATTTTGAAGCTGGAAAGCGAACAGCCTCTCAGAACAAGACTGCCTGGACATGAGTGACTGCACAGTGACTGAACTTTGACAGAGTCTTGTGACCAACCTGTGATTCAATACTGTGAGCCGCTCTTGGATTTTCTGCTGCCTTGTTTCCTTCTGGTATGACTTCCTGTTGGACACTTATTGTCCAACTTTCCACAGAGTCAGCTTCTTTTTTCACACCACAGCCGCCAACTAAAATTGAATGAACAGGTTTTTTAAAAAAGAGAGAAACACAGAGTTGCTTTAAAACCAGTTTAAACTTCAACCAGCCCTCACCATCATGTTGCTCTTCCTCTGTGGTGTCACAGGACAGAGTCGCACCATCCTCGGTACTGTCGACAAGCTTGGCGTTTTTTCCTCCAGCTTTCCCCCCGTGGTCTCTAAATTTCCTCTCAACCCACTGTAGCTGCATCTTCAGGGTCTCCACCTCCTGGTTTCTGCGTTTGACCTCCTCTAACAGACCGTCCTCTACTAACCTCGTCACCTCAAACATGGCTGTTTTAACCACAGTCTCCATCACGTCTGAGAGCTGGGTCTGAAAAGTCACCATCAGGGTGTCCAGGTCCGACATTTTGACGGTCGGGGTCTCGAGTCTAGTAAATAATAAACACGAGGAAGCTCCCCGAGCTCGTCGAAACCAAACTGAAGGAATCAAACTCTCAGCTAAGGCGATTTAGATTGATCAACATTTTCAAGTGTGACTATAAAACAACAGAAAATCAAATCAAATGGGTTTGATTTTACACGTACTGAGTAGTAACAGGAACTACGGTAGAAATCGTAATATTATAGCGGACTATCTTTTCTTTTATGTCAGTCTGAAGGGTGAAACAAACAGCTTTAGAGACCCCTCAGTGTAAGAGCAGCTTAGCATTCACATGCTAACTATCGTTGGTGAAGACAAACTTAACCCAATACGCAGTATAAACCATCGTCGAGTCTGCAGAGTTGAACTATACACCCGTTATTTACTAAATCCTCATCAAAAATACCGTTTTGCTAAGCTATTACACGTGCACTCATCCTCTCAATGAGCTAGCTTCACAACAGACGCCTGTAATCCTTGTTTTTACTCCTGACGTCATCCACCACTTAGTACGGTGGCCCGACATGAAAATGGTGAATTTCAAAACGCGTTTTAGAAAAGTGAAACCCATTGGATGCTCCTGACTCCCAGCCATAGACTGTATATAGAATGGACAGCGTCTGCCTCCTCTTTATCCTTAACAGCTCCGTTTTTTAAAGTTATTAAGGGGTTAATGTTCTTTGACTTTGATTGACACCTAAAACAGCCTATTGGCGTTCAGGGATTGCGTTGCTCACCCGCTGTTTGAGCCGAGCGTCATCACAACGACTCTGCAGCCGAAAGCGCACATCGCTACTGCGCAGCGCTGGTTTCAGGAAATGAAGAAAAATTCCGGAAATTTCGAGAGCGTTTTGGCTTCAAATCCATATACAGGCGGGAGGCGGAACTAAGTTGTCCATAGTTTATACAGTTTATGCTCACAGCAGTCAGTTCTAATTGGGTAATTAATTTCCAGCGACAAATTACAGCTTGTTCAGAAAACATGACATCAGGTGATTAACTTCGCCTGCAATGATGTCTCTACAATAGACAACAAAACTTGATTAATGTTTCACCAGTTTAAGACAGATTATACATATTTAATGACTTGGCAAGCAGCTGGACTGTTTCATCATTCCAATTAAGGATGATAAACTAATGTGATGAAAAGTGTGCCCCTGAATTTTTGTATGAATCTTCTCAGATGGAGATGCTAACTTTGCACTTAGATGGATATTAATGAATTCTAATAACAGACACAATGACTGACACAATAGGTGTACTTATTATATTTCCAATTGACAAGTAACAACTGCCATTGTTTCACATACAGATTGTAGGTAAGGTATTTTTTATTCAGTGATCATAGTTATGTGGCTAACAGTGACTTGTGCTCACATTCACTTGCATGGCCTTTACCTGTATTTAGAATTAAACAGTTTCGTAGTAATGACACTAAAAAGATCTCAACGGTAGACCAGTGTTTTTTAATTATTTTTATTATTTGTGGTAATAGTAGTAGTTATAGTAGTAATTATTATTATAACTAGTATTGTTATTAGTTTTATATTTAGCTTTTAAATCTATAGTATGTAACTTCTATCGCCCCTTAGAGGATTTCTGCAATATTATTGCGATACGGCCGGCACCTCAAAATGATGTATTGCCCGGTGGCTTAACCCATACACGGACTAGCACTTGCGACACACCGCATACTGCTCGTCACGTTACACGTAGTAACACTCACGACTCATCGCATACTGCTTGACAGGGTACATGGGCTCTAACTGTCTACACAAAGTGGAGGATACTAAAGTTACTCGTCACAGCACACAGACTCTTCGCAGTAAGTTACACACAGCAATACAGGCTACACACCTTTTAACTTCCTGCTCGATAGGCTAACATTACACAATGTGGCAAACACCAGGCTGCTAACAATACATTACATTTATAGCACCAATTCCAAGAAAATAATAAAGTACTCCATCCAGTACATGTAACAACAACACATTCTGCTTGTAATGAACAGAGTCACATACTTACCCAACAGTATCAAGGCAACATGTTGGTGTTGGACCTCAGTCCAGCCTCCTCCTTCAGGGTTCTCCATTGAGGAAAAGCAATGCCATTGCAAATCTTGAAGACTCCAAAATCAGGCAACTGGACTGTGTAGACTTGAGAAGACATTTCACCTCTTATCCGAGAAGCTTGAAGAAGCTTCTTGGATAAGAGGCGAAACGTCTTGAAGCTTGAAGAAGCTGAGATCCCTTGGACCCCCATTCTCACTATATTGGCTGGACTCCATTCCATTAATCTTTTGGAAATTAAATTAAAATGCCAAGACCCAAGAGTATCAAAGAGAAACCAAAGGATTGTCACTCAAAGAACTGTTTTTGTTTTCTCAAAAACTTGCAAATCAACAGCTCTGTCCGACTTTCACATGTAACCTTGTTCTGTCCGGCTGACCAAAACAGTTAAAGCACAGCCTCTTCCTTCTTTACAGTAAATTTTAAAACATAAAATACTATTCTAACAGTAGTGACTGTTTGGTGTCACTTATTTGGGCGGTTTTATAAAAAGTATTCTTTATAAAGTCTTTTGACCTTCCTCTGAAACTTGATTTTAAGTTTGCTGCTCAAAAACACTGTAGTCTTTAACTCAAATGGCAGATATGTTCACCATGCCAGTACTCATAAATTGTAAATTGTTCTTTTAATTTTTTTTTTTTTTTTTTGCACAATGTTTATAATCCAACATGACAAACACTTTTGTCCAGTATTTATTAGACAAACAAAAAATGTAGCTTACAACCAAAGAGCTCCTTTTTGCAGACAAAGAAAGTTAAGGGGGGTGAATACAAAACTTTGGGTTGTTTGGATGTTGAAATAGCAGTATGTATGATTACATTTTGGGCAAATCTGTTCCAAATAAACAAAACAAAAGCTTTACAGATCTGTGATGTGTTTGCGCTGATGCGATTTAAGATGATCCAAGCGTTTGAAGCTGAGGCCACAGACAGCACAGCAGTATGGTCTTTCCCCGGTGTGGGTACGCTGGTGAACCTTCAATATATCAGCCCTTGTAAAGCTCTTATCACACATGGTGCACCGATGAGGTTTTTCCTGTGTGTGAATTCTCCTGTGCAACTTTAGATTCCAGAGCCGGCTGAACTTGTTCCCACACACAGTGCAGCAATAAGGTTTGTCACCTGTTTGGCCACACTTGTGTGTCTTAAGATCAGAGAAAGAAGGGAAACCTTTCCCGCAGTGGCTGCAAAGGTGGAGACCCTGCCCTGAGTGGATCCTCTGGTGGACTTTGAGGTTACAAGCTTGGGTAAAAGTCTTTCCACATTGGTTGCAGGAATATGGTGGGGCTTGTCCACTGCCTTTGTGTGTCAGCTTATGGGCTTTCAATGTGGCTGAGTCAGAGAAGGATGCAGAGCATTGATTACAGGTAAGTCTCCTCCCTCCTCTCCCACTAGGCTGATGCTGCAAACTCTCAGCCAGGTTTAAAGTATCACTGTAGCCCTCTGATGGCTCATACATGTCCCCTGTGCCATCTAAAGAAGGGTCGATTCGAATACCATGGCCACGCAGGCTCAACCTACTGCCTGAATCTGCAGACATCTGTTCAGGATACAAGATACTTGGGTCCTGTAGATACCCATCTTCATTGATCAGTAAGCAGCTGAACTCACCGCTAACCTCGGTGTTAGTTCTTGATGGTGACATTGCAGATGAACCAACCACTCCCCTTCTGTTCCGTGGGTTGCCTGCTTGGTAAACTTGATGCTCCGCTCCTTCTGGTGCTTCCACGTTTCCCTCATACTTCCCCATGTAACTCATATCCTCACCCAGTTGGGAGGGTGATCCTTGTAACCCCTCCAAGTTACCCATGTCCAGCATACTTGCATCTCCATAGCAAGACTTGTCAAAACCACTGAGGTCTTCCATACCATACCTGCTCTGAAAAACTTGTTCACATGGGTCATCTGAGTGTCCGCTGTGGTCTAGTTCAGGCCTCTGGTCAAAGCCAGTCTCCATGTTTACATGGAACTTCAGCATCTTCTGATCATTGAGGCGTTTACTAGGTCCTGGCCGACCCGATGCCTCTGCATCTAAAAAAATGAAAAGAGGTAAAGATTTTACTATCTTAACGGGTACTGATTATGGAGCTAAATCCAGGCCAAAAGGTTTGTTAATTTGAAAAAAAAAAAAAAAGAGAGAGAGATTAAAAAATAAAATTTGAAACTGAAAGCTCACGGTTTGATCTTGAATTAAAAAAAATAAAAACACTTAATTCAAAATAGAAATAAATGTATAAAAGATGAAATGTAGTTTGGATTCAGCTCTGGAATTCTTTTGATAAAATCATTAATTTTCAATTTTCACTCTTAAATATATATATATTTTTTAATTCTTTTTTTTTTTTTTTTTCAATTCTAGGTATTATTTTTTCAGTTGCAGGTTTAATGTTTTGAGATTAGGATCTTATTTTTTCAAATCACGTTTTCGGATTAAATTTTTTTTTCACCTGCAATTTTTTTTTTTCACTTTGAGATTGTATTTTTTTAGTTTCAAACTCTTAGCCCTGTTCTGGTGTGCGGAGGTGGCATCATCTGAAGAGGGCCTGGGATTGTGAGTAACAGCCTAGCAAAGAAAGCTCAGGGCCTTTCCTGATTATGTTGCCTTCAGGAAAAGTGGGTATTTTAAAATGTAAGACTTTATGCTTTCTATGTATTCACCTGATGGCTGTAAATAAAATTATGCTGAAGACACAGTTCACTTTTACAGGTTCTTTTGGACAGCTCTTGGCAATTACCAATATATAAAAACTGTAAATTATGACAGATTGTCAAGCTTGAACATCCACATTAACATTAACAAAAACTGTTCCCAATTTCCACAAAAGACTGTGAACACAGCGCAGTATCACAGACTACAATGGTGTCAAACCTTGAACTTTCTTTTATTTATTTATTTTTTTAATTACTTTTTTTTAATTAACAAACCTTTTGGTCTGGATTTAGCTCCATACTGATAATGTTACTTTTCAAGGATATAATCACAACATGAAACCTGAAATTAAGGACATTTCAATCCCTTTCAGAGTGTTTGTTATTGGGTTTATGATTTATCTAGAAATCAATATAGCTGATGTTGCTATGCAACTTGTAAAACATGGCAGAAAATCAAGCTGTCTTTTTTCCCTGATTCTATCTGAATACAGCACATGATCAGACTGACCCCCCAACGTGACACCCCATCTCTCCTGGGAATCAGCTGTTTCTGGCGTGATTGGAAGGGTTTCCTCCTTGAGCAGCCCATCCAGCTTTTCACCTGGAGACTGGCAGACAAACAGAAAGGCAGAAGTAATACAAAAGTCCTATCTCTACTTTCTTCGAGTTGAACACAAGTCTAATTTAATACCAACACTATAAACACAAAGACATCAAGTAAAACCAGTCTCCTTGGAAGTTGAACAGTAAAATTGACTCTGACTGTGCTTGTGAACACAGTGGAATATTTCTAATATGGTAAAATATTTAAAAGATCTTCTACAGTGTCTGAAGGTATCATTCACCTGTGCTGTCTTCATGGAACAGTAGGCCTCTTCTGCTTCTTGACAAGGCATCTCTCCATCATTGCCCTGTGGGATGTTTGTCTCTTCTTGCAGTATACTCTCCTCTTTAAGACTTTTTTCTGCAGGGGGAGAGAAGAGATGTTTATTTCTTTATGTTGATCTGCTTGTTTAGAGGGAGAGCATCTTCTTTTTACATTTTAAGGATTCTGTGACTTCACATAAAAAAATAAAATGTCTGAGTGTAGATTTGTTGTATAGGATTGCATTTGATTGCTTGGGAGTTTATAATGTTATGGCTGGTTGATGCAAAGGACTCAATCTAAGGTAAGAAAAAAATGTTTTTAGTATCTTTGATCCTAAGCTACTTACAATATTCAGTTTCTAAAAAGTCTGTTCTTTTAATACTACACACTGTACCTGATATTTTATGTCACATTTATGATATTGCGTGTTATAGGGGAGAGTGGGGTAAGTTGAGCCACCCTCTGTTGCTTGGAAATGGTAAAAGAAATTGATAATGTGATCAGATATTTAGGAGATGGGCATCAATTCATGGAGTCTGTGAAGGTAAGAAGGACATGGGTGAAGAAGGGGTTAGACATTTATTTACAAAAAACATTTTTCACTCTTGAAAGTGAATTTAGTCTATCATCACGTAAAAAGATCATTTTACATTTTACATTGTGGTAGCTATGAGCTGCAACATGAGGTCAAAAACCTAGCATAAAAACCTACCATTTTAGCCTAGAGGACTAATAAAGTCATAATAGTAGTTCTGGGGTAAGTTGAGCCATTTGGCCAGGGATAAGTTGAGCAAGTGGCTCAACTGAGAAAGTAAAGGAGTCTGATGAGAGGATCAGAGTTTCAGTTCAGATTGTTGAAATGTGTTACTTTTTCTTTTCAAAAATACAGCTGTGAATGTTCTGAATCACTTTAAGGCAATTGCATGTTAAAATGACTTTTTACAAAGCAGCGTTTAACAGTTATATGCAATAATAAAAAGAAAAAGAATTATTGTACCTGTTAAGTAGTTGATAATAAATAAAAATCAAGTTCAAGTTATTTATTGCCATTGTTGAACAAATTTAACAACGGAATTTGTATAGAGCATCCCCATCACCACTGGCATCAAGTACACAATAACAATAATCGTAAATAGAGAAAAATAAGTAATATCCCAAAGTGCAATAGTGCTAGTGCATATGAAATATTGACAGTCCAGTTGTGTATCACAGTTAGCAAACCATAGTAATGTGTCCATTACTAAAGAGTCCATACTTATGTAGAAGTCAACAAAGAGGAGCCTTCCATATCTGTACCTTGTGTTCAAGATGTTGTAGTAGAGTGCAACACAATAGCAATGTCATCCTCTGTCGACCTGTTCTTCCCGTATGCAAACTGATTATAATCAAATGACAGTGGTATGGAGGTTTTAATGTGTTTCATGACATGACCAGTCTCTCAAAGCATTTTATGATGATAGGGGTGAGTGCCACGGGCCTCACATGAATGTGAAGAAGTGACTGTTATTTAGGGAGAGAGAAAGTGAGGGAGGGCTGGGGTGGAGAGTGGGGGGTGGTAGAGATATGGCTCAACTTACCCCGCTCCTATGGTCAACTTACCCCATACACGGGGTAAGTTGACCATAGGAGACCACTTTTTTTGGCATGCTGTATTATCAAGACAGTTATGTTTACACTTATTCTGTTGGTTTGCAGGGATGCACAACATCTTGGAATATATACAGATACACTAGTTAGAGACAAAACTATGATTGCCTTGATGTAGTGATCCTAAATATAAAAAAAATGGCTCATCTTACCCCACTCTCCCCTACTTACCATGGATAATTTTATTGAATTGCTGAAGATTAACTGGAATAAATCTATCACATTATGGAACAGTCTTGTGAAACCGCAAATGTCATTATTAAAATTATTAATTGAAAGTAGTGATCATGTTTTCAATGGAGGTCACACAGATACACATTAGAAGAGTAACACCTGACCGACTCACCTGTGGCTCTGGGCTCTTCCCCCCCTGACCCCCCGATCCTTCCGCAGTCAGCACATCTCCCCCTCCTGTCACCCTCCCTCTCTTTACGTCGGCTCTCAGACCACTTCAGTCGTCTTTTAAGGGTCTCGATCTGGTCCCTGCACCGTGTCACCTCTTCAAGAAAGCTGTCCTCGACCAGCCGGGTGATCTCGTACATGGCGGCTTTGAAGACCGTTTCCATCACCCCCGAGAGTTGGGACTGAAAGGTTACTATCGTCTCAGCCATTATGCCAACAAAAAGATGAGCTGAAGGAAATGCAACTTTCAGAGACTGTATCTGGGCATCAAACTGAACATTATGCTAAATTAATTCATAATACAGTCGACTCAGTTATCCACGTTAGCTTCCTAGCAGCTCTGAATCAAGAGTTCATGTTACAGATCCCGATCATGTGATAAGCAGTTAAAGAAACACTGAATATCCATGCTAAAAAAAGAAGAGTTTATGTTTGCGACAACATGGATCTAAAATCAACCTTTATTCGGTTGCTGAGCAGTACAACACAATGTTTTCTCGTAGCTATCGCATATTTCCTCGGTTCTCATTCCGTAAACAACTGCGCTTCCGAGATTGAAGAACGGGTCGGGAGAAGGGACAATCTTTATCGTTTCAGTTCTATCCATAGATAAATATAAGAAAGGCTAGATGACTCGAGGCTGAGTCAACGGCGTTCCTATACGGCGGACATCTTACTCCAGTATACCATCCTGCTACGCGTTATGGTAGCTAACTGGAGGTCAGTAATCGGCATGATCAAAATGCTTTTCACTCGCTAAAATCTTGACAGATTTACAAATGGTTTTGTTTATTGCAGACCTTAATAACCTAGCTATGAGTCTGGATGCTTGGACATATTGAAATGGCAGCTTTACTTTAAGAAAAATAAAGACTTTAATGAAGCACAGTTGTTTCACAGCTATTTGCTTCCAAACTTTTGGCCTGTAGTGTATCTGCCTAATTTTTTTTTTTTTATAAAAAATCACGGTTAAAATTATTCTTGAGTATGCAGAAACATAGCTAAAATTCTAAGGTTTGTTACAAACCAAACCATTCGAAAATCGGTTCAAAATTAAGCAATCTATGGTTATCTAAATGCTACATGCACCGTGATGTTATGAGTGGGCGAGCGTCCCGTAGCAAAATGGCCTCCATGCGCAGACGTCGGTCTCCATGGGCGAACAGCGTACGTAAGCCATCTAACCTTTCTTAAATACATCTATGGTTCTATCTAGGTCGATCCGAGCAAAACAGGCCTCTGCCTAGATATTGGATGTATTACTATTTATAAACGACTATACTTATTAGGTCAATATATCTATCCAAGTAAATAAAATAAACTAAAACATAACGTTAGAATTTGAAGCGTCTTTTATTTGCTGTAGCCCCTCCCTTTATCGATGTGCGTCACATACATTGACTGTAATGGTCACACAAAACAGACCGCGTTGGTGGGGAGCAGCCATGTTGGTTTAGCTGGCACAGCAATGTTTTACGAAGTGGTGCGCATAGCGTGCTGCTAAAAGTGGATTTACTGCTAATCTTCGACTGACGGTCAACAAGAACGGCACCAATATGTCAGCGGACGATTTTCAGACGAAGTACGCCTCGGTCATGGAGAGTATGCTGAAGGGTGCTGTCGCCGAGACCACCAAACTTTTCGAAACTATGGTTGATGACCTCAAGGCAGAGATCACCAAAATTAAGAAAGAAAACGAGGACCTCAAGAGAAAATGTAGCCAATTTGAGGATGAAAGGGGGAAAACTGTATGTGATATCCAAGAGAGAGAGTCTGATCCGAGGCGGAGCGAAGGCTCTGGGAAACGTGACACAGCCGTTCAATGTGGTGAGTCCGGATAACACGCATGAGCTCACGAATCCTTACCAATTCAAAGTGTGTATCTTAATAACAAATTTTGACCCTCAAAACAATATAAGCCGTGAGTGTTAAATGGGACATATTCGGCCACTCCCTCTGAGGTTTTTGGATAGCTAGCTTCGCTTAGCTTGGTGTTAGCTAAAGCGTGGGATCCAGATGAGGAGGGAAACCGTACCATGCTAACTGAGCTGAGAGTGGTGGGAAGAGACTCTATATATGGTCAAGATTCACACTGTCATGTAGTTCGTCATTATAAAAATATACAAATAATGGTAGCTATAATAAAAAAGCTTAACTTCCGTTATTCAGGTTGACTTTGTTATTCAATTGAATGACAAAGAATGAAACTGCTTAACAAATGTGTTATCAAGGCAGTATAGAGCTGGAAGTGACATACAGTGAACCCTCATGGTCTTTGTTACCCTAGTTTAAACCAGAAGAGAAAATGAAAGTATGAAGCCCTCTCTTTCTGCCTGTCTCTGCTTTTAAAGAAAACACAAAACAAACAAATGAAAATTCAAAATACACCTTGAAATAAAATGTGTGGTTGATGTCATACGAAAGCCCGGGAACCTTGGCCTCAGTAGGTCACTTTGACGTCTGGGTGATAAAACAATAATGATATATATCAAATTAACTTTACTCGATGAAAAACCATAACATGGTCAATATGCTGTTCAGTCGTCAGCTTTTTGCGATGTTTTGATAGACTATACGAATAGCCAATGACAAAGGGGGTTGCTTCGGGTCGCGCTATGCCAAACCAATCATGTGCTAAATTAGAATCAAGTAGCAAAAAAATGTGTAGTAGTGGGCTGCAGCTATATGCAACCATAGCACTTTAACACGTGAAACTGACAGCACTGTTGGTGAGAACAAAAGAAAATGACTGCTACCCCCAGCAGAAATGCAGATAAAAGGTCCTTTCGCACTGGGACCGTTTTTGTTGTGTGATTATTTCGGACATCAATATTTTTTTTGAACCCGTATCCTGTCAATACAAGCGTTCACATCAGCGACGTTTTCCTGTCTTGCAATATTTCTGCTTTTTTTTTTTCGGATCATGGTCAGTTTTTCTAAAGTTTCGCATACTGTGTGTCCACTTCTGACTGATCAGATTGCGTGTTGTTGCAACGTCTAATTCACGGTATATCCAACATGGCCGACTGGCTTATTGTTTACGTGTCGGAGAACATAGTGCTTTTTGATAAAAAATACAAACATTACAAAGATAACAACCTGAAGGACAACTTGTGCAGAGTCATAGCGTCGGATCTCTCACATAACGATAGTTTGTGTGCTTTAACAGTTTGCGAAACGTCTTTGTTTTAACTTTCATCTGCGCTAAGTAACTTTAGCTCGTAAGCTAGCCTGTTCAGATACAACATACCATATGTGTTTTATGTCAAGTACATGTTCTCGCAAAGTCAGGGAATACCTCAAATCTTTTTCACCACTTGAAGCAGTGCTACGTGGCAGAGCATGCACAATGCAAAAGGTTACAAACCCCAAGCAGAGCAAGGAGCCCATGGCGCCTGTGCAGCCGAAATAGCCGACCATTCAGTCTGCTTTCTCTAGTGCAACGCTGTACGGCAAAATGTCGGAGACACAGAGACCTCACAGATGCAGTAGCTTATTGTATTGCAAAAAGACATGCTACCAAGTAGCACTGTTAAATTTCATTTTTTATATTGTGATATACATCGATACCATCCGACATAAAAAAATGTATCATGATAAACTTTTTCCCATATCGCCCAGCCCTTCTTGGACTATACCCTGTTTGCTGGTGATCTGTCTGTCTGTCTGTCTACCTATCTATCTATCTATCAGGAAGCAGATTTTTTTCTTTATAATGACCGCTCTGCCAAGTCTTTAAGTGTATTAGCACATACTTGTTCCGTACAAATGTCAGTTGTTTAAGATAAGCCTACCTCAATCGATTCATGTTAATTGTTTTCCAGCTCTGGCTGGCTTGTTGGGACTGGAACAGTAGAAAGTCTTTCTCCTTTCACAAACAATATGTCAAGTAACATCAAGCATTGGCACATTTCCCACAATTCCACAGCATCTGGCAATGCAAAATGGCAGAATAGGCTAAAGGAGGAGTGCTTAAATTGTTTGACAGCAGCCATACTGGGAGAGTTTTCTGCAGAGTCTGCAGATGTTATCCTTTTAATTTATTGGTGCATACATTGGTAATGCTGTTTTTTTTTCTAATTTTCAAAATAACATTAATCAACCCAACCCACCAACCAATTAAGCCTTTTACTTATTGCTCAGCTTGAGAGGTGATATAACAGTCTAACCAGGCACAGCCTTCAAACAACTGTATCTTCAGTTAACAGGTCCCAAATACGGCTTCTATGTGCCATGATGTGCGATACCATCTGTGCCTGTTTACATCCAGATAATAGAGCGTTGTAGCCCTTTGGCGGTGGCTGTTTGCCTACTGCAATGCGCTTTTTAAAATTTAACATATACTTAATGGGAGATTGGGCTAGCTAGTTCTCTGTACTTTAAAGGCTATTTTTTTAATGTGTTTAAACTCAACAGCCTTTGAGCAGGTGACTGTTGGAATTGTTACCCTGTCTGGAATAGTCAGGACCCCATTCATTAAGTAACCCTCTTGTTGTCTTTCTCTCTCCCAATATACAGACCTTGTTCCTTTCCGTACAGTGCTGGTGGAGCAATGTGAACCCTTACAGCCCTCATCGTGGCAAAACCAAGTGCAGCAATGTGGTTTTGACACAATGCAGTATGTTTGGCAGGAGCACAACTATGAGAACCGTGATGAGAGAAATTCACAGATGGCAGTCATACTTGTTAAACAGGAGGTTCGTGAGTGTTGCAGCAGACAGTAACAACATTTGTATTTTATGTGTGTCATCAGTGAGTTTAAATTTTTGTCACCCCCCTTTTCTAGGACCTTGTTGACTCCTCTCAGCAGTCTGATTTCAAGCAAGAAGACGGTGAGTCCATTTTGTCCTTAAAATAGTGACATTATTTTCAGCTGAATATAACCAATGTCAACTGATTGATTTTTCTACCATTGCATTTGTGTCTAGGTTCACCACTGATGTCTGATGGTGTACTTGAGAAGGAAGGGCATGTTGTTAACGAAGAATACCCATCTGCAGAGATACCATCAGCTCTAGAAAATGAAGATACCCAAGTGTCCCTGGAATTGTTCAATGTAGGGTTGGATAACAGTTTGCTTGGAGTCCATAACCAACCATCTGATCTGGGGAATTCACTGTCTGCATTAAAAGGTGACAGGGAAAAAGGGTCTGGTATTGGCATGCAGATATCAGAAACTAGGACCCCAGAAGATCCCATGACACTTGAAAAACACCCTACAGTTATTGCTCAGAATCAGCCAGAGATTGAACTTCATGAAAATGAGCAGCCAGCAGATGGAAAAGTATCAGTAAATGAACAAACAGACGCTGATTTGCCAAGTCAATTGGTTGACACACAATATACAGAAGAACAATCCTCCAAACCTACACCACCGAACAAGTCCCAAGCAGTTGATGAATCAAAAAACGCCACATCCGAAGCAGAGCCACCCCCACCGGTCAGGCGCAGAAGAGGAAGGCCGCCAAAGAAAGCAAAGCCAGTGAAACAGGTACTACTACCATCTTCTACTGTTTCAGCAGAGCAAGAAGTGAAAAATTCCCCTACCACAAGGATGGGAAAGACTAAAGCCTCCATTGTTGAATCATTGAATATTACCTCATCCAGGTCTTCACTAAGATCTAGGATACACCCTAAAGAGTCTTCACCCTTTATCAACCTGTCAGTACAAGAGAAAGTGAACACTTTTCTGGAAGACAAAGAGAACAGTACGGTTGATTCTTTGGCTTTTTTAGGATCACCTCAGAGTAGAAAACCCTCCTTTGAAAACAAAAAAGCTTCTGAAACCCACCAGCTCTCCATGGTCACAAAAGATGGGTCAGCTCAAGCTTCTCCCATTGAACTTTCCTCTACAGCCCAAAAACAAAACAGTCCAACAACTGAGTCACCCCAAGAACCATCGCTTAGGTCCAGAGAACGCTGCACCTCTGTAACTCTTCAAGATGCAATGCTTTTAGTTGAAGCCATGAATCAGTCAACAGAGGAGAATACACAATGTTCCCCACAAAAAGTAGCAGCAACAGCCCAAACCTTGAAAACTGTTGAGGAGGCACGAGTTGAATCTGAGAAACAATTGATCCCTGAGGAAGCTAAGAGTCATGCTCCTCCTCAGACCACAGATGCCACTGCAACCACCGAAGCCCGAGCCCACATCAAGAATACCACACCAAAGCAACAGCATCCAGCCACTCCATCCACTGCTGGTAAACCCTCAGTGGCCACATCGACAACTGCAACTCAAACAAATGTGAAGTCATTTCAGGAGCACCCACCACACCCCACTCTCAAATCAGTGATGCAAAGTAAACAGAGTGATTCTGTACATCATAAAATTATTGTCATGTCAAGATCATCCACCTCAGTAATGTCTTGCAAATTTGCAGGAAAGTCCCAAACTCAGCTTCCCTCTGTTGTGTCAACAGTAATCGCAGCACAAAATAATGGTGAACTTCCAAGATTGACCCCTACAGGCACACTTCCTGGAAAACCCTCCCTTTGCTCCATTCCTCAGAAAACTCTTTATGTTTCACCACAAAAATTGCATCCTGTCATCTCTCTGCAGTCCACTCCCCCTCCACCAGACCCACGGTCAGGGCCTCTCTCTCAACCAAAATTGACCATTTTAATTCCAAGACAGCAGTCAGCCGCGGCAACGAGGAAACAGTCCCAGGCCGCAGATCTATCAACGAAACAAGAGTCTGCTAAATCATCTGATGCTGTTCAGTTGACGCCATCAGAGTTCATGTCATCATCTCAGGTCTTTAGGGTTTCTGATGATGCACAAATCACCTTTGATGAAGCGGCCCCAATAACAGAAAACCTGGAACCTCACCAGCAAACTTTGAATGAACCCTCTGACACCAGCTCCAGTCTAGACCTGTCATACGGGCCAACAGCCATGTCTTCAGCATCACCACTGATTGATGAACAAAAGCCCTCCGCTGTCATCAGATTAATCAGGCTCCCATTTCAAATGTCTACCAAAGAGGCAGTTTTACTCTCACATCTGTCTACAAGTGAATCTTCTGATACAGAGTCTGTATCAAAAGAGAGAACCATGAAGGAGAAACCCTCATTTTTGGGCCTATCAGTTCAGCCTTTAGAGACACGAGTGTCCCCCTCTGACACTTACTGCATTTCAAAAGAAACTTCTGTTGCTGTATCTGATAGAACTTCCCAGATATCAGATATTCAAGAGGGAGCATCATTAGACACGGTTTCTGATGAACCCACTGACAGGGAGTATGTGCAGTTTTCTGCACCTCCATTCTTAAAGTCAGCAACCGCCATCCACGCAACAGAGTCCTCAGCTTCATTTGGCATGCCCAGTGAACCCTCTGCCACACAATTGGAAAAAGAAATAAGAAGCATGCTAGTGCAAGGCTCTGCAGGACCTGAGGACCCACCTATGGAGCCACAGTCACCTGCTGTCATTCATCTTCTGTCCATTAAATCCAGGGACATAACTGACCCACATGTACAGATGACTAAAGCCCAGTTCCTGGCACAGCTAGCTGTCTCGCCTATTGTGCAAGAACAAAATCAGGTAATGTGGCGCTTAACTCAACGCAGTTTGCCTGGCAGTGTGATGCGAGGGTAATAAGTTTATTCACCGATTAAAGACCGTGTATACGAACTATGATCAAAGGTCGTGTAAGAGTGACCTTTGTAAAAGAAAAACACCACAGGCCACAGGCTTTTTCAAGTTTGTCAAATAAAAATATGTAATGTCCAAGTTCAGACAGTGTCTGATTTTAAGGGCATCAAGTTTGCTTATTGTCTTTTGTTAGGAGATGTTTTTAGGCGTAGACCAATTATTACCAGGGCTGATATTCACTATTTTGCCAGTTAGCTGTACCTGTCCTTTTTTGTAAATTTGATATTAAATACTTTGGCACACTATCTGGTTTATTTGATTTCACTCCAGCAGGTGAGGCAACTGTACTGAGAGTGTAGCTGGTTAAACAGTGATTCCTGTATATGGTGTTGAAAGTTGAGGCTTTGATCAAACATTTGCTGAAGGCATTTGAGCCAAGTTATGAATCACAGTAATATTCCAATGTTAGACTTTGACATTAAGTTTTTCATTTTTACTGTAGATGTGGTTCATGAAATAATAACCAGTATTGTTTCTGAAAGCCAATATCAATCAAATCTTTTTCTATTATTTACAAGTCAATAGATGTGTGCCCTATCTGATGCAATTGAATATCAAAGTAATAACTTCTACAGAAAGCAAAATAGTGCCTTCCTTGTATGGATTATACACGTAGTGCATACAGATGTTGTATTTTTATGCTATGATCAGAGTTTCTTATTTTGCAGACTAATTTTCTCTTTTTTTTGTCTCAGACCTTCAACTCTGTAGATGCTGATGCTTCTTGTCTGACCAGCACCAGTGACAAGAAAAGTATACAGAGAAACAACCTTGTGGCCAAACTCAGATGTCACCTCAAAACACACTCCCAAGCCAGAAACTCAGTGAGAAACCAAGAACCATGCACTGAAACAGAAACCCTCACTGCAAGCCCGAAGAAACCTAGATTGGAAACTGATAGTCCAGATGACCCAATGACTGGACCTGTTCCCCTTAGCCTAGATAAACAAGGAACAGTTGTGGATACTACCGCTCCAGAAAAGACTGAGGATGACCCCTCTCCAATAAGTTCCAGGAAATCTGGAGTATGTAAGGATGGTGTGCGATCCAAGAGATGTGTAAGTGAACCAGCCCCGGTCAATTCTAGGAGGCTCAAGGCCATGAATGACTCAATACTTGTGAGTCATGGGAGATCAACGTCAGGCAAAGACTGTGTTGGTTCAAAAAATAAGTTCACCTCTGTGAGTCCTAGGTCTACCTCAGCTAAAGAAAGTGCTAGTCTTAAAAAGACTAAAGGCACTTCTCCAAGTCTCAGAGGGTCTGGTTTAACCAAAGAAAGCCCTAAAAAAATCAAAACTTCCACTGTACGGAAGAGTATTTCATTACGAGATAATACTAGTCCAAAAAGCGACGGTGAAACCCCTAAACAGACCAAATCGAGGGTCAAGAGAAATGATTCTATCATTAAGAGTGGAACTGATCTCCAGAGTGTTGGATGGGTAAAACTGACTGAAAGTGTCATTTCTAGTCAGACCGGGGAATCCAGTCCTGCTCAGAAACACAAATTGATTCAAGAAGGTTCTGGTCCAAATGAGAATTTGAGAGTGACCAAATCTCAAAAGTTAGCTAAAGCAGCAGAGGCTACAACAGAAGCCAGAATCAGTAAATCAGCAGGTAGCACAGGAGATGTGAGGAAATTGTCAGCTAAAGGCGTGTGGACTCCTCCTATCATGCCACTCAGTAAAACATCACCAGCTGGGGGAAAGAGTTCACCAAACTCTACACCCATGAGGACAGACACAAAAACTCCAAAACAGACACTAGTTTACCCACCCAGCATTCCCCTCCATCCAATACCTGTCAGAGCACCGCCCGTGGTGTCACCATTACAGCCACTGTCTGTCATTGGTTGGCGTCTGCTGAAGAACCAGTGTGGGGAGTGCGGGCGCATCCTCAGCAGTAGTGCTGCTTTAGAGAGCCATGTCAGTCTCCACACAGGTCACAGGCCTTTCTCTTGCAAGCTTTGTGGGAAACGCTTCCCAGACTCCAAGGGGCTCAAAAGGCATGGACGTGTGCACCGCAATGGTCGCATCCATGTGTGCCAGCAGTGTGGAAAGGGTTTTGTCTACAGTTTTGGCCTCACCAAGCACCTCCAGATGGTGCACAGCAGGATTAAACCTTTTGTCTGCCAGGTTTGCAACAAGGGATTCTACTCTAAGCGAGATGTGGAAGCCCACATACGGATCCACACAGGAGAGAAACCATTCCACTGCAACCTCTGTGAAAAGAAATTTGCAAGGAGGACAGAGCTGAATGTGCATTTGAGGTGGCATAATGGGGAGAAGAGACACTGGTGCCCGTACTGTGGTAAGGGATTTTTAGATATTAATAATCTGAAAAGGCACAAGTATATTCACACAGGAGAGAAACCACATTCCTGCCCACACTGCCCCAAGCACTTCACACAGTCAGGCCACCTGAAAAAGCATGTGAAGAATGTGCATAAGATCCAGTGAATAATGGAAATCCAAGAAGCCAGCCTAGTGCTCTCACAAGATTTTATTTTATTTTTATCATAAAAAGTAAAAAGTTTGAATTTTTGGAATAATTGTACAGAAAGGATCATTTTACTACTATTTTGATGTCATTTATATTTGAAGTGGTTGAAGAATTTGATTATTCTTTGAGTTTTTGTTTTACTCTAAAATGTTTGATGTAGCTGTTGAAATCTAAAAAAAAAAATGTGTGAGTAATATCCCTTCAGAGGTGCCGCTTGGTGCATTTTTGAGCCTTTAATTGTCCTTAGTGTGAAGCCTAACTGTTTTTTCTCAGTAGACCCACCAAACCTTGGACAAGGGCTTGATGAAAAGTTACTGCCTGCCTGAGTTGTCATATTTTCCTAATTTCTTGTATTTGTTATTAGCATTAGTAACAGTTTTAGAATATTGTAGCACACAAAGCGTGAAAGCTGCTGACCAGTGTGATATAAGGAATGTAAATTATTTTGACTGCCGTGACAGGGTGAATTTGGTAAACAAAAAAAATAAGGTTGAATTGTTAGTATTATTTATCTGTAGATATGTCAATGTTTACAAGTGTTTTCAAAATTAAGATTTTTATGTTCTAACATTACATCACTTTTATTATTTCTTATTTTATTTTAATGACTTTACAGTCGTGGTCAATAGGAATATTTGTCTGTTTATGCAATAATTCATTGACTTCATGACTCCAGACATATCATAAAGTTTAAACTGCAGGAATTTATCATGAGAATATTTTTGCAAAGTTTTGATTTCTAATGTATCGTAACTTAACGTTGGTCACATTTTGTCATCTCAATTGCTGCATTTTGAGGAGCCAGACACAGCCACAGGTGGCTTCTGAAAGAACTCTCTGTGATGACAAACCTGAAGAGTCTTTGTCAAACTTGTATGAGAACACCAGGGTAAATGTTCAGGATCCACTGTGAATGTGAAAAGACCTCTGGACATTAAAGTTTGACCTAAACTGAAATTTGATCTCTGGATTGTCACTAAAAGCAGATACAAATTTCATTTTTGTTGAATCCCCGTTTTTCATTGTCAACATTTTGAGCGTGTCTCTGCAAACAAGATCCAAAGAGTGTTGATTTACAACTACATATTACAAAGCCCAAAAAGGAGTATTTCAGATGAATTGACACAGATTTCTGTGCTTTCTATCCAGACTGATACCTCACTTCTGGTTCCGTCAATTTAAAGATTGAATGCTCAAGAAAAATGAACCTGAACACAAAATCAAGCAAATATGCTTCCATATATGACAAATATTCTTGATTCTAACTTAGTGAAGACATAAATAAATAGTTTAAGACCAGTGCAAACCAGCTGTGTGATACTCAATATGCAAAGTCAAGCAACTACTTGAACAACTTGGTTAACAAGCTCTAAAATTCACTGAAAACACACTCTGGGAAACTGAAGCAATTGTTCATGTGTCTTTGGTTCACACTCTTCAAAGGTAGAAAACTTGAGAGTAGTATGGTGTTGACTTGAACGTTAAGATGAAAAATGGCAGAGACATCAGTTTACTGTAAAAGAGGATGTGTTCATATGATTTTGTTTCAAAACCAGACAATTGAAAAGTATCTAAAACATCAGTAATTAAATAAAGACGAGTTTCTGCAGTAGAAACGCTGTTTTCTCTATAAAAACACAAACAAATCAGTGATAACATTAAAATGACCTAAACAGTAACTATGCTGCTGCAGTGCATGGATGCTGGGTTCAGTAGTTGCTCTTGTACTCAATATTAGCCTTGTGTGTGCACAGTGTCTAACTGCAGTAGTTATGCAGACACAATATTAGAGCCGCTGATAGAGTTGAACAATTTTCAGCTTCTGTTTGCTTTGCATGCATTTGATATATAATAAATATAGAGACAGCAGCTTATTCTTCACCTTGAGGACCCGCTCAGTTTAAAATGTTTTGCACGTGGATGTGACTCTTCAGAAGCAATGGAAGTCAATGGACCAGCTCATGGGGGTCCCCTGGAGGCACCAGGGTCCTAAAGACCGGCTCTATTTTTAATGATACCCAATTAATTCTGCTAACTGTGCTGTTAACTACACTTTAATTTATTTACTTAGTTACAATCAGTTACCTTCAATGTAGACCACTTTTCCTTCCTGCCTCATGTCAACACATTTACTCCAACACCTCATAAAACAATGAAATTATGAGAGACAAGTTACAGTGTGTTCATAATTTATTTTTCTGCTGTCAAAGGTGTGAAAGTATAGCTGAAAATTAGTTCCAACAAGGATTTGATTACAATAATGGGTCACAAGCAGGAGGACAAAATACACCCCAGAGCAGAGGGAGCGTTTTTTTGTTTGTTTGTTTAATTTTACTGTTAAATGAATCATATCAAAGTTTCATGCTTGCTCTGTGATTTAATAATTTCCACCTGGGACACCAGGGGAAGTATTGTTTATGTTAAGGACAAAGTTTCCGGATAGGAGTCAATAGGAAATAGGAAAATTTGTCTGTTTGCGCAATAATTCATTGGCTTGAACAATGACTGTAAAGGTGTAATGACTCCAGACATATAAAGTTTAAACTGCAGGAAAGTTTTGATTTTGTTTTAAAGTTTCAGGAGATTGGAGCCAGTTTGTGATATTGCAAGTTATGTTCAAACGTACTGCGAGCTGTGGTTTAAGATTTGCAAATAATCTTCGCATCAATGAGTTATTGGAATCCTGATGGCCATGTTGTAAATGCATCGTCATCCAAACTTGTGCATCGGAAATTACATTAGGACAGTATTTGATTTCTTCAAAATTGGCCTAAACTCAACTGAATGTTTTTATCATAAATACAAATAATTTTAGCACACTTTATCATCAGACTCAACTGTGATTATGCTAATTGCCCTTTAATGCTCAATTAGGACAGATACCAGCAGGCACAACCAAAGAGACAGTGATAGGGTTAAGGCGGGAGGACCAGCAGAAGGAACTATTGACTGATAGCACTTGCCTACATTGCCAACTTTATCTACAGCTGTAAATTCAACTATCTGTGAGCAACAGGAGGCAGTATAGTTTGCCAGGACTACAGGATCACTTAAAGATGTGTAGGTGAGGTTCCCCTGTCCTTGCTGCAGTGTAATTTTATCTATTCCAGTTCCATTCCCATCTGTTATGTTGGCTGACAGCTCCCATTCAAAAGATTCACACTGAGACACGTCCTTAGTGCATTTATCAGCCAGCACGCTCACCACTTTACACAGGGGTGGATCAAAATCTGTAACCTAGACAGAATAAAAGGAACAGAAAGATGTGAAATTAATGCATGGATCTTTGAGCGATCCTGAACTTGTGTGATCCAAAAAGTTTGCATGTCTTAGCTCCTTAAACATTTATAGTCGAGCTCATAGTTATGATGTTCAAAGCTTCACAATAAGGTTTCAAATTTTATATTGATCCTTAAGTAACACATTAAACTCTATTTTAAAGCACGAGTTATTTTAGGATATACAGTATACATCGTGCAATCCTGTTGTTTGTTGTAAATGAATGATGAAGTCATTGGGACTTCATCCAGGGTATTTGTGGTTACCTTGGTGACAACAGATATCCTCAACACTGCGTAATTGGAGTCAGTGCCTGACTTGGCCTCCAGAGTCACGGTGACATCAGTGCCTGACGGTGTGCTAGGAGGTGGCGTAATGGTCAAAGTAGCATTGGCATACTGTCCAGTTGTCAAGGTGAGGCTGTCAGGGAAAAGAGACAATGATTACAGATGATACGCCCAAGATAGAAAAAAGTTGATAGAAGCTTCACAAGATTGATGATGACTGTAGCAGAGACGACCACTTTCTCAACCCCAACGCCCCCAAAGGAACATAAGGCTTACATTTGGTCGCTGGAGACGAGATGATGTAAACCTTTAACACCAAATCATGGTCTTTTTACAACTTCCTGTCTTTAAAAGATAACTAATGAATATCCTCCCTAAAGGGCAAACATTTTGCCATTTCCACTTTAAAGAGACAAAGACAGAATTGATAATTGACAACGATACATCCGAACCCACTATCTCTACTCATGTGTTTGTTATGCTTTACAGTTTTCCCTTTTAAAATATTATATGGTTGATATTTTTGATTTTGCTTCAAGAGAGTTTGCTAGTTGTCGTACATTCAAAATGTTTTCAAAATAAACTGAATTGAAGGAAGAAATTCAAACCTCGCTTGTTTTCTCTCCCAATAGAGAGTCATTGATGTGAGTGTTGGAAAATAACAGATGTCTTATTGTAAATACAGAGGTGCTTTGAGCCCTATGCTAACCTTTAGCCTTACTGTTGGGTGAGGTTTCATGTTTCACTCCCCTCTAACAGGACTTTGCTCTCAGCCACAGGTGACAGGGAAGGAAATTTTCACTCAGAGATGTGTCGCTGTTGACAAACATATCTAATCAGAGAATCATTTTTAGTTGCTTCTCCTCACCTAGAAGGGAATTTCATCGGGATGTTTTTGTCATTTTTGGCTTGGATGGAGTAAGTACCACCAGGGCCCTGGGTCCTGACGCTGAAGGGGAGCTCAAAGGATTTTCCTGGCTCTGCACTGCGGTCCACCACAGCCTAAAAGTACCAGGACGAGACAATAAAAGGAGCAAAGAAGGTTCTTGAATATACAGTAAGGAAAACTATAATGCAAATGTATGTCAATTTCAGTCATATTTGAAAAAAAAAAAATCCTGAGGGGAACACAAAGAGTACAGGGACCAACCTTGATATCAACTTTGGAGACAGACATCTGGGTGGTCGACTGCCTCTGAAATTCACTCTTAGATTCTTTGTCTGTCCCTTTCAGACTGACCACAAACTCTCCCTCAGGGACTGCTTCAACAGTCACCAGGAGGTCTCCATTGCCCATGTCAGTCATTTTGCCGTTGTTCATAGTTTCAGAACCAGACACAGTCACCAGACTAACATTCCCGACTGACAATGAGGACGGACCTTTCCTTCCTATCACTGAGAGCATCAAGGTTGCCGGCTGGCCTGGATTCCCAGAGGAGAGAAATGAGTGTCAAGTCAGGGCAACAAACAGGAGGGCTTGAAAAGTGATGAACCTATTTGCATTTGCAAAATTCAAACATTTTTTGATTGTTTAAAACTGTGATTAGTTGGCTAAATTACTACTTAGTTCAGTGTTGCAGTTATAATTTATTTTGCCAGTGGAACAAAATGAGCGGAATTATGACTGGCTCTAGTTTGAGAAGGACTGAATACAGTACCAAAGCTATGTCCAAACATCGTTCAGTTAAAAAGATGTACTGTATACATAAATACATAGTTTTCAGGAGGTGTGAGGGAAAGGAAGGTCTTTTAGAATCTCTTTTAAATTGTGTCCTATCGGAATATAGCTCTGTATTAATATGATGATTTGTTGTATGAGTGTTTATGGGTGTGAAGCCTGTCTGTGGTTTCCCCACTTTCAGGGGAAAAAAAACAAACTTTTATTCTGAGCTTGTGCAACCCAGCTGTTTTTAGTTACACCAGCTAAACTTATGTTAGAGCAAGACTTATGAAGCCAAAACCTCAAAACAAACCACTACAAGCCCAAATGAAGATTTCTTATAAACTAGCTGTCTGAAGTTACACAGTACACTCTTGCTGTTTCCCATATTAGGGGCTACAGCCTCAGAGACCAAGCGGATTAAAGCTGTTCTTCTTAAAGGCTTCTCCAAATGGAGCAGGGCCACAGCTTTCATGCATAGACACATTTGTGCAACTTCAGTTTGTGTTGGTCTGAGTGTCTCTTTTCACACGTGTCTTAGATGAACTGCTTGCCTCTGGAGTAGACCTGTCTATCCTGCATCTTCAGGTGGCTGCCCTGGCTTAAAGTCTTCCCGCAGACCTTACAGGGGTATGGTTTCTCCCCTGTCTAAATGCACTGGTGCAGCCTCAGGCTGTTTGTGTTGCTGAATTTATTGTCATAAAATGTGTTAAACTTCCAAATTATTATTTGTCATATTTTCGTTTTGATCAAGCCCAAGTAGACAAATTCATTTAATTGATATTTTATATGTGAAGTTAATTTCCAAATTATAATTGAGTAGTTATGTGACATTCCTAATTTAATTGATATTGCTGCATGGGGGAATATTTTTGTTTTGAACTTCCTTTTTTTATTTTTCTGCTGAACTCACTGTTTTTTTTTTTCTGTTGAACTTCCTGTTTTATTTTTCTGTTGAACTTCCTGTTTCATTTTTCTGTTGAACTTCCTGTTTTATTTTTGTGTTGAACTTCCTGTTTTCCCATGTGTTCGTTGAGCGTTTGGCTTCACACATGCTGGATGGATACGAAGAGGCTTAACTTTTGCCAAGGCATGTAGCTGGGCTAATAGCTAAGTTGTAGCCAGCTTATCGGACATCTGTCATATTTTACTTTGTAACTAAGAGAAAGTATGCTCCTTTTGAGTTACATGTTTTAAGTTTAAAGTCACATTGACTTAGAAGTGGACGTTTGTTTGAAGATTGAAGATTACCCAGTGGACTCATTCATTCTCTCACGGTGCTGTGTAGCCATTGAGGTAACAATCACGCTAGCAGATTGTTAGCACGCAATTACATCCTGTTCTACTGTACATTTATGTGGTATCCTTTGTATAGACATATTGTATGCTAATTATGTATGTGAGTATGATTGTATATGTTTCTAGTTCGACAGTGACAAAGTGACATGACGGTGATTGGTGACAAGGTGAAGAATGGTGAAGAAATGTCATCTGTATGAAGAAATTTGGTGTCTTATTTACCGGAGAGAGTACGATCTTTAGTAGTTTAAAGTCAGTCACTAAAGCTGACTCCGTCCATACTAATCAATCAGCAGCCAGAAGGCAAGAGGCCGCTGCGGAGTATGCAGCCACACGAGAGGTATTAAAGATCATGGCCGAACAAGAACAACATCAATTGAGACTGTTGTTTTATATGAACAGATTAAGTGTGGTTTCACAATAGTTGTATTGAAATGACATAAAAATATGCTGGTGTTAAGTGACTATACTGATGATAATTAATATGTAAAATAAAATGTAAGATAATCTTTCTTCAGTAACTGTTATTTCCACCAACATTTCGAGCTGAGGGTAGATGTTGATAACTTCATTCATTTCACCACTAGATGGAGTTAGACTGTTCATTGTGGTATCATAACCCTCAAAGCGGGCAGCCCTGGTTCTTTCTGAAACTTTTCCAGTCTTTTGCTTGTCACCCCCCAACTCCCTCACCAATTGTCCTGTCAATCAATAAAATCCTGACCCCCCACCACCACCACCACCACCACAAAACCATATCCATTCTCTGACAAGTTGTTAAATATGAGTTCATGTACAGTTTGCTGACACAAATGTTCCAGATGTCCTCCATAAGTTTAATACATTAATGATTAGATTGTGATAAAGGAGCCTCACTTTTATGAGTCGTGATCCCTGTAAGATTTTACAGTTGATGATATGCTCCTGTTATGTAAACTTTATTGCATTGGGTTTACCTGCTTGTGGGCGCCCACTGAGTACTGCGTAACCGGGATGAGGTCCTTCAAAGCTTTCCACAAAGTCATAAATAAAGGTTATGGTGCTCTGGCCTGGAGACACAAGTACAGATAAAGAGTTAAGACGGACATACCAACAGTGAACTCTGTGAACGTTACCTGAGATACTTTTCCTAACAGAATTCACTTCTGGCCAATACATTAATACTAAGTTTCATAGTTTGCATGGAACGGAATATAGGATAATAGTGCTGAAGTAAATTAGTATGGAGAAAAATTCTCTTTGTCTCAATGCTTCACGGGACCCAGAAAAATAAAAGTTTGAGTATTTCAGTGGTTTCAAGATATTTTAAGTGTACAGGATGAAAAATTTTAGCAGAATTATGAAAATATGAAGTTTCTGACCTGTGACTTTGAGTGTGTATGCCTGTCTGGAGTTTATGTTTAGCTTCCAGGTTCCAGACTGTGTATCAGCATTGAGACGAAACCTCCACAGGTTGCCCGCAGTCTTAATGGTCCCCAGTTTACCGTTTGCCTCATTTTGATTCTGGACCACATCTGAAATGAGTTGATATGCATTAACATTCTCATATAAGATAAAATAAGATAAGATAAGAAGAACTTTATTTATCCCCGAAGGGAAATTCAGGTATCAGGGTGACATTCCTGACATAAGCATCAAAATCTAAAGGGTCCACACTGCCATCATTCATTTAGGATGGTTTGTTACCTGCAGGATTGGTCAGTGTGAAAGTTAGGGCTGTTCCTGTGACATAGATGGTGATGTTTTTTAGAGAGTCATCCAACATAAAAGAAAACGTCTCCTGCTTCCCAGGGTTCCTTGCACGTTGCAGAACTGTCACCTGATAGAGAATGAAAGGAGCAAATGAAAAACAAAAATCATATATGAATATTTTCAAACTGGTCTATATCTCTGTGGACCTGCACAGATTTACCAAGGCTGAAGTGGACGTGTCGAGGATGACGTCTGTGGCCTGAGGCAGCTGTCCCTTGGATACCTGGATGGCCTGGCCCCCAGAGGCCAAAGCCATATCCTTGTAGTCATCAAAAGTTGCAGCTCTGAGAGAGCGGCGGCGTCTACTCCTGGACCCAGTCATGAAGAACGATACCTGTGGAGATCGTGTCATGTGCAGATTTTCATTTTCATCCTCTTAAACATGCAGATTAGAGATAGTCTATCTGGGTACCGATATTTACCGTTGACTTTGTAGTCCTGATAAGTGCAATAATAGTGTCCTTGAGTGCAATGTCTTTGGCTGTGGCATCAGTGAAAACATATATGTGGGAGGAAGCAGGGGCCCCTGTGAGAGCCAGCTGGTCAAAAGGAACAAAGAGCCTTTGTTAATTTGACTTTGTTAAATATAATGAAATAAAAAAATAAGCAGAAATGATGTCTCCTCTTCCACAACCAGTTTTGTTAGACTCTGACTCTCTTATAGAAACCGTACCTGGAGTCCTGACAGGCACATCTCAGGGAGATCACCACCTCCTTTTGCTGTGAGCTTAGAGATTTCTGATTTCATCTTATTGGGGTCTGATGTTCTGATCATAGGTCCAAAATCTAAATCCATAATACACGAGAAATGTCATTGGACGCTGGCAGGAAAAGAGTGACGTTATGTTTTTCACATGATCGGTCAAACACTTTCATACCTGGGTCATTGAAAGGCACCAGAATGTATTCAGAGGGCTCGTCCTGAGTTCCTTTTTTGCTGTCAATGATTTCAAACACGACTGAACGGGCTTCATCGATATCATCTTTCATACTGCCTGTTGTGTCAATAACGAAAGCCACAACAGGGGAGCGGGCAATTCCCATCATCCTGTAGGCAAAAAAAAATCAGATTAATACAAAGTGTTGTTGATACTTTATTTCATTCGGTTAGTAAATAAAAGATATTAAAAAGATATTACAAGCCATTAATCAACTAAGCACATAATAAAAAATAAACAAGAGCTGCAGTCCATCATGCTTTTTTTTTACAGTTGATTATTTCTTATTTTCAAAATCAACCCAAAAAAAACAAACAGAAAAGACCACGTTAATTCACATTTTCCCACAAAACAAACATACCAAGACTTAGATTAACCTATTTCCTGTATTTACTCAACATACTGGTTTTGACTTATTTTCTTTGAAGATAAAATTTGATTTATCTTCTTTAGTTTCTTTGTTCAGATTGTTCCACAAACTTATTCCTCTCACTGTAACACAGCGCTCCTTCAATTTAGTTTTGAATCTTGGCTTTTGGCGTTTGTTTTTTTTTTTTAACTTTAGGGCCCCTTCAGCTTTAAGATCGAAGATTGAAATGATATTGAAATCCTCAAGTCATAGTTGAACACCATACCTTAAGAAATCATTGTCCCCAGCAGCAAACCGGATGTCCTGCAGAAGCTGGAGGGTTGCAGCGGTTGCAGCATTCACAGCGGCGTTGTGAAAGGCGATGTTGTCAGAGCGGCGCTCATCTTTGCTGATGCCTCCGCGGGGAACTGCTGTGCTCGACAGGTCACCTGCACCTCCGTGACTGCATTTACCTGGCAGAGGTCAGAGGGGACGTGTGTCACAGACTGGTGTTGTGTTATTTGTGTTATTATTCATTTCTTTCTAAATGCCTCTTCCTGTAAAAACCAGACCCTAGTCGTAAGATTTGGCTGTTGTATTTGAAGTAGTTTGAGGATATGTTTGAAACCTTTCGGCTTATCAGCAGAGAAGATTCCTAAGTAGCCTGATGTGAGTTTCTTCTCCTTCAGGATGATGGGAAGGATGGGATTGGGGCATGTCCCACTGGCACAGTCACTGCAGGTGGCAGTGTCCACATCTGCACAAATAAAAGCAAAATGAATGTCAAAACAAATCAAATCCTGCCGTAAGCTATCCAAGTTTTCTCAGTGACCTTTGTGCAGTGAAATAAAAATGTTCCACTTTGCTCTGTGGAGATTCTACTTGTGTGGAGTTTGCAGTTATGTTGACAACTTTATCACAAGTTACTCCACCCAAGACACAGGCAGCAGAGTCACCAAGAGTGTGACATCAACACACAGACACACACACACCTACACACCTGCAAGGTTTTCTAGAGGAAGGTCTGGGCGTATCAGATTGATGTACGGCTCAGTGTGTCCCAGCTCCACCCAGTTACTGTGGCTGTAGAAATCCTGATGGCGCATGGAAAAACATGAATCAACATTTATGATTTGAAAGCGGTGATTCAGAGTGATGAACTTTAGAGTCTTTGTCTACGTAAAGTGTCTGTCTGTATCCTCATCCTGCCTGCTGACCTCTCTATGCCCAGCTTTTCCTCTGCCCCTCCCTCACCTGCAGTGTATGAAGCACTCTGCCCAGAGTTTCCCTCGCAGCCTTGAAATTCTCATTACGAATGTTTGCCTTTATGGCAACAACACCTTCTGTTATCAGCCTGCGCCCATCAATAAAAGCCTCTGAGTTGAAGTGGTGTGGAGCGCTGGAAGAGAGTAGAAGCTGATTATGTTTGGAACTTAAAAAAATTTTTTTTTTTTTTTTAATTTTCTTTTTCTTGTTTTTCCCCCACCTGTTGACAAAGTCACGGTCCACCAGTCCGTTCTGTGTGTAGATCTCTTGGAGGGCAGAGTGAAACTTTGCACCGGACACTTCTCCTGTGGCTGTGGGACCAAGACAGGCCTGGACCAGCTCCTCGGGAGATGAACCCTGTAGTCAGGGATTAAAAGAGATAACAGTTTCAGAAATAAGCAAGTGCTGCTGACAGGCTTTGTCTCCAAAACTGAACCAACAGCATCTCCCCCTGTTATTTACTGCTGCTACTGCTGTTTTTGAAAGGAATAGGAATATATTCAGTCTGTTTCCCATGTTTCACAGAGCTGTGACTGAACACGCCTGGTTTAAAAGGGCACAGTCGCTCATGTTTATCACAAAATGATGCAGCAGAACAACATGTCTTGACACCTGTTGGTGTTTTTTTCTGTTGCAAGAAAATAGAAATCTCATGGCCTGCAGCCCTGCACTCCTTATGGGGTGTGTTTTTCAGTTAATTATAAATGTCAGTGTCAAGGTGGGGTCATTAGCAGTCAGAAATAAAAGCCAGATAGAGTTGGTACTGATAAACATCCAGGAGGGGGGGCACACCTCTCCTCCTCTTTTAGTTTCACATTTCCCTCTTCCATTTCCTGAATCACTCCCATTCAAAGTTCAAATTCGAAATCACCATGCTGTAAAATCTAAAAATATTGTCGGATTGTATCCTGATTATCCTGAAGTCTTTGTGAGTAAACAAGCATTTGGTTATTTACCGAAGCTATAACCAAGTTCACGACTCAGAATTTGACCACATGTCTAAATAAGCAGCCCTTAGAACTGCTGTATTGAAATGAGGTTAAAAATCAATTTGATAAGTGTGTGTCTGTAGGTTGTGTTCCTATGTTTGTGCTGTGTTGCACATTACTTTATCATCTCCCATCCTACCGTAGGTTTGAACTCATAACCAGCTGCCTCAGCCACCGCCCGACACGTCTCTGTCACTTTTTGCAAAAGAGCCGTTCCAGTAATGCTGACGTGAGTAGATACCCCACCCCCGATTGGGACAAAGGCCACACTGTGCCCTGATAGTCCCAAAACCAACAGGACTGTAACCAGCGCTGACGTCATATTGAGTCTAAAAGGAGAATAGAGATTGTGATACATCAGTTATCAGGCTGCTTGATAAAAGCAGACAATTAAAACATTAACCAAATGTAAAATTTTTCCAATCCAAATATCACAAAGCAAATTTAAAGATATCTGAGGAACTTGTGGTTCTGCTCAGTTCTGGTGCCTCCTGATGACATGGATGTGCATTTTATCTCCTTGCTGTTTTTGCCCTTTAACACCAAGGCAGTATTTTCTAGCACAAAAATGTCACCTGCCTCTCTTTAAAAATCCATTTATTTCCCTCACTGTGGACATTTGCTTTTAAAAATGTTTCGAAAGGTTTCTTCAGTGTGGATCAACAATTTCCCCATTGCAGCAGTTTCTGGCAGTAAAAATTACAACATAAAAACTGTTGAATGTGTTGCTGTTAGTTTTATTTGCTTTTAGAGGTCATGTCTGAGTACAAAAGTTAATTACAGCCTGTTTCATAACCATATAAAAACTCCATACAGGTGCATTACAGGGCTACATTTTGTTGAGTCTGTTTGAGGTCTGGTCTTCATGAAAAAAATAAAATAAATAAAAAAAAAAGGGAGAAGTCTAACATATTTCAAATAACTTATTTAAGCGCTAATAGCTGTTGAAAACTCATGACTAAAGTACCACTTATTCAACATTTAGGTAAAATTTCATTTCTTCATAACAAAAGGTTTTTAAATGAATTAATTGGTCTACAAAATCCAGATTTTTTTCAAAGATTGACAGAACAAAATGAGCTCTAAGAGGTGATCATACCTTGACGTTTCCTGAGATGTGATGTGCAGCCCAGCCACCTCAACGTATATGTACTTTTTTACGGTGCAGGGTGGAGAAAACATGTAAAATGGGCTGGGACTCTCTCTTCCTTTTTTGTGTGTGTGTGTGTGTGTGTGTGTGTGTGCGTGTGTGTGTGTGTGTGTGTGTGTGTGTGTGTGTGTGTGTGTGTGTGTGTGTGTGTGTGTGTGTGTGTGTGTGTGTGTGTGTGTGTGTGTGTGTGTCGCTATCTACATACACGTTGTTATCAGTGGTTATCACAGTTAACTGCTGTGGTGTTTCAGGAACATCTGGAGGATCAGTACAAAGGTATTTAAAACAACGATTAAACTTAAAGGAAAAGTCTTTCGTCTTAAAAAAAACTTTCAAACAAAACGTGTTGATCCCAGGTAAGAGGTGAAACACTTGAGGATCATGACTCAAGCCACATAGTCTTTGATTGAAGCAGTATACAGTATTTACTCTCTTCTAGCTTTCAGTGTTCAAGGGAACCATTGTATTTTAAATTTGTTCAGCTTAGCTTTACATTACTCAGCCATGTTGACTCACAATTCATGATATTTTAATGTGAATTGATTCCCTTTCACCTGAGTACTCTTTCACTTAATTCCTGTCAAGCTGACCTGTACTAGCACCTCATGAAAGGGTTGCTATGGAGCTGAGATGAATTATAGTCTTAACTGTTCTGTGGTCATTTTCTCATGGTTGTTTCGTCTCGATCTTAACTGTAAGTTCCACATTTCATTAAAAGTTACTGAATAATGCTTTTTTGTTTTGTTATTGTGCAGAGACAATAATTCAGTGATTTAGTGTACAGTACTGATGTGAACCCAATCTAACACAAGAGCCCAGCACATTACTTGATGACCAGATATGAAAATCTCTTAACACAGCGTAAAGGAAGAAAAAAAAATGGATTAAGATGATAAAATCAGCATCAGAGGATAAGCGAAATATGAGCAAATTTAAATACTAAAGGACGTGAAACGGTATGAAAAAGTACAAGTTAAATGCAGTTAAAAGAGCAAGAAGTTGTCAGTATATCGAATCAATAACGGCACAGAAACAGTTAATAAGGAGAGGAAATGACACAACACTGTGTAAGATGATAAATAAAGATTCAGAATGCGTAGTATGGGGTAGGATAAATAAGATGCAAGATACTATTTCACAATGTGAGGTTGGATTGAAAGTAAAACAAAGACAAAAAGACTAACAGAAAGAGAGTTAAAGTGAAAGTAAATGTATAAATGAGATACAAAAGACAATAAAAGATGCATTTATATGATAGCAAGCCAATATATATCAGTTTTTCGAATTGAGTCACTGACTCTATAATATTTATATTCTGATTATTTTTATTTATTATCATATCATTTGATTTTTGACCAAAAAGTGACCATGTTCATGAAAAATGCAATGATTTGCAAGTACAAATCATTAAAAATGTTAAAAATGCTTGATTACAGTGTATTGATGTTGTTTTTGTCACTTTATTGATTTTGACCCCTGTGCAAAAAAACAACCATTCATGAGCCTTTGTGTTACTCCAACCATAGACTGTATAAACTATGGACAACTTCTCAAAAATCTCTCTGTATTTCTGGGTTTTTTCTCCACTTCCTGAAAATCAACATTGTGCAATAGCGTTGTACGTATTTGGCAGGAGAGTCGCCAAGAGTCGCTGTGGTGACGCTCGGCTCAAACATCATATCCCCCGGGTGAGCTACGCAATCTTCGTACGTTCATAGGCTGTATGAAGTGTCAATCATGGAAGTCAATCATTTAAAAACTGGAGCTGCACAGAAAAAAAGAGGACTTGAGCACAAACCAGTCTTACAATAACTACATGTCAACATCGCAAGCAGGGGGTGAAAAATGTATATTCTGTGCAATAAGTTTATAAAGTTTGTCCACAGCCTTACAGGGATTGCTGGAGGAGGCGGGATTTATGACCTATACTGTAGCCCGTCACCAGAGGGTGCTGTTCTCAGGGAGGCGTCACCCAGTGAGGAGGCAGATGGTGTCCATTCTGTACACAGTCTATGATCCCAACACATCACACAATGAATCTACAGACGCCTCAGTACTGTCCCTCCCATTTTCTATCACCATCTTTATTTGTAGAAGTTATAACTCTCTTGTTTTACACTCTCAGATGATTAGTATAGTCTGTGAACCTTTTAGCTGTATTTTCAAAGTGGAGAATATTTGAACTGGGACTTACCATGATGACAGACGATTGTAACAAAAAGGCACTTAATGTGGTTACTGATACTGATCTGAGCTGCTACTATTTAAATATTTAATCATGGTTGATTGCATTTGTGTTACACAAATAGATGTGAATACACAAACTGCGTCATTATATAAATATGCTGCTGCATTTATATCATCATGGAAACAACAGAACAGTGTGAAACGTCTTTGAAACTAGTTCCCACAAGTCCTGCTGTGATGATCAGTCATTTCAACAGCATATCTCTGACATCATCTCTCAGTCTTTACCGAGAGTTTCCTGTTTTTTTTCTTAGCATGTGCTGCTTCTCTCAGATGCTGCTCAGATCTTTTCACGGCTTTACCTGTATGTGTATGAAATGAAGTATCTGTCGAATTTGCATGTGCTCTGACACCATCATGCGAACTTATCAGCACATGGCAAAGCAAGGGAAAGCAGGCCAAGTATGTGTGTGCCGATGTGTGTGTGTGTGAGAGGGATACAGTGGGTGTGTCCCTAGAGAGAGGAGCAGCAGAAAGTGACAGAACTGGAGGGATGAGTGGCTGTAACTGAGAGACAGAAAGAAACAAAGAAGGTATTTTAGAGGAATGGTTGTAACTTTCCCCTTCATCCACAGGTGTAAACGAATGTGGAGGTGAGTAGGAATTATTCTCCTAGATTTATTTACACTTTATTACGCTACAATGGTTTGATATTATCTGAGTTTTTCATCACCAAGAAGTCCAAACATTTACACTTTCTTTGTAAGTTTTCATGTGGACCTATTTTTCACCTCTCTTAAGTATCTGTTGGTTTTTGTTTGGTACCTTTTATAAAACTTTAATATGCTTGTTTATATTCAGCTCATAATGTTTTGAAAGGAGGGTTGTTGTTGTTTCCTGCTGACTATCATTTCAGAGCAGCTTGTATACGTCAAACAGGTATAATTAATTCATGAAGCAGTTTTATCTCATGCATGCTTAAAGACTCAGTTATTATTATCACTCCAGATCGCTGCTTGTTTAAAGTCAGAAGGGAAAGATTTTGAACGATTGAAGATAATGTCTCCATTTACTACCAATCTCACATGTAATATTACATTTAAAGACCAACTTTCCCAATCATTACCAGGTACACATGGGACTATACATAACCCCAACAGTGATCCAAAGTACTTTTACAACATAAGGTTAGAAAAATCAGAAGTATCTTATTCTGTTTGAACCTACAGGTTTAAGATCTGGTCACTAAAAATGACTAACTGCTTGTCTATTTGTTTTTAAGCTCTAAATGTTTAATATCCATATAAAGACATTTTCAGTCAACATCCCACTCTGATATGTGACCATGTGTGCAGATGACTCTCGAGGGGGAAAGCAGTCTCACCAGCTCCATGTCATGGATTTACTTGCTCATGTCTGGGCTCAAGTGCAGACACGGTGCTGTGTTTAACTCATCGTATAAGGTGGGGCAAAGGGGCATGACTAAGTTTACTCCTATGACTCTATGTAAGAGTGGGATTTTATTGAAAGAGAAATACTGATCATTCAATCATTAGACATGGCTGCATGGTCTCAATGCCCCTATTTTGGTCCTGTGTTAGATACAGACCTCATTCCTTGGAAAGGCCCCTGTAGACACAGAAGGATTGTGGCTGCAGTTACTTAATAGTTTGTATTTAGAGATTGAACAGTGATGAACTTGTCTCAAACTCATGCAGGTATCAATGAAAGATGTGCTTTGAACATTGCAAATAATGTTCTTTACAACTTCCTCTTTCTATCGAATTTTGGCAGGTTCACTCTGGGGTAAATAGAACAAAGTAATTATCTGAAAGCACCAAAAAAGATGGATGGACTCCAAGACAGAGCTCCCCCTACCACTCGCTGTTATCTTCCTGGCTTCTCTCACACATTCCCAGACATTATTGCTTCACTAAACATGTGTAGTTACCCAAGAGTCGGTATGTGGTTGGACCACAAGAGCAGGCCAAGACATGTTTGTTTCAGGGACACTGTAGGGAACAACTTTCTCATTTAGTTTTATACTGTATACAGAATAACCCTAGAGTGTTTGACAATATGTGTGCAGACCAGCTCTTGAGCTTAACTCAGTGGTTCTCAATCCAGTCCTCAGCCCCCCTCCCCCTGCATGTTTTGGATGTTTCCCTGCTCCAACACACCTGATTCAAATGATCAGCTCGTTATCAAGCTCTGTAATGGCTTAATAACGAACTGATCATTTGAATCAGGTGTGTTGGAGCAGGGAAACATCCAAAGCATGCAGGACAAGGGGGGGCTCGAGGACTGGATTGAGAACCACTGGCTTAACTGTATGTGTAGCCTAAGGGCGCTCATGAAATTACTATAATGTGTCATCCTGTGACTTGAAATGTTGCTAAGTAGGAGTTGAAAATGTGACATGATGCCATGTTTTTGTCGTTTAAGCTAACAGAGCAGAAAATCTGAAACCGTTTGTTACAAAACACCCACAGATTTTTTTACTGCCCTGAAGAAGATTTATCACCAGAAACCGTGTCAGGCATGTTTATTTAATTGTAACCATTATCATCGCTACTTCATTTTACGAGGTTATCAAATGAAGCTAAAAGATAACAAGCCAGACAATTATGATGCTCATTTCCTTTAATCACTATGTGAGTAATTTACCTTGTCAACTGTCTACAAGAAAGGGCAAGTCTACTCATCATATTATCATCATCATCATCAGCAGCAGCAGCAGCAGCACTGTATCGTCACGTTGTTCTCAGACTTTTGAATGAAAAAACAAGAATAGAAAAACATCACCTTAGGCAAGGATTAATATTTTTATAGCTTTAAAAACCAGCAGAATAAAAAGCCTGTTGTGTGCATTAGCACCATCCCAGCATGGACCAAATGATGTGTAAATATTGCCTCCATATTTTAAAAGTGCAAACAATGCAAAATGTCTTCAACTGCATTTTTAATGTGACACCAGAAGTACAAAAATAATAAAGTAGTGAAGAAAAAGACTAAAAGTACTGAAACTATGAACTAAAGTGGAGTTAAGGAGAGCCTTTAGCCTCCTAACAAGGCGATCAGTGTCAGTAGTGTCCCTATCTATCAAAAACCTCAATATCTTCAAACCCAGAGGTGAGAATATTGGATCAAAACTTAACTCTACGGACCAGCTGGTCCATTCATTCTGAATCAATAAAAGTTAGAATTAACAACAACATTCAAAACTGTTAAGTACAATACTGTCTTGCTTGAAAGGGAAAGGGGTCTTTGAGATCAACTTTAAAACTACAAAGGGCCATACACTCATACTCTGGTTGTCTGTGACCCTTCTTACCGAGATAATGTCTTTTCAGATAAAGACATTGACCATGGGTAGACAGGATGCCTTCAGTGTTGCACCTGTTCTTGTAATGCAAATTTCTGCCGCACAGAAAATCTAAATATCTCTATAAAGTTTCTCTTCTCCATGGTTGGCATTAGATAAAGACATTAAGTCATTGTGAGGTCAGGTTATATGAAAAAGACAGCATAAAAAAAAAATAACTTAGTTATTTAGTAAACGATTAAGACGAGTCCAGCTCTCCAACTAATTTTAATATTACTGACATTCACCCCCTGTACATTTTTCAGGCAAAAGTTGTTTATTGTACTCGCTGTAAACATGTTTAGTTTCGCTGCAGAGATGGGCTTTTGAGAATGGCTGTGTATGTCGTTTTCTGGGCTCTTGAAGGCAGCCTCAAGTGGAGGCTGGGGGAACTGCAGTTTTTAGCAATGGGCATAATTTCTCAGAACAGGAGGTTGCCACTTGTTTGAAACATATGAGACAGTAACTCTGTTAATGCCTTCTTCTGAGATAATCTATTACCTCTAAACCATCATGAAGGCAAAAGTCGACAACCGAGTAACTACTTCTGTCTGCACCTAAATTATGACCTAAGCTTTTAAAGGCGCTTTACAAAGTTTTTCAATCTTTTTTATTTTCAGAGCACCATGTCAAACATGACCTCCATCACAGATGTGTCCCGAGGACAGCAGTTCTGCCCGCTCCTGCAGGCCATGAAGGAACACAACCTCAATAACAACACAAAGGCAAATATGGTGGTAGTGTGCATCCATGGTCTTGTCTCTTGCCTGGGTATTTTGGAGAACGCCCTGATCCTCTGGGTGGTGGGATTCCGTCTGCAGCGCCGCACCGTGGCCTCAGTCTGGGTGCTTAACCTGGCCATGTCTGACTTCCTGGCGACACTTACCCTGCCCCTCTTCACCTTATACCTTAGCTCCCCACATAGCTGGGAGCTTGGCAGCATACTCTGCAAAACACAGGCCTCCATCTTCTTCCTGAACATGTTTGTGTCAGCATTCCTGCTGGCAGCCATTTCTCTTGACCGCTGCCTCCTGGTGGCCAAGCCAGTGTGGAGCCAGAATCATCGGTCCGTGGCAGGAGCATGGAAGGTGTGTGCTCTGGGTTGGCTGTGGGCAGTGTTCAATACATTCCCTTATCTCCTATTCCGCTCAGTGATTGAGAAACAGGATGGGAGGAAACTGTGCTATCATAATTTCGCTTTATTCTCTGGAGCCAATCTGGAGAGAAACTGTGAAGTGAGACAAGCAGCAACTGCTATCTCCAAGCTGCTGATTGCCTTCCTGGTCCCCCTGGCGGTGATAGCAGGCAGCTATATCCAAATAGGTCTTAACTTGAGGAAAAGAAGAAGGAGGAGGAAACAAAGTACCAGTAGGCTGACCGATGCCCTGGTTGTTTCAAACAAAAACGGGGCACCAGGAACTACAAGTACACCTACATCCACAAAAACCACAAATATGTTTCTCAAGCCTCCATCCTCGGGTCCATCTTTAGCCCTGACACCAACTGCCTTGTCTCCTTCTCCCAGTGCTGGACAGTTGTCCCAGAGCTTCACCAGGATGGTGACATTTGTAATAACAGCATTTGTTCTGTGCTGGGCCCCCTACCACATCTTCTGCATGATTGAAGTGTCAGCCCAGTACTGGCAAAATAATCTTTACCTGGTAGAGGTGGGGCTGCCTTTAGCGACAACCTTTGCTTTCCTAAACCCTGTGTTGAACCCCATTCTCTACGCCTTCAGCTGTCCAAACTTCTGTGTGCGAATCCGACAGAGTCTGGGGACAGTGTTTGATGGCCTGGTGGAGGAAAGAGGGGGTTTGCTGTTGGCACCAGGAAAAAGTTTAAGAGCTCATATCAGACGGAAGAGCAGTCGAGATGTGAGCTTAGGAGCTCCAGGATCACCAAGAGGTTCGTGTTCACCGCGTCCTTCAGCTGACTTCAAACCCTCCTTCCCACCACCTTCACCTGCTTTGAGTCTCAAGGACAGAGCCATGGAGAGACAAGAATCAAATGATGAAGTAGAAGATGGCTGAGACTTTGAAAGACAAAAAAAAAGGATAATATTGTAACCCTGCACAGTTCAAGTGAAGAACCAGCAGTAGGGTAACAACCCAGGTGAAGGCAAGGACATTTTATCCAAAGAGAGAAGAACTATTACTTCCTTTATTCAATCCGACAGCCTTTTCTTTTACCTTTATAAATGAGACTCTTGGATGTTTGTCTTTGGCTGAGTCTAATGCTTGATGTTACTTAGTTAGATATTTTATGAAATATAAGCCTAGTTTTTCACACAAAGGGGTGAAAACAAGCTGCTATGATCCTGTACTACTTACTGTCAAAACATGTAGAGGTGGAAAGCAGTATAAGAAAAAGTGTGGAGCTGCCGCCTGCCAAAATCCACATTCTTATTTTGCTTTGCCTCAGTGAGCTAACAAAAGCATGAGGGAAAAGGAAGTGGCTGCATAGAGCGAAGCTTTCATGGTTTACAAACAGGTCTGTGCAACATTTCTACTTACATATTTCAACAATTACTGAATGGTATGCAAGACATTTTGTTAAGGACACAAAGTATGTGGTCCAAAGACTTGAGTTCTGGTCAATCTAAATCAAAGTCATTGCTCTCACATGAAAAATGGTGGAGAGGTAGCCTCTATTCCTGGTATCAGCATGTCACCATTGCCATTTTAATCATTTCAGCTCACTTGGACATTGATCTTAATGCAAGGCTTGCAGTTGTGATTGTATTGTAGATTTAGGACCCAAATTATGCAAAACAAATATGCCGACAAGCAAGTAAATGTTTATAAATTGCTGGTCTAATTCACTGTCATGGTGCCTTTTTTAACAATTTCACTTTTATACTTAACTGAGAAGAGTATTGACAGAAATTAAAGATCTTGGCAACAAATATTGAGGTATTGTTAACTCTGTTTGTGTTACTTTTAGAGTAAAAGAAAAAAAACCGCACATACACAGGAATACAACAAGTACTGGATGCAATAGTGTGCTAGGAGCATAGACTGTATTTACTATCAACAACTTGGTCCCGCCCTCCACCAGTATATGGATTTGAAGCCAAAAAGCGCTCGGTATTTCCATGATGTTTCTCCACTTCCTAAAACCAACATTGTGCAGTAGCGTTGTACGCATTCGGCGGGAGAGTCGCAGAGAATCAGCTCAAACAGCGTATCCCCCGGGTGAGCTACGCAATCTTCGTACGCCCATAGGCTGTATCAAGTGTCAATCATAGAAAACATAAACCCTCTGATAACTTTTAAAAATTGAGTTGTACAGAAAAAAAGAGGACTTGAGCACAAACCAGCCTTACTGTAACTACATGTTAACATCGCAAGCAGGGGGGAGAAAAATGTATATTCTGCGTTATAAATTTCTAAAGTTTGTCAACAGCTCCATAGGGATTGCTGGAGGAGGTGGGATTTATGACCTATACTGCAGCCCGTCACCAGAGGGTGCTGTTCTCGCAGTGGCTACACCCAGTGAGGAGGCAGACAAAGTCCATTTTATATACAGTCTATGGTCAGGAGATGAACTGGAAAAAAATGAAATATACAGGGTAGATATGTGCTATTAGGTCACGTCTGCAACAGTCAGTGTCCCATTTGAGCCCCTGCAGTCAGAGAAGTCTGGATACACCCCCTGGTAAAATTGGACAGTCATGTGACATCATGTCATTTAAAGGTAGTAAACAAATCCATTTCTGCTGCAGCAATCAGCCTATTGTTAAACACTGGATATTACATTATGAGTCAGGACTATTATAAGGGGAACAGCAAAAGAGAGATAGGCTGAATGTCCTGCGTCTGAAGATGCAGGTTTGATGCTATACTGATATTTGACCACTGGAGAGCACCACAGCACCAATTCAATTAACACACAAGACATGGTCGGGTAGGATCCAGGTCCTGAAATCAGAGTGGACTTCAACATTAAACTTCTGTACAGCCACTTCTCTGTCTGATGAAGTTTTGTCATTCCTGTTGTGCATTTTGACATTCTCGTTAATAATGAGAGCTGTGGCAGTAGCCTGGTTTCAACACACTCAGTTAGACGAACAGACACAGACAGAGGTGTAATGTAGGCCACAGCAGAGTGGGATTACCACAGAGGTTGTTGTAATATGAAGAGAATATTACAGAGAAGATTCAGAATATAAAGACAGAGCAGGATTAAAACCAACAGGTCAGACAGGCACACAAAGCCCCTACCTCTCTGCCATTCTGTTACAGCAGATTATCCCTCTCTGCTTCCCTTTGAGACTTTGTCTCATTTTCACTTCCTCTTAGCTCAGCAAGTTCTCCTTTCTGGTCAAATAGCCTCAACTTTTCTTTTTAAGGGGATAACACTTCCAGTAATGTCAATATTACGTAGTACAGAAAAGTAGAGGAAGAAGTTAAGGATTTATTGAGTTACCAGAGTTTACTTTTTAGTGAGATTTATGACATTTAAGAATGTAAAACATTTGAGAACTTTTAGGGCTCTACTGGCCTGCATAGTCTTAGGAGAATATATCATATATTGTGTTTCAGACCGCAGGGGAAAATCCTGCAGCCTCAGTAAGAAAAAAATAAAATGATAACACAATCTAAATGAATATAATTCCTCCTGGAGTGGCTGTGGCTCAGTCCTAGAGTCTGTTGTCACTCAATCAGGTCTGAGGTTCAAACTCCAGCCCTACCATTCAGCACGCTGAGGTGTCCTTGCACAAGACTCTTGATCCTACCCATCCCGACTGGCTTCACCCAGTGGTGTGTGGGTGGGATTAGTCAAAAACTGATGGAGTCTATACATAGCAGCCTCTGTCGTCAGTGTGTGAATGTGGAGTGAATGAGTGAATGTGACGTGTAATGTGGTTTGAGTGGACAGGATTAGAGAAAGCGCTTTTAACATACTTTATTGTCGACTTATGGTTCTTTGCTACAAGGAAATTTGCACTAAAATAATATCATGCACTAAAATAAAAAGTGAACATTTCTATCACCAAGACTTTAGTTTTACATTGACCTATTTGAGCGAAATAGTTAGATGCTTACAGCTGGCGGGAATCATGTGGTTAATTTCACAACTTAAAATGAAACTCTTGACTAAACTTGCAACATTTATAAATTAAAACCAGAATAGAATAAAAAATATCGATTTTTTGTCAAAGTCCTTTTTAGAAAAATTCTTCTATAAATGAAAGGCAAATATTCATTGAAGTTGCAGATGTGTGCTCAACAGTTTCCTTTTATGTTATTTGAACTGTGAGTAAAATAATGTATCCACTAATACAATTTGTTGGACCTCAACTATGCTGACTTTACCACCCTGATAAATGAATACTCCAGAGTGAAATCCGTCTTTGCATCCAGCTGTTGTAGCAACCCTGGCTGTTGCAAAAGTCTCAGAGCTAACCATCTCTGACTTTATCATCCCACCAGGCAGCTCAGCATGACCACGATGTTTAATTGATGCCAAAGGTTGAGAGTTCAAGACCTCTGTCTTGCAGAGGATTATCCTCTACCTACTAATGCAAAGTACTATGTGAATAAGAAACACCCTAAATTAAAGATTTTTTAGGGCTGGATAGCTCTGCAGGTTGAACACCTGTATTGTCATCTCCTGTAATTTCCGACCTCCTTCTCTCTCCTAAAAATGAAACTACATATTCTGCTTTTCTTTTAGGATAACCACTCATAAATGAATTTACTTTTTTTTAACTGTAGTTTGATAAAAAATAAGGGGAAACCTGTGCAGCTGGATAGGCTTCTTTAGACAGTGATCCACTACTTATTGTAAATCTTTCAGTAATGGAGAAAAGAGTGCATGGAGATGCAAGAAACTACGGAGAAAAGAAAGGCCAACAACCAATGAGTCAACTGAAAGTCTTGCATTGACTTAAAGACCCAGATGTGGGGCAGATTAGAGTTATAGGGATGTTTTTAAAGACACAGATAAGGATTAAGATAATGAACTCACTAACAGTGAGAACATTGACAGTGTAAGATCTTGTGTAGGATGGGGTCGGAGAGATTATATAAGACACTGTGGAAAACAGTTGGTACTGATAAGAGCGAGGGGAGAGAATGAACAAGCAAGTAAGTGGAGGGAGGGAGGGGTAGTGGTATTGCTTAAAAGGCTTTAATGCACTGATGCTCTACTTATAGCTGACAGATGCCAGCTGGAAAATTAAAGCACATAGGATGCTGATAGATTTTATCTATACTCATGTTAAAGGAGAGACTGGAGTTCCATCACAGAAACAACAACAAAGCACAAAATGTCACAGACTGTAACTGGGATGTACAACCAACAGCAAATCTAACATCAGATACAAAAGATCACTTTTATATAGGGATGTCCCAATATACTGCTGTCGATAATAACCATTATGGTTTCCTATCCTCTCTCTATCCCCGAAAAAAACAAGAAGGGGCAGTTCCTTCTGTGAAGGAATACCTAAAGTGGGTACGAGAGGTGTGAAGGAACGTCTGGGCAACTCTCACTTGATCAGCTGAGAGGAACAAGTGGCTGCTGGCCTCCATCATACCCCCACTCCCGAGTATAAGCCTTTATATTGGAGTTTATCTCTGATAACTTCATTCAGTAACACTTAACTTGACGCCTATCTCTATAACGCATTATAAATATATGTATAATACATTATAATCATGTTATAGCACTGTATAACTATAGTTATAAACACCCATAAATGATCATAATGCTTTATAGCAATAATAATGATACATTATAAGGCAATTTATCATGACTTACAAAGTCAGGTGTTATAATGTGTTATAAATGTTAACAACTCACTTTAACACATTACACATATATTTATAATACGTTAAAGAGATAGGTGTCAAGTAAAGTGTTACCCTTTATTCCTACTTAAAGCTCCTGTGAGGGACTTTTGGGTTGTGTTGATTTTGCCGACACCCTATGAACAAAGTGGCCTTTGCTGAGTTTGTCCTTTATCATAAAAATAAATAAATAAATAAAATAAAATAAAACTCATCCTGCTCTCTCCTGACAGCGAGTTGTATCAATCACTGAGTATCTTTGCACTGGATAAAGTTTTTTTCTACAGTGTTGTGTACAGTGCACAGTGCATGTGTTGACTCAGTCTGACACCTAACCCCTGCAGGTGGTGTCACACATTAAATATTAATAATCCTTTTTGTTTGGGTTTTTCGCCTTCAGGGGTCACAAAGATTCATTTTTGATACAGTTTTGATTTCTGTCCATAACCAGCTTAAAACTTAAACAAGTATCCAGACTTGACATTACAGTACCATGAGCCTGAGTTGCTGCTGCAAAAATCAGTGTAACCAGTTTACTTTTGACTCTTGGGATTTGGATTCTATTATTGTGCATCAGATAGTCGAGACTTTGGGGTGGAGAGAGACGTGTTTCAAATTTTGAATTTAGAAGAAAAAAATGAAGCCTAACCCCCAATTTTTCATAATTAGGCTGACATCTTTATTTTTATTTTTTTCACTAACGAGACATTTATTGATAGTCTTGGCAATCGCAAAACTTCCCTGACTGTTTGGGACAAAGTGTAGTCTGAAATTCACCTTGGTTCATTGTGACAGTGAGCCCTATTGAACAACACAAAATTAAGGCAAAATTATTGTTTCTTTTCTTGTCAATAACTTCAACTCTAAAATAAAGTTAGGTTTTAGTGAAATATATTCTACAGCTGCAGATTCCTCCTTCAATTTATTTTTTACTGTCTCTGTTTTTGCTGTTTATGGAAATATGGGAATGGGCCATGTTGCATTATTAGTTATTGTTCTGTACTTTATCTGTACTTTGGGTTTTCTTTATATATATTTTTTTATGTTTTTGAAAATGCTCTGTGTTCTCACGTGTGTGAAAATGCTCTATATGCTAATGTGTGCATTTTCATGTGTTTTCTTGACCCTTGTTGTGTCAACAGTGATAATCATCCAAGAAGCATCTCTGTGACTTCTCTGAGAGAAACAGGTGATTTTTTTTTTTACTCAAGCACTCACATGTGACCCTGTCTATGACTGCGTATCCTCTGGCCCTTGTTTTTGTCTTGAATTTTCATTTTCTTCGGGGTTTTTCATGTGATGCTCTGTAGTGAATAATGTCAGACAAGTCCAAAATCAACATAATCCAATTGTTATTAACAAAAGCCCAGTTGAGTCACGTGTGACCTTAAATTCTGGAAACATTCGCTGTAATTGTTTTGGTTTTACTTTGTTTTTTACAAGAAGAAATGCAGTTTTATCTTTTTGCAAAACTGTTGTGGACTGCACAGGCCCATATGCTGAATTTGACAGACAATGGGAAGCAATATAAAGGGCAGAGGATTGAGGACATCAGCCTACATCAGCTTGGGAGCAGAGAGGAAATAAATACAGGATTAATTCAGATGTCACTTACATGGACAGAAAACAGTGCACAGCTGTATAAGACGTGGAAGCTAAGGTTACTGACACACTTCTATGAACAGGTGATGGTGTTTTTTTTAATCTATTGTTCAGTCAATAAAAAATGATATTCATGCCTGACAGAGAGAATACATAAATCATCAAGGTTGGATAAAGAGTTAAGTGAGGGGTCCATGTGGACACAGATAGAGGAGGGATGAATGAGAGAGAGGGTGGGGATAAGAGCAGGAGGAGCATCAACAGTGGGAGATATGCCTCAGATTATCAACTGGTGTCAGATGCTCTAGAGGCAGATCAAGAGGAGGAGTGGACAAGAGTGTGCAGGAGGACAAACAGAGATAACAAGGACACCTTTGTGCATGCGAGCTGAGCTGCAAAGATGACTGACGCCAAAAGCGTATCAACTATGGAGGTGCCAGAGGGGAAACTCATGAAAAAGGTCAGTGGATGTACATAGTGAATGTGCATAGTAATATGACTTTTACAGCGTCCTTAATCCTGTCACAGCTGCTCTTACTAACTCAACAGGATATATTGTGGTGACCCAGCATCTGCATCTGCAGCCTAAAGGACATAGACACATTATCCATATGTTTGTTACCTCCGCCAAGGAGGTTACGTTTTCTTTAATAGTGCAATTCATTCATTCAGTAGTCTTTTAGTTTTGCACATCATTTTAGAGAAAACTATGTATGAAAAAAAAAATCAGACTTTACTAATCAGATACATTGATTTTTTTGCAACCAAATTCTGCCAGAACAAAAAACCCTCCCAAGTTCATGCATCAGAAGTATGGTAGTAAATCTGGAGTGCTGTTTGTCTGGATGCTAAATGATATTCCACTTTTAGTAGTTGTGTGTTCACTCTACCTGTGCTGCTGCAGTTTCTTTGCAATGAGCTCAACAGTTTGTTCATTCACAGTCTCTGCTGCATGAGCGGTCATCTGTCACTAAGGATGGGACAGTAATTTATTATTACATCAACTATTTTGACCACTCCTGTTTTAATCACAGAGACAGTTTTCACTTCTTTCTCACCACTTATGTAGTTTTTAATAACAGTCGTATTAGTAAATCTTCTACCATTTTATCAATTTTTCCTCAGGGACAAACACAAGATGCACTTTTTAAGGCCTCCAGTTTCACAGTTCCCTGTTATATTTCTTCTACAGGGCTCCATTAAGAAGAAGATAGAGTCTCTCAGGCGATGGAGCTCAGCGAGTATGAAGAGGCCTCCAAAGCCCAAGGCCAAGACCTTAAGTCTGTCGTCTCCTGTGAGAGACTCCCAGGACCTCTGGCTGCAGGAGGGGGACAGGAAAAAGCTGCGACCTATTGTAGACTCTGTCTTTGGACAGGTATGTTGATACTCAGGGGGTTTCATGTACCTTGGGCGTTTGAAAAATGGCACAGATAAAAATTTGGGTGACATGTATGTTTTAAGAAATGTGTCCCGTCCTTATAGACAAGTGGCTAAGGATTTAATGAGTGAATGATTGCGTAAATAAACACTCTTCAGAGAGAAAGGTGAGCTTTTTACTGCTCTGCTTCAGGGCTGTCGCAGTATCACACGTTCAACTCATGATTACTGTGGCTAAAAATCACAGCAACAATATTTTCATGGTATTTATGGGACAATTTTAAGAAAAAAAATGCGACCATTGAAATAACAGAAAGGCAAGACAAGAGTATATCAGAATGTGCCTCATATACTTTATTAACATTGCACTTAGCTCACATTCATATCATGATCCATTTTCAAAGTTGTGTTTTATTCATGTTACCAGCAACGTGACAGAGACTTCTTTAGAGACAAAACTGACTCAAAGGATTATTTTTGTGGTGCTTTTATGTTGACATTCCTACTGTCTTGCTTTCAAGTTGCTGTATCTTCTTTACCACAAAACATGCTTTTATTTTGAAGTTCAGTGCAATACTTGGCTTCCGGCTGTGTCCAGCAGTGTGTGAACGGGTTTGGCTAAAACTGATGGGTGTCATCAGTGTGTGAATGGGTAAATAGGACATGTAATTTAAAAGTGTGGTAAGTGATCAGAAGATGAGAGAAAGCTCTGTAATATAACAATTTAAGGATGAATAGATTGGTGTGGGCTGCTTCACACGCTACGTTTGCAAGAGCACACATGTATCCATGGTTTGTGAGTGTGTACAGATGTAGAGGCATGAAACTAAATCTCCATGTAAATTTACATAGCTAGTTTGTCTGACCGTGATTTCTTCTGAGGAGTCTTGTGGGGTCTTTTGTGTAGATTGGTTTCATTTGAGCGGTTATGTGCTGACATGCATACTTCTTTTTAACTGCATTAGTGCAGACTTGAGTTGAATAGTTCCAACAAAAATACTTATATTTGACTCAAATTAAAGTATTTTTTTTTAAATTGTTTTACTATCTCTGCCCGTGAAAAGGTTTAAAGTATTGTAATAAACTCCCCATTATTTTGGAGGTACTTGAACTCCACTATATTTTTAAGTATGTTCTTTGGTCAGGTAGTTTGGTGTGTAGTTTGTCAAAGGAGTGTTGGGCACCTACATGGTTAAATGGAGAGTAAATTTGTATATTTTTTTTCTCTGTTTACTGCACACAAGATTCCCCATCCAGCCTGAAAAGAATGTGAAGGTGTGTAGTTGAATCTGTTTTATCCCAGATGAAGACTTTGGCACCATCGGCTGATGTTTAGTGCATGCTGTCTTCCTAGTTGCAGTGGTTGCTGGTTTGACTCCTCTCCATGGCCCTTTGCTGTCTTCCTCCACTCTCTACTCCCAATGTTTCCTTTCTCTCTTGAGCCAAAAGAAAACTTCAAACTGTGCTTGTATTAACTTATAGATGCTATTTCTAGTATTTTGGGGGTAGTTTTAAACATGTAAATAGTGTTTCTTAAGATACAGCAGAAAGTACATCCTTAGATGCTTGACTCTAAGTACAGGGAAAGTACAACAAAGTTTGAAGACTTTTAAAAATGCTGTTTGAAAGTTTAAAAGCAAGAACTCCACCAATTTAAAGCTCATGTAAGAAGTAATTTGGCATTCATGAAATAGACTGAAATGAAAACACATATTTTTATATTATACAAAAGCAAACAAGACCATCAGAAACAAGACTTGATGATTTCATGTCATAATTTATAAAGTCTGAAGTTTGTGCGAGAGGGTCAGCCAAGTCAGCCAGAAATAGCCCTGCTTTCACAATTTTCACAAAATATTCATAAAAATGATCAATTTGACTGTCAACAATTAGAAATATGATATTTTTTTGCACTTAGACACCACTTAGGCATAGAAGACAATATTAAAAAAAACACTGATTTTTGCACATGGGCATCAATATTGATACACACATTGAAAGTTCCTGACAGGTGCTTTAACTTGAGTAATAATTTGATTGAGGAAGTTTAACTCTTATTGAGGTACAGGAGTTGCAGGTCTATCTATACTTTAACTAAAATGTGAGGGGGGTGGCAAAGTGTGAGATCAGTGTGTAAGAAATAGAGGAAATTTCTTAATACTCTCATCTATGTCAGTTCTCTCTGAACATCAAGCATGGGGTTCATTGGCTGCAGTTTGAACTCCAGCTCACAGTATGAACCAGGCGTGACCTCACAAAGCTGGTAGCATTTACCAGGTCAAATCAATGAACAGAGCACAGAAATATAATCTATAATTAGAGAACTTCTTTCTGTCTTGGTTCTTTGGATACGGGGATGTCCTGCTGTTTTTCCCCTCTTTTCCTTTTTTTCACTCTCGCTCTTATTGTTGCAATGAGTCAGCTGAACACTGAGCAACAGATGGAATGAATGATGAGAATCTGAGGAAGGGAGGGAGGGCAGGGATGAGGGCCTGGAGGCGTTTGTTGGCTGGATGTCATAAAGAACGACAGAAGAGATTGATTGCAATGTAAAGTGAGATTAGAGCTTAAACAGAGGCACATCATTCATTCAGTATTACTCAGACAGCCATGAAGTTTAGCCTCTGGTAGGATTGAGGTGACACTTAAATCTACTAGTATGAGTTTGTTAAACAGATACGACAGATCACACTGTGCATGAATTTGGTCTGAGGCAGTGGGAGAGGTTTAATCACCCCTGAAGTAAAAGTTGTAATGGTCTGTGTTTAAATCTGTGTAAGATGCAACTTTAATTATTTTCTGAGGGAAATACTCTCATGTGTCAGCAGCCCCGACATCAGCTGTTTAGTAATTTTAAGAAAAACAGCAGAAAAAGGTGAAGGATCTGAGAAAGAAAATCATTGAGTTCACTGTTCCAAACACACAGCTTTTAGATGTGGCGTTGTTGGTGTTGTTGTCACCACCAAGGTCACAAATGAAGGCTTGATGTGGCTACAAAGCAGAGTTATAATTAGAAGAATCGATGTTGTGGAATAATACTTCATTAATGTATAAAACTGACAGCTGTGAGGGCCTGTGTTCACTAATAGTGTTTTTTTTTACACCATCAGAACCCGTTTTTAGCGAAACGATGCAATTTTGCATTTTCAGCTCTCCTCAGTGCTAAAAAAAAAAACTGATTTTCTCGGGCTCGCCATGATCTTTAATTGGAAAAAGTTCAACAGATGAAACACTGCTGATGTCATAGTTTTTTTTTTTTTCCCTTATTTTTGCATGCAGGCACAGTTAGGTCGAGCTAAGGTTAGAGTTAGGGTTAGGTGATTTAACTGGAACACTGTCCTTGTTCCAGTTCTCAAGCACTGAGCAAGAATCCGATTATTGACAGAAGCACGTCTGCCTCTGCTCTGGTCAATAGTCACATGTTCTCTTTCAGCTCATTCCTATCAGGTTGTCTGCCGGTAACATATCAAAGCAGCCAGTGAAACGCGTTAGCAAGAGGCTAACAGGATGTCACTTTTACAGCTCTGCGCTGTTGTTAGGGAAGTTTCATCTTTTTCACGTCCTTTCTCTGTCTGTTGAGGTTTTGTTAACTACCTGCTTCCAAACAATATATCCATGTTGTTCAACCTTTGGCTCTTGAACATGCTCAGAGGAGTAAGGCAAGTTTCAGTTTGATTGAGCTGTAAACATGATAGAGAAAGTCTATCTTCAACCACATCATCCAGGTAGTACAGGTAGTTTGACTATGAGAGGTTTGTTTTAGCACAGTTTAAGTCAGACTAATGTGTCTACATGATTTTTTAAAGTCTAATGAATGATGCCTTTTCCATCTCACATTCTCTGCACTATCTAGAGCAGCTCTCATTTCTCCACTATAAATATCACACTGGCAAATTGATTTCACAAATACAAAGGTTGTAAGAGATCCTTTGAAACTAAATAAGTGCAACATTGTGCCTCATGCAAGAAATAGAGGGAGTTGGGAGTTGTAAGTCTGTGGAGTCTGTATCAGGCCCTAAGAACCTGACACCCCCAGAGCATCCCTGTCAAGTCGAGCATCTGCGCACCTCGAGACCATGTTGATAGTGTTTTCTCTTGGATCATACCTTGGTTTTTGTTTTTGTCTTGATAATCAACAAACAAAATAAAAAATTAACTACCTGTCACTGCCACCTCTCCATTTTAATCCTGGAGTCTTTTGTTAAGATCACCTCCTCTTAGACTCTGTTGTCATAGGCTTTTTGCTTTTATCATCAAATCAGATCACCTTTTCTCCCCCTAAGTCCCAGGTCAAAAAAATGTTAAGAGTTAAGTTTTTGAATCTCTTTATAATCAGTGCACATAGATTCAGTAGTCAGTAATATTTTGTGCACTTCCTGAATGAGAACGTTTAAAATGTAAGATCCAAAAATCAAAGCTGTAAAATATGAATAACTCATGCCAATGTTTATATTTTTTTACAGTTTATAAATACAAATAAAATATAAAAAAGGCTCCCCCAGTGAGGTCAAACATATGTAATTTTTGTTATTGCTCAGCAAATGGTGCTAAGATAATCATATGGACAAATAAAAAAACCACAAACATGCAGTAATCTATGTTTTTATAAACACCCCTAAATCTAAATACACAATGTTTTTAGGAGCAATGAAAGGAAAAGGAGAAACTGATGGCATGGTACGTGGCTGATTCAAAAGCGAGAATTTCATTTCATTTTTTTTTTCTAAAAGTAATTGCAGGATAAAAAAAATATATATATATCTATAATGTTCAACTTAAAAAAAACCACAAAGTATAAGTTAAAAGTGTAGAGAGAAATATTTAAAAGCATTTAATAAGTTGAAATTTGGACTTCAAAATGTTTATTTAGTGATGTTAATGAATTAGCTTGCTGAAACTACAATATTCTATTACATTTATTAGACTAAAGTTTTTTTTCTGTGTGCTGATGTGACCCCCCTCCAAACTGACCCCACCCTGTGCCATTGTTAATACCTGGGTAAGCTCTGGGTCAGTGGAGTAACTGGCTGTGTGACTGCTTAGCTTGCTCTCATACACTCACCGGCCACTTTATTAGGTACACCTGTCCAACTGCTTGTTAACACTTAATTTCTAATCAGCCAATCACATGGCGGCAACTTAGTGCATTTAGGCATGTAGACATGGTCAAGACAATCTCCTGCAGTTCAAACCGAGCATCAGTATGGGGAAGAAAGGTGAGTTGAGTGACTTTGAACGTGGCATGGTTGTTGGTGCCAGAAGGGCTGGTCTGAGTATTTCAGAAACTGCTGATCTACTGGGATTTTCACGCACAACCATCTCTAGGGTTTACAGAGAATGGTCCGATAAAGAAAAAATATCCAGTGAGCGGCAGTTCTGTGGGTGGAAATGCCTTGTTGATGCCAGAGGTCAGAGGAGAATGGCCAGACTGGTTCGAGCTGATAGAAAGGTAACAGTGACTCAAATAACCACCCGTTACAACCAAGGTAGGCAGAAGAGCATCTCTGAATGCACAGTACGTCGAACTTTGAGGCAGATGGGCTACAGCAGCAGAAGACCACACCGGGTGCCACTCCTTTCAGCTAAGAACAGGAAACTGAGGCTACAATTTGCACAAGCTCATCGAAATTGAACAATAGAAGATTGGAAAAACGTTGCCTGGTCTGATGAGTCTCGATTTCTGCTGCGACATTCGGATGGTAGGGTCAGAATTTGGCGTCAACAACATGAAAGCATGGATCCATCCTACCTTGTATCAACGGTTCAGGCTGGTGGTGGTGGTGTCATGGTGTGGGGAATATTTTCTTGGCACTCTTTGGGCCCCTTGGTACCAATTGAGCATCGTTGCAACGCCACAGCCTACCTGAGTATTGTTGCTGACCATGTCCATCCCTTTATGACCACAATGTACCCAACTTCTGATGGCTACTTTCAGCAGGATAATGCGCCATGTCATAAAGCTGGAATCATCTCAGACTGGTTTCTTGAACATGACAATGAGTTCACTGTACTCAAATGGCCTCCACAGTCACCAGATCTCAATCCAGTAGAGCATCTTTGGGATGTGGTGGAGCGGGAGATTCGCATCATGGATGTGCAGCCGACAAATCTGCGGCAACTGTGTGATGCCATCATGTCAATATGGACCAAGCTCTCTGAGGAATGCTTCCAGCACCTTGTTGAATCTATGCCACGAAGAATTGAGGCAGTTCTGAAGGCAAAAGGGGGTCCAACCCGTTACTAGCATGGTGTACCTAATAAAGTGGCCGGTGAGTGTATGTGTCCAGTGTTGCTGGATATGCAGTGGTGCTGCCATCACAACAAAGCCCTGAATCACTAACCAGACTCTTCTCCTCTGATATCCTTCAGCGGTGAAATGGATAACCAAACTCTATCTACAGAGTCCCTTTCTACCTTCAAGAAAAAGCTCAACATTCAGCTTTTTAGAGAACAGCTATGCAGTTCAGCCTCTGCTCTGAAATCCCTGATGATACGACTGATACAACCACTTTTGATTTACACAGTCCTCTTCTACTTCTGAGACACGTTTTGACCCAGCTCTTACTGCACCATTCTGCACTTGGTGGTTTGGTGCTTATGATGATTTTGATGAGGATGATGGGGATGATAATGACGATGATGATGATGATGATGACAGTGCCACAGTGTGATTTCATGTTGACAAGAGTTTGTAATAGTTGCTGAGTGATGATGATACAATAAAACAAAACAAACAAACATACAAACAAACATGTGCATCACCTTTTAGGAAAGCACTCCCACTGAGTATTTTTTGGTCTAAAAGAGGTCTAATAGGCGTCTAAATGTTGCCTAGATAACTGGTCTAAAATCAGGCTACCACACATCTAAAAATAAAAGTTTTTTTAGACGTCTAAATTTAGCCCAAGTTTAGACTAGCCAGCTAACAGAGGTCTACACTGTATATTGCTCAACAGATATCATATTTTTTTTGGTTAAATACTTGGATTAGTTATTAGTTAGCATTAGTTATGCAACTCACAGTTGCTTTTTTAAATAAATAGTTATCGAATAATGCGTTAAATTGCAACGCCTAAATTCTGTCTAAAAATATATTAAATCTAGACGGTTGAATTTGGTCTAAAAAAAAAAAACTAGACGTCCATTAGCCCTCTATTGCTGGGTGGGCTATTTGGGCTTGAAGCAGTTGTTGGCATTACTCACATGGTTTCTGTCAGTCTAGATCTTTGTTGTGTTATACTGTGGAAATTGGACTGTTTAAAAAATAGACTTCTGTAAAAGAGGTTACATTTAAATCTTAGTATTTAAACTCTTTGGATATTTTGCCCTTGTCAGAAAACGTCATATCAGGTTTAACTTTTTATAGTCAAAGATAGTATTTGTTTTCTGTGAGTACAAAGCAGCTTTAGTGGACAGATTTAGAAGCGAGTTAGTCGGTGGTCCATTACCTCTCCTGCACTCTTAGCTGCAACAGTTGTGTCCTATATTATGGAAAGAGATAAATATCCATCCCAACCCTTTGTGACTCTGCATCCTCTCATCCTGTTTTGTTCAAAGAGTCTCTAATCTAAAAGGACCTCCAGGACCTCAGAAAAACTCAAATTTAACTTTTGGGTCAAATGGATATGCATCAACAAAAATATAGACAGGTGCAACAAGCATTATCCTCTCTTTCAGGAGGGGTCAATGAGACAGAATGAGAGCAAGGGATGCGGGCCAATCCAGAGAGTTGTAGTCCCTAAAACATGAAATCATGTCACATCTATTCCCTTTTTTGAGTTTGAACTAAGTCTCAAAAAGACTTTACAAAGTGATTCTCAGTTTAATATAAACCTTGAAGCTTAAAACCATACGAATAAAAAAGGGCTTTTATTTGTTTCAACCCATAAACTGACCTCGCTAACCCAGTGGCTCTTGTAGTCAGGAGTACTACATAAAGTACACATGCGCAGTGATTGGTAATGTTAAAAATAAAAGTAACCTGTCAAGTTACAAGATTTCTGCCAGTAAAAGAAAAAAAAAAGTTCCTGTGTTACTGACAAAGTCATGTGTTTGAGTACACTGTTACCCTCTGACTGCACTCAAAGATTATTTTTGTATCATGTGACCCCCAACAAAGCTTGTGCGTCATCCTCTGCTTGTTTGTGTGTCTGAAAACACGATGACTGACTCTGAGTGTGTTATGTTGGAGATTGAATTGGTAAATGTTGAGCAATAGTTGATCTTATCGAAATCATTGCAAAAGAAAAATAGTAATAAAAAAAAATGAGGAAATTTGGATGAGATGAATGTGCAGCCTCTGAATCAGTGGAAGTGCTACCCGGAGGACCAGTCAGGGCTTGCAGTCTGTGTTGTCTTGACAGGTAGTAACGGGTTTGATGAGCTAACTGTCGGGCTACATATGTAGACTCCTGTGTTTGTTAAAGAGATATTCCAGCGCAAAATTGAGTTAACATCGAGTTAGACACCCCGTCAAGAGATGAATGTCGCCAAACTCTTGCATCTCTAATTATACCAACTTTAGTAATGACCGCAGGATAGCAATACACAGCGGTCCCAGGAGCCTTGCGCTGAACCAAAAAAACACTCTATAGCCACAAATAATGATCAGAACAGCACTTAACTTCATCAACAGTACATATAGGGTCCCAGCCATAGCACTAGCCACCAAACATCTTTTTAACTTTGCCTGATTTCTTTAGCAAAGAGCCTAAACACAACTCACCCACTCTCTTCCAGCAGCCACTTGTTTGTACGGAGACCTCAGGCAAGTCAATTACCATAGCGGGGAGACGCAGCTCAAGGAAGAACATTTATTTTCATCTGAATTTGTACTTAAGTGGACTTACTTTTGTCTTGAAACTAATGTTGTACGGCTGCTTACAAGCAGCAAAACAAGCTAAATGAAACACGGACACAATAGCAACCAGGAACAGTCAGTACATTTACACATTGTTAAAAAGAAATCAATCAAACTTCTCATTATCATAAACAACTGTTAAAGGTCTTTTTTATTGTATCTGACCTACTGATCCATTTTCAACAGATCAGTCGTCAGTGGTTCAAATTTGGGTACCACTGTGTCTGGAAAAGGACTGTTTGGGCACAAATCTTGACATTCTAATTCATGGTTAGGCCAAAACATCTGTTTTTTTCTGATGTAATTCTTAATTACGAACACAGCCAAAGCCCATGAGTCGTGGTTTGTGTGAGTCTGTCAGTTTGGTCAGCATCTTTTTCACTCAGCTCAGTGTGTATCTTAACATGCTCCTCAGGTTTCTGCATGTGTTACAGCTCCAAGAATGACATCATTTAATCTTTTAGAAACAGAGGATAAAACTTGAAATCAAGGGCACTCTCTTTTACCTGCACAATTACACTCACCATGTACTACAGAGTTGCTCTACTGCTGTTTGCTACTGATTCCCTATGCACAGAGCGCCCTCTGTTGGCCCTTCTGTTTAGCAGGAATAATGTAATGATACGCAGATCAAACACAGGAAAAATGACAGTAGGATAGTTTTAAGACTTTAGCTTGGCTGACATGCTTTGCTAGGTCGTCCCTCCCTTGCGTTGCCTTTGCTTTTCAGAATTGATCACAACTGTCAGGTGGGGCTGACTAATCAGAATCAAGTATTTAACACTGCTCAGTCTGAACTCTGCTGCCTCATCTCACCTAATCCTCTTGCAGGCAATCAAATTACATGTTTCTTAGCAAATATCAATTCATTTGCCGGAGAGATCATCACACCTGCAGGGTCAGACAGCATGCTTTGAGTGTTTAAGGAGGGCTGTATGAATGAGTGAGCACTTAACATATCTGAATAAAAGCTCTGAGGTCAAACAGCCTCATATACTACACATGAAAGTCCATTAGGATTATGATGCAAACCCGGTTGGAGAGCTTTGGAAACCTGAAAATATGCAGGCTGTAAATGTTGGACAGTCACAGCGAGATGAATGCTCAATAACTGCCCTCATTTTTGAATGTTTGTTATAGAAATATAACCTTTGGATTTGTAGGTCACCCTGTTTTATCCCATGACGTGATTTTCAGCATTTGAATTACATTGTTTTTGTATGTACATTGTGTTTGTATGTCAACCAGCAGGCATGTGTAGTAAGCGAGCAAATACACATGGTCCTGCCCCGTCTAGGCCAAATTGCTTGACTGACCTACGTCACAGCTGTGAGGGTAGCGTGGCCTGCAAAATCCTGACTCCTGGAACATGTCCATTTCTGACCCGGCAGAGGCTTTTCTGTTGGCCTATCTTCTATCCTTGTCTTTGGGGCATCTGGTGTGCTTGATGTAGTCGAGGGATAGAGCATGAATTCTCACCCAATGCTCTGTTTTGGGATTTTGGCTATAAGCTTTGTGTTAACACCAGGTTTTTGATTGAAGCAAGATAGTTTTTTTTAAAGAGCAGAATAAAAATCAATTTCTTTTCTGTCTCTGTGTGCTTTACTAAAGGTGCACATGTTGACTATTTGCATGTAATCCTTGATGTCTGCTCCTCTGATGTCCTTGCTTTAGTCATTGTTGCAGTTACAGGATGAGAGACAGATGAAACACACTGTGCACAATTGTAGAATATATGATGGGAAACAATGCGGGGGGAAAAAAAGCTCATTACAGGACAGAGGCTTCCATTTGCTAATCTGGTTGATGTCCAGCTGGATCAGTGGCTAAGGCACATACTGTTATATAACCGAGACACTGTGGACACAAATCCTTTATCACAAGTCATCTAATCACTCTCTTTCCTCTCTGCTTAATAGAGTTCCAGTCAGAAAACTCTCTGCTATTTAAATTCCTCCTAAAACAGAAGTGGTTCTCTTGATGTGGTTGAGGGTTGGTTCAGTGAAGCTGGTGGAGAAACAGTAGGAGTTAAAAACAGCAATGAAAACCAGGTTTCCTCTTTCTCTGCCTGTGTATCCCCTCTTTCTTTGTACTTTGTGTACAGCTCAAAAAATCCCTTCTTTTCTAACTGGGATGATAGATTTTTTTCCCCTATGAAAGCATGACGGCTCAAGGCTGACATCTGGTGGTGGAACTTGAGTAGTAAAGCTGAGAACAGCTTGTATCAGCTGTGAGCTAAGCTTTGCTGCTCTCTTCAGGACAGATATTGAGTGACAGCATAAAGTATCAGATACAGTCATATGAAAAAGTTTGGGCACCCCTTTGAGACTGCATAGTCATTTATTCTGTCTTCACAGAAAAAGATCACAGAGACATAACATTAATTTTCTAATAAAAGCAGAGTATTGGGGTGTAGCAATATTAAGTTGTTTAAAATTAAATCAGATGTTAAAAATAAGCTGTGTAAAAATGTGGGCAACATTGTTAATTTGTTGATCTCAACACCTGTAACTACTTAACCCTGATTAACTGGAACACAAAACTGGTTTGATGAGCTCATTAAGCTTTGAACTTCACAGACAGGTGTATGCAATCATGAGAAAGGGTATCTAAGGAGGCTAGTTTCTCATTGATCTTCTCTTTGACTCTCCTCTGAAGAGTGCTGACATGGAAGCCTCAAAACAACTCTCAAATGACCTGAAAACAAAGATTGTTGAGCATTATGGTTTAGGAGAAGGTTACAAAGGCTACAGGCACAGTTCTTGTTAGGGCCAGAAGTGGCAGGCCAAGAAAAAATTTAAGGAGGCAAAGGCAAAGGATGGTGAGAATGGTCAAAAACAACCCACCTCCAAAGACCTACAAGATCATCTTGCAGCAGATGGTGTCACTGTGCATCGTTCAACAATTCAGCGTACTTTACAGGAGAAGCTGTATGGGAGAGTGATGCAGAAGAAGCCTTTTCTGAGCACATGCCACAAACAGAGTCGCTTGAGGTATGCAAAAGCTCATTTGGACTGGCCAGCTTCATTTTGGAATAAGGTGCTATGGACTGACGAAACCAAGCTTGGGTTATTTGGGCAAAACAAGCGGGATTATGGATGGCGGCGAAAGAACACAGCATTCCAAGAAAAACACTTGCTACCCACAGTAAAATTTGGTGGAGGTTCCCTCATGCTGTGGGGCTGTGTAGCCAGTGCTGGTACTGGAAAGAATCTGTCACAAAGTTGAAGTTACGCCAGGGCTGGATATTTCAACAAGACAACGATTGCTCAAAATCTACACAGGTATTCATGCAGAAGAACAAGTACAATGTTCTGGACTGGCCATCCCAGTCCCCAGACTTGAATATCATTGAAAATCTGTGGGATGATTTGAAACAGGCTGTCCATGCTTGGAAACCATCAAACCTAACCGAACTGGCAATGTTTTGTAAGGAAGAGTGGTCCAAAATACCTTTTTATCCAGAATAGAGACTCATTAGAGGCTATAGGAAGCGTCTCGTGGCTGTTATTTTTGCAAAAGGAGGCTCTACTAAATACTGATGTGGTTTTTCTGTTAGGGTGCCCAAATTTATGCACTTGTCTAATTTCGTTTTTGATACATATTGCACATTTTCTGTTTATCAAATAAACCTCATTTCGCTACAGAAATATAACTGTGCGCTTGAGTTATTTGATAGCTCAAAAATAAGTTGCTTATACAAACACCCAGTGATTTATAAATGAAACGAATGGAAATTGTCAGGGGTGCCCAAACTTTTTCAAATGACTGTAACCACCCCTGAAAGAATCATTATGATGAATTAATATGTGAAGCGATAACCGTTTTATGAACTGTCTTTTTTTTATAGGTTGATTCTATAGGAAGTTAAAATACACTTATAATTGAAACCCAGCAATCCACCTCAGTATTTTCTGCACTCTTTTGCCGAAATGTCCCCAACAGAGTCTGTAAACAGAGGGCATCAAGATAAAGTTCAGTACAGTATTTCTAGAGTTTTTGGGGTCAGTATGACCATAAAAAGAATAGTTTCTACTTTCTCAACATGCATACCCCGTCTTTTTTTATTTGGTTGTTTTTTTTGTTATTGCTTTAACTAGCCAGGGGCCTATTCTACAAAGCAGGATTACTGCTTAGCGATGTAAGTACAAGGGTAAGTTTGGGGTTTCCTGTTCTACGACGCGGGTTCACTTCTTAGCGAGGCGAGTCTCCATGGCAACGTACGCTGAACGGCTAACCTGCTCTGGGGCAGTTTAAGTTCTAGATTGAACTCAGTATAAAAACCCCGCCCACTGACCAATAAGCTCTCTCGAAAAATGGCTTGTCCATTCTTGGAGGATCCTATAGACCTTGGTGCTCGCATTGTCCGAGGAGCACTCCGGCGTGCGAGAGTTTTCAGGGACTGCACGGACCCACTTACTTTTCCGGATGACCACCTTTATTAAAGGCTCATATGGCCTACCATATCACACAAAAAATGTAAACACGATAGGAATGAACAAATGAATGAATTCATCTTGGAAATGAATTCGACATGTCTGGTGCATGTTAAAAGCGCATGTTGAACAGTGCTATTTCAGGGTGATAATGGCATCAAAGATTTTTTGTGCACTATATTTACGCATTGAGACTGTTGGCAATTTTCTGCCAGCATTCCTTCCGTGCTTGTGCAGCGGAGACGGTGTTGCTTTTGAGGTTTATGATAGATTTGAATTCTTCATACTTTCTCATGATCGTCTCCTGCTCCTCGTTTGTTAAGTACGCGGTCTTTCGCTCTCCGGCCTGCTCTGACGCTCCAGACTTGTCAATGTTCGTGATTGGTCAGATGCGGCGGGCTCCGCCTTACATGCGTGCACGCGCTCATAGCAGAGCTGGATCCACTTACGAGGTTGATAACCAGCGTCTGTAACATTGAAGGTTTACTACTTTGTTCGCAGGGGGCGCCAGAATTAACACAGTTCCTCACAGGAGCTTGTACATCCTGTACATTGTAATAGGCAGTCTGTGAAATTGATACAGTTATGTTTAAATTTTTCATGATGAGGGCCGACAAGCAGTGTCTGCAGGTGTCAGACTGACCCGTTCATGTCTCCTAGGGTGTTATTTGTCAGGTTTTATTTTCTAAATGTTCACTCAACATCCCTGCCTTCCTTTCTCTACCAATGGCTCTATTGCTCCCATTCTCTGTGCTTTAAAAGGGGCCAAACACTCTTCATCTATACCTCTCTCTTCAATCCTGTGCTCCCCAAGCCTGTCAACATAACCTTTCCCTTTAATCTGAAATGCCAGAGATTAAACGGGCAGCCAATTCTCCATCCATAATTCCAACATCTCCTCCCCCTTTCTCTCTCTTCCCCCCTCTCTCTCTCTCTCAAAACACACACACACACACACACACACACACACACACACACACACACACACACACACACACACACACACACACTCACAAAAAAATCACACAGAGTTCTGCCAGACTAGTCATTTTGAGACCGTAAGCCTGATGTTTGAACAGCAGAGAGAGGAAAGTCGGTGGGATGGATTAGATTAAGTTGGTCCAAATATAAGGGATCACCGTGGCAAAAGGGGTTAACAGATAAAGACACAAAAAAGCACGTGTTTGTGTGTGAGAGAGGCGAGGAGAGATAGTGAAAATGGTCGAGTCATGCAATCAGAGCCAGAGACTGGCAGCAGCAGGTTGTTTCAGCCCAGATATGACCCGGCTCTCCCACCCCACCCCATCTGACTCCAGCACTCTTCTGCTATTCAATAATATCCACACCACACATCTCAACACTCATCATGGCAGGGGACACCATCCTACAGGAGCCCAGGATTTAATTCAACATCAAGTGCCAACCTTGCTTTACACTGGAACAGTAGGATCTTGGATTGTAGCACCTAGAGGAATCCTCATTTGCTTGCAGTTATAGTTGTTCAAGTGGAAAAATTCATTGTCGTCTCACTGGGTGAGAAAGACACTGACCCATGGACTGCGGCGGGTGTTGTGGATTTTAATGTAATACTTGAGTAGAGAAGGAAAGAAGAGGAAAAGGGGTAGAGGATCAAGGAGGAGGCGTGGGGGAATACCAGGAGGAAAAGGAGGGGGGCAGACGGGGAGAAGAGGGAGGGATGATGGGAAACAAGGCTTCCAAAAAGAACAATAAAATGACAAAGGTAAGGATACCTCCACTGCTTTTAGCTGAGAGAAACAGACTCTGAACTGATTAACTATTAAGTATTTGTAGTACTGACTCAAATGTTTCCAAGCTACATTAAAGCTCCTTAAATATGTAGTGTACACAAACCCTTTTTAATTGAACCTTGTGACTGAGAGTGAACATTTAGGGTTAAGGTAACAACTAGTCAGTGAGCTGAACATTTATGAAGCCCTAATTCAGCTGGTTCCCCTCCTCCAAGGGGGAGTCACCTGTAGAGCGAAGTGGTACCCCAATGACTGCCACCACCCTGGAGGGCCCGGGCGGTGCAGGTGAGGCAGACACGGATGAAGAGGAGGAAGGGGGAGGCGAGAGGGAGTTCGAAGAGCCCCTGTGCGCTCTGGTTAAGAACTGCAACATGCTGCACAACTTAGTGGGGCCTGCTTGTATCTTCCTAAGACAGAGCTTCGCTCAGAGCCAGCTTGTATGTATTGCATTTACACACACACACACTCACACAACCTTGAATACACACACACACATACACACATACACAGTACAGAATTATCATAGCCAAAATAGCCCATAAATCTCTTCATCCAGCCATGTCAGACACTGTCCAAGAGAAGCTGAAGTTAAGGACATCCATCTGTTGAGCCTCGACCGTCCCCTCACCCCCCAATCCAATCTATTTTAATGACATTTAACCCTTCGTGCATCACCAACAGGGCCCATCAATCCATCAACCAAACTTTCTATTTCCCTCTGGAATTAAGTTGATTTTTTACTGCCAGAGTTATTATTTGTTTAAAGAAAAATACCTTTATGAAATATTCCTTTATAATTCCTGCAGAGTAGTGTTATGATTAATATTCTTTTGCTGTGCTGAGGGAGGTGTTTGCACAACCAGTTATGCCGCTGTTGTAAGTGCGCAGGGTTTAAGTTTTAAAAAGAGTAAATCCTGCACTTTTCATTTTCTGAGCTCCACCATTTATCAGAGGAAAAACACAATATTTTAAAAAGGCTCAAAGAAACCAGAACCTGTTTTTATCCGTATAAACAGTGTAGCTGGGCAAGTGTAATGTGGAGTGCTCATTTTAAAACATTTTTTTTTTTGTTTTGGGTTTTATTTTCTTGAAAGTTGAAAATATTTGTCTTAAAAAGAAATTTTTGGAGAAAGAGAAATACATCATCTGTACTGTGAGTTTGTGAATACACAAAAGTAACAGAGTAAATGGCCTCTCAGTTAAAGAATATTGCAGAGATCTATAATAGTCACTTCCTGACTGTGCAGCTAACAGTACCAATCGGTGTAGTCACTGATAATAGGCGTTTCACTGAGTTACAAGCTTGTGATTAAAGGACCTGGACAAGGGTTCAAAGGAAAAATGTCTTACTGACACAGCAAAGGAGATTGAGTCTCTTTCAGGTAAAGTCATTTTTATCTGCGTTAGTATCACTTGGGAGATTGATATTGGCATTGTTTTGACATTAAACTAATAAATCGATCAAACAGAGTGTAGCATTGAGCTAATAGACAGCCTTTTTCTAAGGGGTTGGTGGAGACCAAAAGAAAAAGTGGTGCTTGTTTGTATTTTGCTGTTGCCTAGTTTTCACTGGATACTGACTGTTCATTTTAGGTGCTTTCGGACCTGGAACATTGGGAGACATTACAAAACAAAGGCTTAAACACAATAGTACACAGCAACCATACTTAGAACAAAACTAGCCAGCCAAAATCGCATTGAAGAGGTATTCTCAGCTCATATGCAAATGACAAAGTTTGCTGGCTAACTTAAGTTAGCATCATGAATATGACTCATCACTAAGAAAATCACAACTAGTACGCATATCATTTGTTTGAGACTGTCAAACAATATAGTAAGGTGTACTATGTTGCAGTGTAGGCACAAAAAACAAAAGGAAGAGAGCAACAATGGATTATTTATCATCTGAATCAGAAAAGAGTTTATAAGCTGCAGGTGTGAAAGCATCCTGATCATTTTGACAACATCTCAATATCAGGCAGAGAGCCCAGTAAATCAGCTAATGCAGGCTTTGAAAAGAGACAAACAGGAGGGATTGAGTGAGGTGACCGAGCCTCTGTGGCGGCGGATAACCTCTGGAATAACCTGCCCTGGCACATTTACTTGACTGGGATCGATCAAGATTTTAAAATCCTCCTTAAAGACACAACTTTTCTCCCTGGCTTTTTACTGAGTCTATTTAATTTATAGACTATTTATAGACTAATGAATTTATAGCACTGTGTTTATGTAGTTTAGTATTTATTTTCATTGTAATTGCTGCAGTGCATGGGTTACTTTTGTCATCTGTGCTGTGCTAATCTGTACAGCACTTTGGTCAACCCTTAAATGTTCTCTATAAATAAAGTTGAATTGAGTTTAAAAAATGTACAAAATATGTAGAAACAGATATTCAAGACCTGCTGTTGCAGAAGACACTTTTGATATCAGTTCATCAGAACAAATTAGACTTTGTCTTAGTTAAAGTAAACTCTCACCATTCATATCAACCTTATCTGTGCGTCTTCTCTCAGCAACATAATCTGAAAACAAACTGACACTTTCATGATACCAAAGAGCCGGGGATGCAAGCATCTGATCTGTAAATGTTTTGTGGCATTTAGCATCTCAGGGGCCCAACAGAAAGTGAAAAGTTGGACAAAATACTCCTAAATAAAGGGGACTGCAAACATTTTAACAAAATGTTATGTTCAAAAATTCAGTACAAAATGATCTCCAGATGAATGTGTTCAGATGTTTTTTCTTTTCTTTTTTTGCAATGATGAGATATTTGCAGTTAACTCATGTTGGCTTGCTTATATGCTTTGAGAAGTTGATAGCCATTGTAGAAATTCCGGCTTTCGTGTTCCCAAGTAGCAGTATGTAAAACGTACAGTATGCAGAGTTGGGAATATTTTCCAGTTTAGTGTCCAGTTAATGTTATCTAGACTGAAATTGCTCACCCCTTTCATCAATGACGAAAGGATTGCTTTCTCAGACAGGATCACCTATGAATGCATGGTAATCTGTTGGGTTTTTACCACCTAAAGCATTCACCAGCACAAATTCTTTAGTGCAGATCAACCTTCTTCCTTGTTTCCCAGTTGGAAAACAAAAACTTAAACCCATGTTACTAGTTTGTCCTCTCTGTACAACAGTAGAAACATGCCATGAAAGATGATAGCCAGTAAGTATATATGCTCATTTTAAGTAAACAAAAAAAAAAAAAAGTTTCTTTTATTAAGGTGATTACATAACAATTTAGACATACTTACAAACATATTTCTACCAAGTCTCTTCGGATAAATGCAACTAAATACTGCTCACTGCATCCTTATTGTCACTGTGAGCAATGTCAATAAGAGCTCAAGTATAATGATGAGTAAATTAGCGTAAAAAAGCTGAAAGTGCAACTTTAGACTCTTAATAATTTTAAGAGTCAACGCTGTCAGTCACGTACACTGAAACAACTTTCTTCATCACTACAGTCCTGAACTTTTAGGAAACTTCTTGCTATTACTTAATATCACAAAAAGATGGAATTACTCGACAGAGGACACAGATTAGTCTGAGTCATGGACTAATAGCATGTAGGGGTCATTAATCCATCATGATCCCAAATTATTGTCTGAAACTACAAACTAAAGATTAGCTATGAGATGAATTTTGATGTTGGGGTTTGATGCGTTTTCACTCTTTTCCTGGCATCTCTAAACTTTAATACATGAGATATTTCAAGAACCATTGTCCTGTTTTTTCATATCAGTAAAACTAACATTAATAAAACTTTCAACTTATCCAGAGCTACTTTTGTTGTAATTTTGTCATACAAGATATGAGTAGTTGGGAAATAAAGGCAGAATATATTGGGAAATGGGGCCATAAAAGACTTTGCTTCTATGTGTTTTACAAAGTGAACTGTATGTTTGCAGCTTTTGCAGGTGTGTAGATTTTTGTTAACTGAGCACTGGTTGAACTGTGGTGCTGATGCATATCAAGATGAGAAAAAAAAAAATCAGATGCAGATAGCAAAATGAAAAACCGATAAGCCTTCGTGATTTGTAATACAATTTACAGCTGTAATCTCCCTGCTACTGTTCTCTCTCTCCTGCATCCTTTAATCCAGGCCTGTATTATTCCCGCTGCTGCTGATGTCACAGCTTTGCAGGACATTACCTTTTGTTCAGACAGCAACACGTTGAACCCAGGTCAACATGTACTCAAAACTAGGTGCTATTCTGCACGGGAGTGCAGCTGCAGCTTAATTTGCACATGTCAAGATTGAGTGTCTTGGGTAACATACAACCTGTTTTGTTGCACGTGTGCCTCCTCTCGTGTGCTCAGAGGGGAGCCAGAGATTCTGTGTGATTCTGTTTTTGTGTGTTTTTTCTAACACATTTGAACTCTTGTTGTGGAGCATATGCCCGCTACACTTTCAGAGCTCCTTCACTAACATGACCAGAATGAGATTGGACATGTGATTGTCGGGTACAAAGGTGATTAAGGTCAGTCAGATCCAAAACCAAATAATCCTGTAATAGAATCTCTGCTCAGGCTGATGAACATGAAAAAGAAAAGGATTCCTGGTAGCAAAGGACTCATTGCTTCAGGAAAATAAGCACTACAGTTTTTTCTGCTGCTTTTGTCCCTGTGACGGAGAGAGAGAAACGGGACAAAAGATGAACCACAAGTGTTCTTAACTTCTCCTTTTTCTCTGTCTATCTTCTGCTGTACCAACACAGGACAGAGATCTACGACCTGAAGAGATGGAAGGTACAGAGATATAAAAAAAAAGATTAACCCAAATCCTTCCTCCAGCCCTCATTCCTTCAATCCATCCTCAGTCTTTTTCTTTCCTTTCAGACTTCAAACCTTGTTTGACTGTGAAATATTGTGCTTTACCATAAAGAGCAGGATTCAGAAGTCTTCTCCAACTTCATCCTCTCACTGAACATGAGCTACAAGAACTAATACAATTGGATTCATTTGTACTAAAACTGAGGATCAAAAGATTATACCACACAAAAATAGTTTGGTCAGGAGGTCTGACTCAGGAGATCACAGGGTGTCACACTTTAAATAAATCAACACCAACTGGTGTGTAAACTGGTACATTTTGGAAACGGTCGTCTGTCGATACTTTTAATTGGCAAATTTTTCACAATCAAGTGTTACGAACACAGTGATTTCCATCCTCTCGCAATGTACAAAAAAAAACTGTCCCACAATAAATAAATCCAAAACAGTGTAGCATTCATCCAAACAAATCAAAAGTGGGCAGATCAAGCTTTAAAGCTCCTGTGAGAATTTATTAAATATAAATGAAATACACAAACAAACAGAGACAAGATTGATGACTGTTACATTGAAATTCATGGGGGGTAAGGTGAAGAAACAGACTCATCTTAAAAGTCAGCAGGATGATGTTTCTTGTCAACATTCAGTCCTTGAGAATGAAGGACAAGATAAGCAAAGACTGATCTGTCCACAGGGGATGCTAATATTCACACAAACCAAAAGTTCCTCACAGGAGGTTTACTATAAGAAAAATTAAATAAATAATAAATAAGATTAACATATAACTCTCTAAGAAAGAGTATTTATTATTATTACTACAATTATTAGTGGTTGAAACTAATCGGGTCATAAGCTCACTCCTCTGCAATGCAAAACCTGACATTTGTTCAACATTTTCAAAGTTTTTGTTTTAATTCAGCTGATCTTACTGCATTGACATCACCCAGGGAATATAAGCTCCAGTTGGTTTTCAATATTTTAACACATGCTGCATTCAGGTGCTTCATTACACTGAGTCTGACATGGGGAATAACAGGTTACTTGTTGATGTCCGACGGTCTGATATATTTAAAGTCTGAGGCTTTTGGTTTTTATTAAATTGATATTAAGATACAACATGAAATGTGATTATGTCACATTGAGTTTTCTGGTTAAACAATGACTGAATTAATCTGAGTTACATGAAAAGTGTAAGGTCATTTATGCTTTCAAAATGGAAACAGTATTTACCTCAATGCACAATGCCTGAAAAAGCTGTTTTTCCTGTGCCTTATGAGGGGGGGTACTGCCCCTTTAAGAGAATGTATGCTCAGGCTGAACAGCTGGTTAGTAGTTAATGATCTACAGATTATTGATTGATATGACCTGTTTAATAAAGCAGTCTGTGTTTTAAATTAAGGCCACCCTGAGATATTTTTTTGTCTTTTTCTTACTTTGGCACCCCCTAGTGGTAGCATTGAAAAGTATCAGAAATATCAACTTTCAGGCACATATATGAGCGTGAAATAAGGCCACAATAATGAACAAAGTGAAAGCAACAAAAACAGCACCAATTAACCCCATTTTAAAACTTTTTTTTAGAGTATATTAACACCCAGTGGGATTACACCAAAAATATTCAAACATTCTGTGTTTTTACACATCTCTTTTCTGCAGAGCTGCGTGAAGCATTCAGGGAGTTTGATAAAGACAAAGACGGCTTCATCAGCTGTAAGGACTTGGGCGAGTGCATGAGGACTATGGGATACATGCCCACAGAGATGGAGCTGATTGAACTCAGCCAGCAGATCTGTAAGAGTTGCATGCAAACATCATCTGTCTTTGTGTCTGCCTCCCTCCTAAAGACACACACTGAGTCAAAACTAACTTGAAGAACAGCTCTGAATTTCTCTGTTCTTCTTCTCTCCCTCTCCAGGCGGTGGCAGAGTGGATTTTGAAGACTTTGTGGAACTGATGGGTCCTAAGATGCTTGCTGAAACTGCAGATATGATTGGGGTCAAAGAGCTACGGGATGCATTCAAAGAGGTCTGTAACACCATTTTACAGAAGTCTGAAAAGGTTAACCCTGCTCTATAAATTCACCCATTCAACGTACTATGTGTGCCACTACCTTTTTTGGCTCCTCATATGCTCTAAATTTCACAGTTTGACTCTGATGGTGATGGTCAGATCAGTCTCGGGGAGCTGAGGGAAGCTATGAAGAAGCTGATGGGGGAGCAGCTCAACCACCGAGAGATCGACGAGATCCTGCGTGACGTGGATCTCAATGGAGACGGACAGGTGGACTTTGAAGGTGGGTTGACTAAAGACATCGCAGGCAGAAAGACCGAGGCAGGTACAAATAAGTAATTTTATTTTCCTGAGACAATAACAACATCTCCTTTCCTATCGTAGAGTTTGTGCGAATGATGTCACGCTGAGTCCGCTCCAGGAACCTCCTATGTTGAAAAGCTCCAAGGACCAGTCTGCTGTTATGTGTGTCATTCTTCGTGTTGTTCGACTTTTATTGGTGTGTGTATTGTTTTTTCAATAACCCCTGTTTTTGTCAAATATAAGAAACCCTTGACTGTGGTATGAGTGAGATGTGTTTTTAACATGAAATGAGAGGTTGTATAGATGAAAAGGTGTTTAACCAAAGCTGGTGTCCCTCTGGAAGTAATTTTATTTATCTGTGACCTGAAAATCGCACACCAGCAACACTTCATATGCAGTAAAACTATTAGTTTGTTTTATTTCAATGATGCCACATTTAGAATCTATTTAACAGACTGTTAAGACTGTGACTTTGTGATACTATCCCAGCGTTGATAGCAACATGAGTGCTTTGTTGACGATAGAGTAAGGATGTAAGGATAAATGACATGATACAGTTTGTGCATATCTGTATGGTGAAAACTACCACACAAACACATCAAATAACTTACACATACTTCTCAGTGGTTTATTGATTTCAACGAATGCAAGCAAAAAGTTGCTTATTTTAGTAAATGTCATTGTGTTATTGATTTTATAACACAAATATGATCATGTTTGGAGTCCTATCCATCAACATTAAATTCATGTTCATTGCCCATTTGTTTATGTCACCAGTTAGAAATACTAGGCCAAAGCACGTTTTATGCAATCCTGTATACATGTATGATGTTATTTTTGTACAGTGTTTAAAAAGTGAGATCTTTTCAAAAACATATTGTAAATAAAAACTAACACCAACAGAAACATTTCTTTTTTATGTTTTATTTATTCCCCTTTTTTTTAACTAAAAAGTGATTTTTTTATTTTTCTATGGGCACTAATAAAACTCTTTCCCCTCACATCCCTTTTTTCCCTCCAGCACATGTAGGTCCTCTCTGTTGCTTTTATCAAGTGTATTCATCTTCATCTGTTGTCAGTGGTAATGGGAGCAATAAGTGGAGTTGTGTGACAAATAGGAGGATGTGCCAATTTGTGCTGTAGTCTTGCTGTGCAGGTGACCAAGCCTTGAGTTCAAGACTGAGTCAAGTCACCAGACTTCTGTCACAGAGAACAATTCAGGTTCAGTCCCAATTACCATAGTCCAAATCTGAGTCAATCCACATTATTAATATTATTATTAGTCGTAGTAGTAGTTGTAGAAGTAGAAGTAGTAGTAGATGTCATCGTATTTTTATTATTATAAGAAGGGCAGCAGTTTTACTCTGAGTGGTAAGGTGTGTGGGACCCATGCACTGTATATACTATGGACAACTTGGTTATGCCTTCCGCCAGTATACGGATTTGAAGCCCGAAAAGCTCTCTGTATTTCTGGGTTTTTTCTCCACTTCCTGAAACCAACATTGCACAGTAGCATTGTACACATTCAGCGGGAGAGTCACTGTGATGAGGCTTGGCTCAAACAGCGTATGATCCACGCAATCTTCGAGCGCCCATAGGCTGTATCAACTTTTAGTCATAGAAAACATGAATCCCCTAATAACTTTTAAAATTTGAGCTGTACAGAAAAAAGAGGACTTGAGTACAAACCAGTCTTACAATATCTACATGTCAACATCAGCAGCAGGGGGGAGAAAAATGTATATTCTGCGTTATAAATTTCTAAAGTTTGTCCACAGCTCCATAGGGATTCTCATTGCCCAGTGAGAAGGCAGGTGGCATCCATTTTGTATACAGTCTATGGTGGGACTTTTTGGATTTCTATCTTTCCATCTAAGTTTCAGAGCTGTAGGTTGTGTTAAAATGTTCACTGTTCCTATCTAAATCTGAGAGCTCCATGATCGTGTGCAGGTGTCTGATCAATTAAAAATGTCAGCAGCCTGCCTGCTATAAATCAGGGTTTGGACAAACTAACACCTTGGACCAGTTGTTGTGCCACATTAGTTGTCAACATTACCGTTTGCTCATTAACAAATCAAATTAAAGTGGTTATCAAGTTTGACTTTATCTCTGTTGCCTCCTCAGCAGTTCTTGTTCACTTCAAAATACTGTGAAATCCTTGGAGGTGAATTAAACGTTTTGAAACATCTCTGTAGCTAAAACTGCAGCTGTAACTCAGCGTCCCCTGGATGTTCAGGCTCAAGACATACATGACAGTCTCAGCGAATACAATATCATGTAATGGAGGTAAGAGAGTCGGAGTTCAGATTTCTAATGCAGTTAATGCTTTTTGAATCCAGTCTGAATCATCAGTGCTTGAACTTGAAGAAAGTCATTAGTCCTGAGAATCTGGACTCAAGTTCAGATTGATCTAGACACTTAAATCCAGCTCAAGTGTCCAGATCAATCTCACACATCTGAGATGTTGCCTTCCCGCCTCTCTCTATCTCTGTGAAATCAAACTGTTATTTTTCATGCCTGAATTCTCCTCCTCGTCACTTCCAAAGCAATCATGTTTGACAGGTTGGTTGTCAGTGATATGCAGAGTTTCTTTTCCTTGTGCACGGCATGAAACTTAAAATCTCCCACTGGAGTTTGCCTTTAAAATCCATCGACTTGTCTTTGGAAATGTTTGGCCCCCTGTTGTTTTTCAGAAAAGCTGAGCCCCCCCTGAAGCCCTTGTAGAAAAAAGTGATGCACTGCTGTTGAAAATAAACATCCATTTGAGTGCTCTTACCAAAAAAAGTGGGTAAAAATGACATTTTTCTCTCTGTTTTTTTTCTTTAGCTAGACAGCTGTCTTAACTATTGCACGTGTTTTATCAAGACTCCAACATCTAAAATACTTTTTGACAACATCCTCCCCAGCTTATCCATATTGTTCTCATAAAGCCTCATCTTAAAGATAATGCCTGATTTAGAAAGAAGGTCAACATTTATTCTGATAATGTTGATAAATGTGATGTACTTGTGGCACATTGTAAATGGTTGATGTTTTTATCTCTCTATTAATCAAAACCTAACAGATGTTTTGTTATATTTTATTATTTATTGCTGAGTACAGATTGAATCACATTGAGTACAGGAGATTATCATTATTCATCAATATAACCACTATGATAACTGCTGGTTGCACAGGCTGATTTAATCTCTATTGTAAAAAAAATGCATGTGAGTGTGTGACTCAGCTCTTTACCATGACAAAAAATAGTTTGACATGCATGCAAGTGTCAATCTCTACATTTGGTTTAGTCATCACAAGCAAGTCCATCTTTCTTTAAGCTGTAAGCAATGCCATGTTTACTGTCATGGCTCCCATAATTCCATTCTGCTCAGTGATAATTGAAGAGTTCAGCAGTTTAGCTAAACCTGAAGTCTTCCCTGTACAGTTAGTTATACTTCACAGATGAAATTTTGAACTAAGGAACAGTTCTCATCGTTCCATTCACCATTTCCTGATGAACGGTGCCAGAACTCAACGCAGTCCTGATCGGTCCCTTTATGGCTATTAGGCTGACCCGCAGCCCAGAACCTGCAAAGGAGAAAAAAACAACACGGTTGTTGTGTTGTTCTTTTTCTTTTGTGTTGTTTTTCAGCTTTTGATTTTAGGAAATAAGAAGTTGTTTTCTTACGTTGTGTTCAGTGGCGTCCCGTCCACCCATTTCCACTGCCCCTCTACTCCATCATCAGTCAGCCCGATCCATACTTCTTGGTCAGCGGGATAAAAGCCATTGACGAAATTCTGCATGGCAAAAGGTATGCAAAAATACACTAATATTTAAGACTGTTTGGCATGTTAAAGATATAGCTTGGGGTGTAGTCGAACGACCCAGAGCTCAGTTTTAAAGTCTCTGTCTGCTCTTTACACACTGTTCAAAGTCATGTTTACAAAAATGACTCAATGGGATGATGTCATTGTTTCATTTACAACTTATTTCACAGCTCAGACAAAAATAAAGCTGCTTTAAGGGCATAGGGGGGAGGATTTATACAACTGCAGCCTACTGTGTGTAAAGGCAAAGAAGCTTGATTTAGTCCCACCCACACCTGAAGAAAAAAGAGGTTATGACTCATTTCTGACACTGCTTTGTGCAGAGGTATATATGTTGTCACTTCCAGCCTGCAAACTACAGATAGTATTGTGTGTCTGAATGTACAGAGCACACTGTTAAATGAAACCCACATGTAGACATAGAGGGACAAATAAGTACTGGATCAACCTACATTCAAGTATAACCTACAAAAGCAGTGGTGTCTAGTACAAAATCATCTCCTTAATTCCCATTGCAGTAGCGCTAGGATAACATGCTTGTTCAAAGCCCCATAACATTCAATTTAGCTTTATTTGGCATCTTTGGAATACGCTGAAATTCATCCTGACAACTTTCTATGACATATAAAAGCAAATAAGACCACCAGCAACAGGACAGATGATCCTGATGTTACAATTTCTGATGCCCCAAACAGATGCCAGGATATCTGTTTGTTTGCCAGTTGATTAGTAAAAGTAAGTAAATGATGCATTTGTTTGTCAAAAGTCAGCAGGATGAGATGATTTGGTCATAAACAACACGAGTACAAAAGAAGACATAATTGACACAAACCAAAAGTTCCTCACAATTGCTTTGAATAAGAGGAGAGTTCTTATTTCAGGAAACCTGCACACAAGTAAATGTTGCTTACCCCTTGGCAGATTTTTATTTTACTAATTTTATGCAATTGAGGGTCTCATATTTGTGGACTGAAGGTAAATCTGGAACTGTACAGAGACATCCTTACTGGAAAAAGAATCAAAACTTCTTGAGATTTTGCTGTATAGATGATTGGCTAGCGCCAACAGGATAGCCTGTCCTAGTTTGGGATTTCGGGATGGTACCAGTGGAGGCCAAGGGGCGTCAATGCCTCCCCTCTATAGCTGAATTAAAACAGTTTACTGTAGAGCTAAGGGGAGTCAGATCCTAATTTCTACAACCCTTTGACGTCATGTTGACCTCATCTTCATCAATATGAACATTCATATTGCAATACATGCCCTCCTCTAGGAGCTACTATGGTTCACTGTTGAAGTTGAGAGTTGATATGTGAACACACCATTGTCTCCTGGGTCTTCACAGTCGCCAGGTCCGCACTCATGGCCCTGCAGAATTCTCTGGCCTGATTCCAGTCTTTCTTCAGAACGGACACGAAGTAGCAGCTGTTTTCAAATCCCCTCCAGCCATTGGGACATTTCTTTGCTGGAAATTGAGAAGAGTTACAGAAGCTAGACTTTCAGATCTGACTGAAGCTTATTCACTTTATATTTTGCGATTCAACCTTTCACTCATCACCATAAAAGCACAAAGCATTAATAACCCAAAATGTAACAAACTGACAAATACCCTGTCTTTGTCTTCTTACAATAATGAGATTGAGACTTAAATTTGCACACAATATTAGGAAAATATTAATTTTGTTTGACCAGAAGAATAGTTAAATAGTTGTTAATGTGCAAAATGGTCATATTGCAGATTTGCTGAGAGTGATTTTGTTTTAATTTGGTTTAGGGTAACAGTGCAATTGCATATCTAATACTTCAGCAATGGTGTAGTTGCAATAGTGTAATAAGGACTCATCACTCTTAACTGGTTAGATCAGAGCTACGGCAGTGATCTCTACCTCTCACAATATGTTACACTGCTTCCTGCATGTCGTCTTTACTTTCTTAATAATCCAACAAAGTGCAAGTGTAGTGTAAGAGAGCTAATGTATCTGTAAGAGGTCGTTGTCTGACTTCAAGTGTGCACAAGTTATAAACTTGGTGCATTAGGTTATTGTTGTGATGCACAAGATATCAGGGATATAGGACACCCCAGCCAAAGACATTTCAGCAAGCTTCTTTTTGTGATATCAAACATGCTTTATGTATATATCGAAATATTTTCTGGTTACCTTCAATAGTTTTATTCAGTCCGTTAAGATCAATCTTCAGCTGCTCTCTTTCAGTAATCAGATTCATGTTTTTTTTCTTCAGTGTTTCTCTGGCTTGTACTTCAATATCACATGTTGCTTTAAGGTCACGTTGCTCATTCTGGTATGTTCCATAAGCTTTTTCCAACTCTGCAACTGATTTTTTATGTGCTTCGGTAGCTTCCAGCAAAAGGGACTTTTCTCCAGTCAGGTTTCGGTGACTGCTTTCTATCTTGCCTTTGTCATCGAGAGTGGAGTTATACGATCCTTCTAAATGGTTGATGGCCCTCACCAGGTTGTTGTAATCTGTTTGCAGCTCATCCCTTGACTTGCTTACATTGTTTGTTTTACTCAGCAATGCATCTCTTTCTTTGGTAACAGTGTCAACGCGGGCGTGTAAATCATTTTTGCGTCTGAGCACTATATCGTGTTGTTTTTGCAAGAGGTCTTTGTCTGAAGCCAGGGCGTTGTTGTTGGCCTGTAACTGGTCTCTACTGGTTCTCAGCTGCTCCACCTCTTTGGTTAAAGAAGTATGGCTGGCCTGCAGCTGGCTTTGACTAAGTCTGAGTTTGAGTGAATCTGCGTCCAATTGGTTGTTTTCTGCCTGCAGCTGGTTTGTCTCTTTCGACATGTAGAGGGTTTGTTCCTTTATCTCATTCTGCCTGTTCTGAAGAACTTGTTTCTTTATCTGCTCTGTCTTTAATTTCATCTGGAGATCTTCCTTCTCTGTTAACCCAGCTAGGAGTTTATTCTGATGGTCTTCCTCTACTTTTCGATCTGCAAGAATAAAATAAAAAAGAATATCAAATCAATGGTATTACTGCAAAACAACTACTTATCAATTTGAAAGTTGTACAGTAAAAACAGGGAGGAAAACTCACGTTGTACGCTCTGAGCTATGATCCCAACTAACAGGGATAGACAAAGCAGGCCGAGGCAGACTGTGGCAACTCGCAAAGGGTTTTGCCTCACTGCATGAACTTAAGACAAGAGGGAAGGAAACAAAAGTATAGAGTTAAAGAAGCCTGGGGAGGCTATGGTAAAGCACAATATATCACTATAGTATAGCAGTTAAAATGCTTGAACAAACATTTCCTTTCAACACAAAGAGATGACGTAGACCAAAGGACTAATAAACCTTATGAACATGTTACATGATATTATTTTGAGGTGATATTTGAAGCAAAACTCTAAAAAAATCCAAATCATTATCCTATTACAATAATTTGTGAGTCATTGACAAGAACACAGAGTTGTGTTTTTTTTTTTTCCTATTTCCAAATGTTTTTAGTTGCAGAAAATTGTCACACTATGACAACCAGGTCAAAACATGTAAAACTGAATTATGTAATTAAGGGAACTAAGGAAATGTTAATGTGTTTTTTAAAGAATAAACCAGTGAAAGGATTTACAGTTTTCTAGAGCAGAGAAAGGGAAGTAAAAGAATGAACCCGTCCCCCCTCGCCTTACTTATATGGAATTGTGACATACGGACATAAATATCTGTAATGCTCTTCTTCAACCTCAGTTGCTAAGCTACCATGTGTACTTTATTGACTCACAATTTCTTAACAGTGTCTGTGCAGGTTCAAATTTAATGCAACTTTTTACCAACAGTGTCAGTGTCCAATCAAATAGCTCAAACTTTTACACAAGCCCCAAATAGGCCTGTGGAATTCATGAACACTCTCTCTAGCGTAATCTAGTCCAATCTCTTATCTCCATGATCAGCATTTTATTCTGCAGGATTCATGTCATGATTCATGATTTTATTCTTTTTATCATGTACATTTCATTGGACAGTCTTCTTAGTAATCTATGTATTAACCAATGTTTTACTGATTTTTGATTCCACTGCATTCCTCAGCATTTTGATTTGATCCATTCTGTATATACTTTATGTATGTTCTGTGTACTTGTGTTTCTGCAGGGTGACTGTATACAAGCTGCCCAAATCAATTGCCCCTGGTGGGATTAATAAAGTTGTCTAAGCCTAAGTCCAAGACGGGAGAATCAAAGCACAGAGTCTGAAAAATTATTTGTACAAAAAAAAAACATGTCTACAGGAGGTGGGCTCTTTGTGTGGTTATATGAGAGCCATAGGCTACCCGATTAACCATGAGATGAAAAGTGAAGTGTTCTAAACCTCTTTTTTTTTAAATATAGAAATTTAGTCTCTAGGAATGAAACTATGGTAGATTCCCTCCACTTACAAGTGCAGTTCCTTAAGAGTCCACTTGATGCTTGGTAGAAAAAACACTAGAAGTCACATGTTCTAAAAACCTTCGCTGCAAAATGAATACTTCTAGACTATTCATTTCACTTTCTGCATGCACCGCAGGGGGTGAACTTTTACCCATAAGTTTAGAAGAGACTTGGGTTACAGGTTTTTGATCAGGGACGTGGCTGACCTGGCTGACACGCAAACCAACTGTAGCTGTTAGCTATAACTTATATCTCATCTTTGGTCATGCACACTGATTGTTAACTCATTTCTATCATCTGTTGATGAGGGCAGTTTGGCTGCAACTGCAGTTCAAAAACTATCTTTAACTCATTTAACATTTTTTTCAGCCAGAAAACGAAGTGAAATAAAGTTCATACTTTGTTACCTGAATACTGGAGCTTGCTTTCTTCAGGCAGCAGTTGTATCTGGCCATTTTCACCGTTTGAGGCACAGCACTCTTCAGCCATGTCTTTCTCCTCCATTTGCAAGGGTCTAATAATAAATGAACGTATAAAAGGCTTCAGAGGTTATATCTACTGTTACTATAGCCACCCTCCTTCAGTGCTACCTCTTTTATCCCATTCAGCCCAAGGTTTCGAACACTGTCAATGCATGGAGGACATTATAAAGAAAAAGGACATTACCTTTGCCTGTAGAGCCGACAGTCAAGTCAAAGACTGGAAATATGAAGAAATTAACCTTTTTAACAGTCTCAGAGATTAAAATATATACTTGCTTTTTCTTTGAACTGCAAAAGTAGTGTAGTGCACTGCTGCACCGACAATCATTGTCTGGGTTTGTGACTCATCACTGGAAACGGAACTAGAAGCTGGTTCATAGGAGGGGTGAGCGAGGGCTAGTCATTCATTTCTAGCAGAGACAAGATCATTTTTAAGTCCCAGATTAGCTGATTTGTTGGTGATATCAACCTTGATGGTAAGACTTTGGACTTAACATTAAACTTCATTTTTCAGAGTCCAAAGAAAATGTTAGGATTTTTTGATTATTTTTGAAGTTGTCATTAATAGGCTTGAAATCATAAAGGAAAACTAATCTTTATATGTCCATTGTCAGTAAAATTGTCATTGAATTTCCATTCAGGGATCATAAAGTTCTCTTTATGTTTTAAGTTGTAAAGACGACCTACTGAAGTCATAGCAAAGGAAGCAGATACATTTAGTGTAATCTTCTGAGATTGCAGAGGGCAGCAGTGACTATCTGCCAATTTCACAACAGGAAAAGATATGAGGAAGAAGAGATTTCACATGGCACAAAATTGCTTAGCATGCTGTTTTCAGACGGAAACACCATGAAAGTATTTACATTTTTACTGATTCAGCCAAATGTGTTTGACCATGTTTATTCTTATTCTCTCCATTGTGTTGCTGCAATCATATAAAAAAAAATGACTTTTTAATTTCATTTAAGGAATAGTTCTAATTTTTTTGGCTGACAGTTCCAATGACTGCAGGCCAAAATCTGAGTGGCAGATCAGGAGAAAAAAAATATCCCTATGGCTTTGTTGGTTGCAGGGCTGCTAGGACCAGTTTGTAGCGACAGTTGGTAGATCATAGGGTATGAAAGGTAAGGTAGAAGTATGAAATCCAAGATGCAAGATGTGCAACATAAAACATGATGTAAAACATGCAAACCACTTTCCAAGTTTTTTAGTCATGACAACGAACTGTTGTGACTGTTACATACCCATGATGTGAGTTCTTTGACAATAGTGTGCATCAATCAGAGCATGTCAAGCATTACCATAAAGCTTCAGCAACAGTAGCAACAGCAACTCTTCATCCAGCTAGCTGCTGTGAGATTTAACCTAAAAACTTTTAGAGAACAAATTTGAGAAAAAAAAGAGGTGTGTCTTATCATTCAACCTTTGTACGATTATTTGAAATCAATTTTAGGTCAATTGGTCGCATGACATGGAAGCTATTGAAGGAAAACAGCCTTTGTTGAGACTTTCAACTGGTAATTTATTGATGGTCCCCTAATTAACACTCAACGTTGACAGCGAGGGTGCCAAGTACATTTAACCGCACTGCTGTTGCCATTCCTGGTTATGGAGAGTGAGAAGACACCTGTAGATTCGCAGTGACTCTCCATCCAACCTAAAACTAACTTCATTGCGGTCGAAAAGTATAGTGCCTTAAAGCTAAGTTTCAAGAAGCTAAAGATTCAAAACAACCGTAGCAGATGTGCTTTCATCATCTGCCTATTTGTCATTGAGCGTGACTGTATTTTTCGTGATAAACCCAGCTGTCAGAGTTGGAGCTGCTGGATAGCTTATCAGGAAGCAGGCGAAGAGGAGCCGAAACTCCGTGGAGCGGATCAGGTTCAGTGGACAACCTTGATATATAACTTCCTTCCTCCATGTTTACATTTGTGCAGATTCAACAGCATGATGAAAAGTTGCAAACAGTTTACATTGGAATCTGATACAGGTCACATTATAGATGGTACTGTGAACAGCCAAACAAAAATCAGATCTGAGCAAAAAATCCGATTTGAGCGTTATCAATCAATTAATCAATCAAATTGTATTTATGTAGTGCCAATTCACAACAGTCGTTATCCAAAGACACTTTTAAAAAAAAAGAGCAGGTCTAGACCACGCTCATTAAGCCATGCAGTGTGAATGTAGCCTTATAAACACTGGGGAAACTAAGTACACAAGCTCTACCATACAAGAAACAACTATCTAATAGTAAAGTGGAATTCAGACCAGGGGTCCGTTTCACGTAGGTGGTTCAACAAACTCTGAGTTAAATCCTTAACTCTGAGTTGATCTACTCTGAGTTAGGAAACTCTGAGTTTCCGGTTTCACAACGCCTGATTTGAGACGGTTTTAACAACTCCGAGTAGTTTGACCTGGAGTTAAGCACGTGCACGCCAGACATAAACAGCCAGCATCTGTGGAGCGCAGATTCAATGATCAACCAATGGAAACAGGGAGAAGGAGGGGGCAGCAGCAAGCCAACAGCGAATTACAGCACGTTTTTAAAAGAAAGTGCAATACAGCAGCAGCTGCAAAGGAGAGGGAGAGGGCATGGGAGGAAATCGCTGCTCGCGTCAATGCGTAACTTTAAATCTAGTCTCGTGCAATCACAATGACAGACTGTTGCAGGGAAACTGCTTGAATCATTTTGATCATGTTTTACATTATCAGTAAGTATTAAGTGGCAGTTTGATCCCTTAGAAAATACTCTTTTCACACTCTAAAATGAATTTTACTCTCTTATGATGTTCCGCTAAATGATTAGGAATATTAAACTAACTCTCAGTATGTATATGTACATATATTAAACTAACACACACTACACTCAATATTAGACTTTCACTCAGCAAACAGAAAGAGGGCAGATGCCAGAAAAACGGGTGGTGGCCCAGCAGCCCCACCTTTAACGGAGGCAGAGGAGCTGCCCCCCCCTCGACGATCGAAACCCCCACCTCGTAGCAGCGATCGTCGGACTGGTGTGCGTGTGTGTGTGTGTGTGTGTGTGTGTGTGTGTGTGTGTGTGTGTGTGTGTGTGTGTGTGTGTGTGTGTGTGTCGTCGATCGTCGAACGGGGGGGGTGTGGGGCAGCTCCTCTGCCTCCGTTAAAGGTGGGGCTGCTGGACCACCACCCGTTTTTGTGTTAGTTTAATATTCCTAATCATTTAACGGAACATAATAAGAGAGTAAATTTCAGTTTTGAGTGTGAAAAGAGCATTTTTTTAAGGGATCAAACTGCCACTTAATACTTACTTGACAATGTAAAACATGATCAAAATGAGAAAATGCCGATGTCTCACCTGAAACTCTGGGTTTACTGAGTTAAACCTGCTCCCGAGCAGGTTAGGTTCACGGAGTCTGTTACTGTGGTAACTGACCGCGAGGTTGAGTTACCTCTCTTCGTGAAACAGGTTAGAGTTACCCCTCTCTCCCTGGTTTAACTAACCCTCCTTTGTGAAACGGAAAACTCAGAGTTTCCCTGATTTCAGGATTAACAAACTCGGAGTTTCCACTAAACCTGCTACGTGAAACGGACCTCAGGTTTTTAAAGGCAGCTTGATTAACTGAGTGACCACAGGTGTGCCTCATCAGCTGCTGCAGCAGACTCAGCCTCTCCCTGCCTCACACAGACTCTGCTGAGAAAACAGAAAGGACAACAACAACAAAAATTGTACAGAATCATCACACACAGTTTTCAGAGTCTTATTAAATATAAAGGGTTACAAGCAAATGTAAGAAGTATAAAAGATACTGTAAAAGAGGCAATGGTTTAAAGCTACAGTGCGTAACTTTGTCGCCCCCTAGAGGATTTCTGCATTATTACAATGATATGGCCGGCACTTAAACATGACATATGTACATCACCCACAGTAACACTTACTAGACACAGCATACTGTTCTTCACAGTACACAAAGTAACACTGGCTACAAAATGTGTACTGCTCGTCACGTTACACAGAGAAACACTTGCAAGACACCACATGCGCTGTGGACCACAGTCACGGACCACAGTACAAGGACTGTAATTGTCTACGCAACTTGTAGGTTACTAAAGCATTGGTTCCCAAACGGTGTGCCACGAGGGAAGTCCGAGTGTACCGTGGAATTTTGTGATAGCCATAGGCCCACGTTATTATTGCAATATACAACTACACAAAAAATATATATTTTTTTTTACTATATCAGTACTTTGTATGCACTTATTTCATAATACTGAGGCAAACCCTATACCTAAAAACAATTCTTTAAAAAAATCCTCAACTAGAACTACATATTCCGCTGTTTGTGCAGGAGGGTATAAAACAACATTGAAACATAGAAACGCACGAGAGGGAAAATGGAGCACTCTCTTGTGCTGAGCAAACCTCAAACCACCAGTGCTGAGACTGCCGACAACCCACCACTGATCCTCCGCACAGGGGCTTGTTGGCTGTCACGGGGGAAAGTCCTATCCCATCTTTATGAGCTTCGGGAAGAGCTTTTAGAATGTTCACATGAACATGCTGTCCCACACAAAGACAAGCTTGCAGATGAGAGGTGGTGCGCCAGGCTGACTTACCTTGCAGAGATATTTGGGCATCTCAAGAAGTTAAACGCCAAGTTTCAGGGCAAGAATGAAAACACTTTTTTTCTGCTGAGTTTCCTTTGCCTCATTTTTAATTTTGTGACCTGTGTGTTGTTGACAAAGCTCATCCATCCATTCATTTTCTATACCCCTTATCCCTTCCGGGGTCGCGGGTGGACTGGAGCTAATCCCAGCTGGCATCAGGTGAGAGGCAGGGTACACCCTGAATCGGTCACCAGTCAATTGCAGGGCCACAAAGAGAGACAAACAACGAGTCACGCTCTTACTCATACCTAAGGACAAGTTGGGTCACCAATTAAACTAATGAGCAGGTTTTTGATCTGTGGGAGGAAGCCAGAGTGCCTGGGGAGAACCAGCGAGCACTACCACTGCTCCACCCTGCCACCCTATCAGACACTTTATGATAGCTTTAGAGTCATGTAACTGTCCCTGTAATGCATTATGAAATAATGTTTGAAACTGTTTTGTGTCTCTTAGACTAGTAAGCATCATTGAACTCAAAAGGTCATCCAGTTTCTTTCTTCCCTGGTCCCTTATCTAGTGACTAAAGACAAAACTTTTCCAAGTTTGTGTCAGCCTGTTTGATGGCTAAAAATGGAACTGTTTGCCTCTTGTGTCTGCAGCGTGCCTCTGAGCCCCAGGGAGATTCCAGAAATAGCGAAAGAGCAGATGGAGCCTGAGTACCATGGAGCCCAAGACATGTGTAAGAATGGAATAGAGATTGTAGGACTGATTGCTGAGGAGAAATAACAAACAGATCCTGTTTAGATTGTGAGCTTGAGGACTTTTTCTCGCAAATTTCCTAATCTTTACAGATTGAAGTTTCAGAATAGCTGCTGTTAGGAGATTTACCATAAATAAACACGATCAATAAATGACAAAGAACCGATGTTAGGCCTAATTGAACATTTATAGTACAAGGAGAAAATATTGTTAAATGATTTAGTTTCCTATCTTGATTTATCTAACATTTAGCTGTCTTATCAAAACTTGTCATCAATACTTGGCAGCTGGTATCTTAAAAATGAGCACCTCACTTCATTCAGCAGCCTTTATAGTGTGAAAGAGGAGGCGGGAACCTGTGCACACAATTTTGTGATTAATACCAAACACAAGACTGACTGTATTATTCATCATGAAAGACACAAGATGAGGGCAAGAAACACTGAATTTTAAAAGACAGCTGAAGACAGAAAACCCTACAGTGGCTGCCCAGGTAAATGATGTAGGAACCAATGATATGGATATACTTTTATGTGAACTCTACAGTTGATGTTGAAAGAAACCCTAAACATTAATGGTTCTTTGCTTGCATTTAGCAGGACACCTGTTCAAAATAATTACACTATAGAATAAGAATAAGAACAACTTTATTGATCCCTGAAGGGAAATTTAATTGTCTGTCATCTAATTCAATTCTGTTAATTACTTATTATTGACAAGCCACCTGACAGACCAAATATAACTGAACCATAAAGTCTTACATAAATTGGTTAAATGCAAGTCCATTATGGAGGAGCCAGTGCTGCTGAGGATCCACCCAACCTTTGTGAAGGAGGGAGACTCCAAACACACAAAACATGACTCCACCATTCTGTTATATGTGGAAACCAGAGTAACCATGACAACACCTGTTATAAAAACTAGTATAGTCAACTTTACATTTTATTTAAAAGCCACTTGACAGGCCAAGTACAGCTTAACCATAAAGATGAACATAAATTGGTCAAATGTGGCTCCATATTGTTAAAAGGGAATTCGTGCTGTTGAAATGTGATGTATTTAACTTTTTTATAACAGTATTCAGCAGTCATGACTGATGTGACAAGGAAGAGGAATAAGTGAGAAACTCATTTCAGCCAAGATGACCAACATTATTCTTTCTCCCTAATGATATTTTTCTTAAGAGGAGAAATATCTGTCTTCAGTACTATAATGTGTAAGAATCAGTTCTTTATTTGACTGCTCAAGGACAACCAGAAAAGTCTTCAGCTATCAAATAAACCTTTTATTATGGTCACAGGTAGAGTAATACACAGTAATATACATAGACTCAGGATGACAGAGCGCCGAGGATCTCCATCACAATGAGTGCCCATTTCTGGGTATAATTCACATTTATCTCCTTGGGCAGGGATTGCCCTCGATAGTGGTTGGACTTAAACGAGTCTCATTGGCCGGTTATCCCAGATGTGAACAGGCCAACCACTGTTCATGTGGTCTTACTAAAATGTGCTCTGAAATATGTTTTTATGTTGATCTTGAGTTGTGTATCTACAGTAGCAAACCTGTCTGGCACAATTAAGAGACCCTTGTGGCTCATCAGGCTCCTGCTTATCAAGATTTAAGTCACACTGTTCTAATTAAATAAAAACAACTGCTAAGTTAAATGAAACATTTATTAAGTTAAATTAGTTCAGTGGAAAGGTACCAGTCGGAATCTGACATGAACAGAGAAAAGACGTTATATGAGAAGTTATATGAATTTAGTAAAAAAGTACAAATCTAACATTAGCAATGTAAAATACATTTATAACAGATGAAACACTTAGAAAATGCGTCCAAAATATGAAAAAAGACTGTTAGTGTAGATTAAAACTAGGGCTAATAATCGATTAAAATATTTATCAGACTGCAAATGTTTATCAATATTTGCAGTCTGATAAAGAGGGGCATAAACTAAGGGATGACTTGTCCGAAAAAAAAGTAACACAGACTATAAACAGACAACCAAAGCCATCAGTGTTGATGATAACTTTATTACTGATGAGTTTCAGCTTAACTCAGTGCTGTCCATTTAAAGCAGTCCTGCTATTTTGCACATCAAAGCTATAGTGGTTATAGCGGACCCTGTAGAAAATCCTTTCAAGTAAGGACTGTCTTGAGCCAGGGGTGACAAACCCATTGGTGACCCCTACACACCTGAAGCCCAGGCGCTGATAGAGCCTGTGGACAGTTTGTTTGTACGCAGTAGTTCCCAGGACAACAGTAGAGTTTCCCTGAGAGACAGCAAACTCCAGAACCTTTCGTCCCAGCACGACGCCAACTCCACAACGTCGAAACCTCCTGTCAATGGACATCCGCTGCAATTCAACAGCACCATTTGACTTCGTTGGACTGACTGCTGCCACCAGACCCACCACTTTACCTTCCAGCACTGCTACCCACAGACAGGAATCTGAGGAAGAGGACAAAGGCAAAGCAGGTACATGATGAAGAAGAGATGAGATATGTTGTAAGATAAAAAAAATAACCCAAATCAAGATTACTGTCTGTACTGACATTTACTTTACAGATAGTTGGTTAAATTAATTGAATACTTTAAAAAGGGTGCATCTTTGGCTCCCCCGAGGGTGTGTCCGTTTCCTCTAAATGAGCCGTATATCAAGTGTGTGACATACCTGTGCTGCAAGTGTGGTTGGCTAACTGATAACTCTTTTAATCAAAAACATTAAGGCAACTGTTCAGAGTTATTGATTATTATGGAAAGTTAGAAATACTATGAGCAATCTCCACCTTTCACCATGTTTCGCTCTACAAAATTTCTGCAGACATGATATACATTTGCTCAAGCCACTTATATTCATAGCAATATAAGTAAACTGTGATATTTATTTTGCAATGTCTGGCTATTAATCTGTTACATGAATACAGTCAATATGGTATGAGATTTGAGTTACGATATGAAAATGAAGTCCGTATGTAACTGTTGTAAAGGGGGAAATCAGATGAGCAGCTTGTTGGCTCCTTGAAAAAAAAGATGGCAGTACATCACTGAACCTACAACCTGACTGTGATTTTATGCTCACAACGCTACGTTCTAGTTATATGACTTAAATATACACTACAAGTGTTAAATGTCTCATGTAAGTGTTTTCTCGATTTTTCTAACCACTTAAAGTGCTTTCACATTAGATGTCACACTCACCCATTCACACAACATTCACACACTGATGACAGAGGCTGTTCTGTATACAGCCCATCAGTAATGACTATTCCCATTCATACATCACTGAGTAAAGCCAGTTGGGGCATTTTAGGGGCAAGTATCAACCTGTGGAGCTGGACCTGATCCAACCTAACTTTGTGAACCTCAAAAGCCCTGAGTAACATGACTTACAACACTCCTGTGAAGAGTTGTTTTTGGTGATTATGAAATACACTGTGTTGACACTGATGATATCACAAGACCATCAGAAATAAGATGGGTGATCTTACAATTTTAATTTTTAATGCCTGAATCGAGTATGGTGGGGTAGTTGTCAGTGTAGCAGCTGAAAAAACAGCTTTGTTTCCACATAAATCCTCACAATACATTTGATGGTCAAAAGTCAGAATAGGTTTTTGTCAGAACACACTAGTTGGGCCTGTAAAGGACCAAAGAGCAAAGACCAATATGTCCACAGACGGCAACGAAACCGTCATAAACCAAAATTTCCTTGTTACTATCTCATCACACAGCTTTTGTCTTTGTTGACAGCTTTGACTTAGTGTGTCAGATAACAAAGGAAGGATCAAGGTCAGATGACATTGTGTTTGGCGACTATTCTATTGTTCAACAGTGTTAGAAATATAAACAGTTTGAATTCTCAAACACATACCTGATGTGTTCATGTAAAAGCCCTCAATGTCCCCCATGTCTCTGCTCATGGCGTGCTCCAGGAAACCATGAATCACACGCAAGCTGTAGAAGTAACGCCCACACAGAAAAAATACAGGGAGGAGTCCTATCACCCACCAACACATGGTCATAACTGAACACAGAACTGCCAGAGAAAAGATATGGACATATGTGACAAGAGTGAAAACATGTATCATTACTCTAACTTACAAAATAAAGATGAGACTTTATGAAAGAAAAACTGTGAGACAACAAGAAGAAAAACTTGTAAAATGTCTATTTACCAAATCAGTCTGCAATTTTTTTTTTAAAATCACAGAAGCATCAATGAAATGTGATTCCCATCTTAACTTACTTGTCAGAGTGATATAGAGCAGGATACTCTCTGGGTGATGTCTCAAGCCTCTGAAGGCTGTGTCTGGTACCATCTCCATCATTCCCTCAGAGAAGATCCGCTGTACCTCTGGTTTGTCTCCGGGCTCAAACTCCCGCACAGTTACAGTTTGAAGTCCAAGCTTTGGTTTTTGTTCTTTTTGAACCCTGTTTCTTCCTCCTCTATTCTCCATACCAAAGTTGAAAATCGCTGGATATGAATGAAGAGGTTGCAAAATAGGGGTGCAGTTATAGAGCTGGTAACCCTAACACAACTGCCAACATCAAATTTTCCTTTTAGTAGTGCTGTCAAGTTTCTCCCTTGGTGTGCTACTGGTTTCAGCACATTCTTTCTTTTGAGATAGATCTTTACCACCTGGGCCCAAAGCTCCACCCTGGATACAGAAACCTAAGTTGACCTATTCTCTAGCTCTCTCACCAGACCATTACTGCACAGGCTGGTTTTGGTTTTAACACACCCACACATCATACCCGAACACAAAAATTATACTCACGCACCCACACTTGCATAGCAAATGCCACTGAAACATGTTTGTTTGTGTTGTTGATTTAAAAATGTTACGTTTTGATAATACATAATTGTATATTTTTGGCAACTTCTGCTTGTAAAAATCAGTTCTTTAGTTGATTGGTCAAGGACAACAACGTAAGTCCTCAGGTCTTAGATAAACCTTTTATTATGGTCACATGGTTTTAATGGTGAGATCATAAGCCTTCAAAAATAGCATCCATCCAACAAGTCTGATTTAGAGACCTTAGAGCCTTAAAAAATGTCAGAGGGTGATGGTCGGTGTACACCACTCCACCAACGTACACCTCAAAATGCTGCAAGGCCAAAACTAACACAAGAGCCTTCTTTCCTATGACAGACGAATTCATTTGGTGATAGTTGAATTACACTACACTACTAAAATGCTTTCACATACATTACTGGCATGCTCTTAAATACACTACTGAAATTCTCTCACACACACTCCTGAATAGTGATGAGAAGTTAGGCTCTTTTCAGAGAACCTCTGGATCGGCTTATTTCTCAATGATCAAGCTCTTTCAGCTCCCAAGTCACTCTTCAGTTATTTTCTTCAGTGTTGCTTTAATTCATTTATTATCAACAATGATGTAATATTATGTGCAAAATTAATTAATAATGTGAAATAACATGCAATAATATTTATCATAAATATTCTATATGGGGGACTGATGGTGCTCAAATGCAGTCTCCATGCTGTCACATGTGTAAAACACTGGTAAACTGAGGCCTTGATCAGGGGTCCGTTTCACGTAGCAGGTTTAGTGGAAACTCCGAGTTTGTTAACCCTGAAATCAGGGAAACTCTGAGTTTTCCGTTTCACAAAGGAGGGTTAGATAAACCAGGGAGAGAGGGGTAACTCTAACCTGTTTCACAAAGAGAGGTAACTCAACCTCGCGGTCAGTTACCACAGTAACAGACTCCGTGAACCTAACCTGCTCGGGAGCAGGTTTAACTCAGTAAACCCAGAGTTTCAGGTGAGACATCGGCATTTTCTCATTTTGATCATGTTTTACATTGTCAAGTAAGTATTAAGTGGCAGTTTGATCCCTTAAAAAAATGCTCTTTTCACACTCAAAACTGAAATTTACTCTCTTATTATGTTCCGTTAAATGATTAGGAATATTAAACTAACACAAAAACGGGTGGTGGTCCAGCAGCCCCACCTTTAACGGAGGCAGAGGAGCTGCCCCACACCCCCCCCCGTTCGACGATCGACGACACACACACACACACACACACACACACACGCACACCAGTCCGACGATCGCTGCTACGAGGTGGGGGTTTCGATCGTCGAGGGGGGGGCAGCTCCTCTGCCTCCGTTAAAGGTGGGGCTGCTGGGCCACCACCCGTTTTTCTGGCATCTGCCCTCTTTCTGTTTGCTGAGTGAAAGTCTAATATTGAGTGTAGTGTGTGTTAGTTTAATATGTGTACATATACATACTGAGAGTTAGTTTAATATTCCTAATCATTTAGCGGAACATCATAAGAGAGTAAAATTCATTTTAGAGTGTGAAAAGAGTATTTCCTAAGGGATCAAACTGCCACTTAATACTTACTGATAATGTAAAACATGATCAAAATGATTCAAGCAGTTTCCCTGCAACAGTCTGTCATTGTGATTGCACGAGACTAGATTTAAAGTTACGCATTGACGCGAGCAGCGATTTCCTCCCAAGCCCGCTCCCTCTCCTTTGCAGCTGCTGCTGTATTGCACTTTCTTTTACAAACGTGCTGTAATTCGCTGTTGGCTTGCTGCTGCCCCCTCCTTCTCCCTGTTTCCATTGGTTGATCATTGAATCTGCGCTCCACAGATGCTGGCTGTTTATGTCTGGCGTGCACGTGCTTAACTCCAGGTCAAACTACTCGGAGTTGTTAAAACCGTCTCAAATCAGGTATTGTGAAACCGGAAACTCAGAGTTTCCTAACTCAGAGTAGATCAACTCAGAGTTAAGGATTTAACTCAGAGTTTGTTGAACCACCTACGTGAAACGGACCCCTGCTCTACTCTTGTCCTTTCTCTTCAACCTTCCTCCATTAACATTACGGAACTTTCCACTGTATCGGCCATCGACCACACAGTGTGTGTGTGAGGATGTGTTAGTTGGCTGTGGTTTTGCTCATATGCAGGGTAGAGGTGGGGAATGTGTTTAGGGGAGCAGAACTGAGTAACACAGGGGTTTTCTTTGGACTGAGAGCCCCTTTATCTGATCTGTGTGTCAGCCCCAGCGGCATGCACAGAGCTTGTAAAGATGACAAACAGGTTCATTATTCATTCACACACACACTTGAACCTGTTTGTTATCTTCACAAGCTCTGTGCATGCCTCTGGTGCTTAATCAAACCCATCTAGCCCTGTCACATGCTTCAGGTAAATATCTTCACTATGGACACCCAATTACAACCTACACAAGTGCTGCAGAGCCAAACAACAACTGTTGTTTGCTCATGGATCAAGACTCAAATCACATCGTTTAGCCCTACAAAGAGATGAGATGATGATGTTAATGCTAATTCAATGCAGTCTCTTTCATTCATTTTTCTTCCCCTCTGAATGAAAATAGACAAGTGACAACAGAAGGCAGCATCGAAACTGGCTGACTGACTCACTTCTCGTCCAAGAAGTCTCAAAAAGTCTTAGATCAAAAATAATCACCACATTTTTATTCAGCACATCAGACAAGACCAAACACGCCAAGTGTGACAAGAGGGCAGGATCAGTGCGATTCTATATTTGACTCAGATGACGCCATATGGGTGTGATGCATGTGAAATGCTACTGACACAAACTGTGGAGTGGAGAAAGGCAGGAATTAAAGACTAAAGACAAGAGCAAGTGAGAAAAACCAGAGGAGCTGTTCAAGATTTCACAACAGTGGTGCTTTTCTAAAGACTTGTCAGAGAAATTTTCAGCTTTCTTAACAAAATCTTTCCTAAATGAGGGAAGATGAAACATGCCTTTAATTTTAACACAAGCAAAATGATAACCTAAATCCTGCCCTGGCCCTCAGTTCATTATTTTAAAACAGAATGATGTTAAAAAAGTGAGTAACCCTGTATGTGACAACTGCTATTGTTAGTATTACAGATAACTATTGACAGTTCATTTTAAACCCAGCACATCTCAAACAGACATAGGATATCATCTCTGTCTGCCGAGGGTCTTGAGCAGACATCCTTTCTTACTTTGAAAGTTGGCTCAGAACTTTAGACAGGGTCCTGACAACCACTACAAACACCAACAGCCACTAATCAATAATCCAATATTCTTCAGGAGCATGACGATGCCCATCCATCAGGGATGCTAAATGACTGATCCAGCTCATCAAACGACCACAGTTGGCCTGTGTGTTCTGCAAAAGTGCATCCACTTCATACTTTCCACAATGAGTCTGATTTGCAGAACACTGCAGTGTTTCTCCGAGACTAGTAAATGCTACAAGTGCTAGTCAACTATTTAGTGCCTTTAGGGTTACTGCAGCACTCCATCTTGATAACTCTGAGAAACAGAGCAGAATTGAACTTTTTCAAGAAAACTTGTAAATCTGAGGAAAATTAGCAAAGGTTCAAGGTTTAAGATGACTTTATTAGTACCGAAAGAGTGAGATTGTTGTGCAGACAGACGTTTCAGCATTCCAGAGTAAAAATGCATACCAATACTATCTCACAGGCACATCTTTTCCAACTCATTAAAAACAGACTTGTAAGATACAATTCAGCATCAGAATATAAAGGAGGAAAACAGTCTTGAAGGACAGAGCTGACTTTACACTGCAGCTGCAAAGAGTAAAGATTACATAGATTTAGTGGTGGATCACCTGTAAGCTTTGCTGTCTATTTCACAATCTGGTTAGGGCATTCTTGCTTTTAAAAGACAAGTTACCAAACCATGAAATAAAGGACATAGACAATATGGATTCGATAAAAGCACAATAAAGTAAAACCACAATTGTTTTCAACCAATCAATGTGACAATAAGTGTGTCTCCTAAGACAGACAGGTGTTGATGTGTTTTCTTACAAACGCCTTGACAAGTCTCCTCAAAGGTCAGTTTCATGACTACAACTGTTCCAAGATATTCATACGTTCAACATCCTGATTGTTAATGATGGTCGGCTCAGGATTTGGAGCATAAGCAAAGTCTCACAGCTAAAATGTGGGATTGAATTGTATTACATGCCAAAGAAAAGTTGACAAACAACAATCTCCTGAGTTTTGTGACCTTCCAGATGCTTAAGCAGAGGATTAAAGGGTAGTGATTAATGCATCCTCAACTCCTTCTTGAGAGCAAGAGCCTGTTCAGTCTCTTTAATGAGTTTCTTTCCTTCAAGCTTTTCATTACAGCTGAATCTTAAACAGCTTTTTGGCTGCTACTTTTAGGAACAGGGTAGTCACAGTTCTGGCCCACATTGAAAGTATAATGGCATATCAAAAATATAAGAACTCAGCTGACTTGCACATGATTTCAGTAATCTGCTGATGATATCGCCTCGATCAGGGCTCTTATTTAGTTCTACGCTGTGAAAGATTTCTTGATCTTTTCCTGGTTTTCCTTAGTTTTGTCCTCATGAGGTTATCATGCTTTTCTACACTTACATTAAAAACGGCATAGTTACAACGTTTGGTGTCCATACTAGATGAATGCAATGGTTTAAATTACGAGGTAAATTTATGCAACTGGTAATTTTTCTTGCTGAAGTTTAGCCAAACTTTTGACCGTTGCCGCACACTGTCCATGGTTGCAATGCACACACACACAACCTCCCTGTGGCTTCTTCTTCGTTGGTGTTAGGCGGCTAATTCTGTAGACTGGACTGGGCATTGAAACTTGGAATCAAAAATTAAAAATTTGACCGGGCCCGTGAGAATTGGAATGTTACTCCTGGTTCCCACTGATGCTCGAGACACAATGCCCAACCATATCTAATGACTTTGTAAATGTACCATTTACCCAGGCAGACTTTAACTGAGCACCAGGAAAGGAAAGATGTCAGCACCAGGCATAGATCAATATTTCTACATAATGATACATTATGCTGGATTTATAATTTCACAGGGACAATGGAAAAAACGAGGCAGATGATGTGGCTTGGAACTGTACATGATGCCCGTTTTACTAAGAAAAGAAATGCTGCAAAGCAAGCAAGGGAGTAGGTACCTACCTATTCCAATGAAGGTTATGTGTGTAATTGCTAACTGTGTGTGTAAAAATAAAGTTAGCGGCAGACACTTAATGAAGCATCATAATTAAGTGACAAGGTAATTATTAGAAGATCTACGTGCATATCGCACTATTTGTGTGGCTGTACAATTCATATAATTAATTTAGCTGCTGCTAATCAAGAAGGACCTTGTTGACTTCTGCACCATGAAATGCGTCAAGTTTATTAAATCCACAGTGGAGATTGCAGTGCAGTATTTACCTCTTGCTGATGCAGCAACACCAACAAACGTTGAAGACACTGTCATCTTCTGGCAGTGATCCTTGCACCTTGCAGCCTGTGCCAGAGCGCTACAGCCATGCACAGGACCCATCTTTGTCTTGTCATGTTGATGAGTCTTTCTGTTTTCCGGTGGAGTGAGGAGGGCATTTCATACCTGCCCATCTTGTTTATACCCTCCCCGTTCAATTGAAGCGCCCTCCACGGCTGCAAGTGTGACTTCATCATGAGTGTCACTCGGTAGTAAAGGGGGAATGTGTAGGGGCCAGATTTGATGGAGGCTTTCTTTTTGTATTGTCTGCTTGATGGTTGCCACTTGTTTCTTGCATTGCATATGTATCAAAATGGTTATTCCAAGCTTGATGATGATGTGAATGTAAATATATGCCTACTATTAAAAAACGACCTCACTTCTGAACCATTTTTTAACATCAGCAAGACAACTATGCAGACCTGACCTGCTTCCTGCTGGTTTAATATTTGCAGTCTGATAAAGAGGGGCTCTTAACCAAGGGAAGACTCGTCAAAAAAAAGTAACACAGACTATAAACAGACAACCAAAGCCATCAGTGTTGATGATAACTTTATTACTGATGAGTTTCAGCTTATCTCAGTGCTGTCCATTTAAAGCAGTCCTGCTATTTTGCACATCAAAGCTATAGTGGTTATAGCGGACCCTGTAGAAAATCCTTTCAAGTAAGGACTGTCTTGAGCCAGGGGTGACACACCCATTGGTGACCCCTACACACCTGAAGCCCAGGCGCTGATAGAGCCTGTGGACAGATTGTGTGTACGCAGTAGTTCCCAGGACAACAGTGGAGTATCCCTGAGAGACAGCAAACTCCAGAACCTTTCGTCCCAGCGTGATGCCAACTCCACAACATCGAAACCTCCTGTCAACGGACATCCGCTGCAATTCAACAGCACCATTTGACTTCGTTCGATTGACTGCTGCCACCAGACCCACCACTTTACCTTCCAGCACTGCTACCCACAGACAGGAATCTGAGGAAGAGGACAAAGACAAAGCAGGTTCATGATGAAGAAGAGATGAGATATGTTGTAAGATAAAAAATAACCCAAATCAAGATCATTGTCTGTACTGACATTTACTTTACAGATAGTTGGTTAAATTAATCTAATTATTTAAAAAGGGTGCATCTTTGGCTCCCCCTAGGGTGTGTCCGTTTCCTCTAAATGAGCCTCCCATAACACTATCTTTGGCCATATATCAAGTGTGTGACGTACCTGTGCTGCAAGTGTGGTTGGCTAACTGATAACTCCTTCAATCAAAAACATTAAGGCAACTGCTAGGAGTCATTGACTATTATGGAAAGTTAGAAATACTATAAGCAATCTACACTATTCTCTATGTTTCACAGACATGGTAAGCATTTGTTCAAGCCACTTATATTATATTCATAGCAATATAAGTAAACTGTTATATCTATTTTGCAGTATCTGGCTATTAATCTGTTATACAAATACTGGCAATATGGTATGAGATTGGAGATCTTAAGATATAAAAATGAAGTCCATATGTAACTGTTGTAAAGGGGGAAATCAGATGAGCAGCTAGTTGGCTTCTTGGAAAAAAAGATGGCAGTACATCACTGAACCTACAACCTGACTGTGATTTTATGCTATGTTCTAGTAGTAATACGACTTAACAAGTCACACATTATGTTTAGACTCTACAATGACTTTACTTTGCAATATGCAACAATCATGATTTCACTGTGATTTTACTCTTGTAAATGGACGTGTTATGTGTGTCTCATGTAAGTGTTTTCTCGATTTTTCTAACCACTTAAAGTGCTTTCACATTAGATGTCACACTCACCCATTCACACAACATTCACACACTAATGGCAGACGCTGTTCTGTATATAGCCTATCAGTAATGACTATTCCCATTCATACGCCACTGAGTGAAGCCAGTTTGGGCATTTTAGGAGCAAGTATCAACCTGTGGAGTTCGACCTGATCCAACCTAACTTTGTGTTACCACTGAATGCCTGCATCATCACATCATGCCTTCATCACACAGCTTTGTCCTTGTTGACAGCTTCGACTTAGTGTGTCAGATAACAAAGGAAGGATCAAGGTCAGATGACATTGTGTTTGGCGACTATTCTATTGTTCAACAGTGTTAGAAATATAGACATTGGTATTGAATTACATTAAATGAAGTTTGAATTCTCAAACGCATACCTGATTTGTTCATGTAAAAGCCCTCAATGTCCCCCATGTCTCTGCTCATGGCGTGCTCCAGGAAACCATGAATCACACGCAAGCTGTAGAAGTAACGCCCACACAGAAAAACTACAGGGAGGAGTCCTATCACCCACCAACACATGGTCATAACTGAACACAGAACTGCCAGAGAAAAGATATGGACATATGTGACAAGAGTGAAAACATGTATCATTACTCTAACTTACAAAATAAAGATGAGACTTTATCAAAGAAGTGACCCATGACTTGTAAAGTGTCTATTCTCCGAATCAGTCTGCAAAAGTCTTTAGTTTTTTATTTTTATTTTGTTTGTTTGTTGTTGTTTTTTTTCACATCACAGAAGCATCAATGAAATGTTATTCCCATCTTAACTTACTTGTCAGAGTGATATAGAGCAGGATACTCTCTGGGTGATGTCTCAAGCCTCTGAAGGCCGTGTCTGGTACCATCTCCATCAGTCCTTCAGAGAAGATCCGCTGTACCTCTGGTTTGTCTCCCGGCTCATATTCCCGCACAGTTACAGTTTGAAGTCCAAGCTTTGGTTTTTGTTCTTTTTGAACCCTGTTTTCTCCTCCTTTATCCGCCATACCAAAGTTGAAATCACTGGATATGAATTAAGAGGTTGCAAAAGATGGATGCAAGTATAGAGCTTGTTACCCTAACACAACTGCTGGCATCTAATTTTCCTTTTAGTAGTACTGTCAAGACTCTTGGTGTGCTACTGGTTTTGGGGCATTCATTAGAGAGTGTCGCAACAGATAAGACCCAGACTCATTTTGAGCTCACAGTACACACCCTCTTATCATGTTCCCAGGTCTGCTTGGGTTTAGCCCTTACTGTTTCCATTTCTACTTCCTATTTGAAAATCTGACTTTTTTCCTCAACCAAATACCTCAGTAGTTTACAGCCTTGAAAGTGGTTACAACCACTGTGCAATTTTACAAAGAATGTAATGCACATGGTTAAAAAAGCCTATCAGTGTGTTTCTTCTTTTCAAACACAAAGACCTTCAGGCCTCTCTATCTGATGGTATGTTGGCATTCCTCCTGGCATGTCTTGCCTGGTAATGAGCTGTTGCATCATTTTGAAGTTCTGGCTGGAGGGGGGAAAAAAAATCTGGTCTTCATCATCACTGCCTCTTGATTCCCAGGTCAGTCTACTGGAGTCATCTCAGAGCCAGGAGTGTAACCTTCAGGGCAACTATGTCCTCTAAGCCTCCGGCTGATATGACCAATGCTTACATCATTCACACCTGGTTATGTCTGAGATATATGGCAGATTTATTTTCTGTTTTTTATTGTAGTGTTACAGTTGTTAGAGTAAAACTTAGATTTCCCCCTGTTTTCAATAGTGACTAAGTGAAATCAAAAGGCACCCATGACTAAAGCCATGAATATGAGATACATTCTTGATGTATCAACATCTGAGCATGCAAACTGTGCAATTCCCTCCACAACACCTGTCCACAGAGGATATAAATACACTTAATGATTTATGAGGACAAACCCTAAACAAGCAGTTCAAGCATTTGAAAAGGAGCTCAAAAAAAGGAGCTGCTGCTGCTTTCATCACCTGGTGTACAAAATAAAAATCACTTTAGAAAAGTGCAGGCAATTTATCTACAAAACATACACATCATGTACACATGGTTACTTTCACAAATATAAGGCCATGTGATGATAACATCAATAACTAAACCTGCAAGTGGCTCTCTCTGCTGGCAGCATTCGCCAGGTGCAATAAATAAGGCTCTGATGCTCTCAGCCGCGATGGCGGAGCAGTCAAGGCGCTGTCCATGGTCCTGAAGGTGACAGCAGGTTATTTGGACTTTAAAACTGTTATTGTGCAAAAAGTAATTATGCATTAAAATCAATATTTTTATCAATTATTGACATGGTCAGGGTTGTTATAAATTTATCAAAAATATTTCACTTTGCACCTCATTTTTGGAATTATTGCATATTTTTAGTTTTTCTCATTAAAAAAATTAGGGGTTCTCAGGATAAAAGACACTAAAAACCTAAAAAATATATACTTTTTTTAAAATAAACTTTATATCTATGGATAGGTCTGAAGTTGTTGACAAGATATAATGCTTTAAAGTAAAAAAAAATATGAATGTATAATGTTTTTGCTGCACTTTCATTAGACCGTCCATTTTTGGCCACGAGGGTAACAAGTGTCAGTAAATTTTAAGGGGTCCTCAAGGGTTAAAAGAGACACATAGACCTCTTGAAGACGCATGATGCATTCATTGAAAAAAAAAAAAAAAAAACACAAAAAAAGGCACAAAAAACACAAAAAACTCCCACATAAAAAATAAAACTCACACAAAAATCAAAAAAACCTACAAAAAAGGGAAAAACTCATAATCAAGAGAGAAAATCAATTAAACCAATTAAAATATTTAATTATACGAATGCATATATTGTCTTGAAAATGTGCGTTTATTAATTTTTTGTCCAAATTTAAAAATAAACAACTATGGCAACACATCTTTGGAATTTTTTTTTTTTTTTTTCAAATTTGAAAATAAACAACTATGTTGTAATGCCGTCTGAGAATGTTATTTTTCCAAATATGGAAATTTACCCTGATGACATCACATTTTGTGATGTCATTGATGATGTCATCGATCCTTTCATCTTTTTTTACAGACTCAATGATCGTTTCATCTTAAAGCTTGTTGATGCTTAGCCTCACAAAATCCGTCTTTAAGACAGTCCAGCCATCAGTGCCAGACAGCGACAAACACAGAGAACCTCAGTTTCAGTGAACATCTTTGAACAGGTACACGAACAGGAACATGACCACCATGAACATGAACATGAACATGAACATGAGCAAGACCATCTACAGTTCCAGTGAGAAGATGAACACGAGAAAAAGAAGGAACAAGAGGAAGAACAAGGCCACCCCCGTCCCTCTGGATCAGGGGACCAACAAATATGCAAACGCGGTGCCTGCAGATCTGTATGATCTGGATGATGATGATGATTTTGGCAACTTTAACATCAATGAACAAAATCTGATGCGCCAAGCCATCAAAGTCTCAGAAGTCGCAGAAGTCGCAGCCCGCCGGCAAGAGGCTCAGGAGAGATATAGACAACTCCAATTGGAGCCTACAATGGACGCCTCAGATTGGGAGTCGGATGGGGAGGATCGTGAGTCAGTCCATGACAAACACTCTCCTCCAAGCCAGCAGGGACAAAAAGAAGTCATGGTCCCAATTCCTAGCAGGCCTGTCATTCAGATCCTTGAGTCTGAATTTCAGAGACTTGCAGGAGAGGAGAAGGAAGCAGTCCGACTCAAGGGTGAAATGGCTGCCTTATCTCAGGAGGTGAACCTGTTAAAAGAGCAGCTCAGACAACAGGAAGAGAAAGCCCCCTCTGAAAAGACACGCCTGCTCACTGAAGTGTCAGGTAAGCGAGAGGAAGCAGGAAAGGCAGTCCTTGAAATTAAAAAACTTAAGGAGGACTGTGAAACTGAAATGAGGAAGCGGAGGGAGACAGAGGAGTGCCTGGCCCAGCAAGCAGAGCTGACCTCCAGACTGCAGGCTGATATGGACAAGGCCGTCACTGAGGTGAAGAACCAATGGTGGCAAGACAGATCCCAGCTCCTGGGGGACATCATGCATCTTCGTGCTGCACTTTACTATGCACAAGTGACACAGGAGAACCAGAGGCTTCTGTGGGCTGAGCAGCAGGCCAAGGTGACAGAAGACAACTGTCACACCACAGAGCCAAACCAGGTCCAAGAAGAAACTGCCACCGAGAACCCTGAGAGGGAGGAGGACAAGACCTCTCTCCTGGATGAGATGAAAGAAGAGCTGTCCACCGTCAAGGCTGAGCTGAAACAGACTCAAGAAGACCTGCAGACCAAGACCTGCCAGTGGGAGGAGGAGAGATCCTGTCTTCTGTCTGACAAAGAGGAAATCTGCAGATTGAAGGCTGCTCTCGAGAAGGCTGAGGAAGATCTGAAGAAGCAGAACCCGCAGGTGGATGGACTCTCAGATGGGTCCAGGAAGATTAGAGCTTCTCTCAACCAGGCCCAGAAAGACCTAAAGAAGAAAAACAAACGGTTGGAGGAAGAGAGAGCATGTGTCCTCTTCCTCAAGGGGGAAAATGGCAAGTTAAAGGACGCCCTAGCCAAGGCTCAAGAGGACCAGCAGCAGTGGGAGGAGGAGAGAACACAGCTCCTCTCAGAGAAAGAAGACGCCTCCAAACTAAAGGAAGTCCTGAGTCAGACCAAAGAAGACCTAAAAAATGAAAGAAAACAATGGGAGGAGGAGAGGACTCATCTACTCTCACAGACAGAGGAGTCCTCCAAGTTAAAAGCTGACCTCAGCAAAACTCAAGAGCAGCTGAGAAAGAATAGACAGCAGTGGAATCATGAAAGAGCTCGCATTCAGCAGAAACTGGACTTCTGCAAGTTGAAAGAGGACCTCCAACAGTTACGAGAACAGCTAAAAGACCAAAAGAACAAGGCGAATAAAGTGAGAGCTGACCTTATTCTGGAGCAAGAATCCTTGAAGGTCAAGCTCATCCAGGCTCAGGAGAAGCTGAAGGCTCAGGACAAGGACTTCTCAGGTCTTTTGAGAGAAAAAGAGGAGGAGAGAAGCCGGATAAGAGCCTCCCTAGATGAGGTCCTGAAAAGTGACGAGAACCAGAAGCGCAAGCATCACGAGGAAGTCAGTCAGCTGAAGTCTGCTCTTCATCAGGCTCAGGAGGACCTGTCCAGGAAGACAAGTCAGTGGATGGAGTCCATCAGCGTCATTCAGCAGGATTGTGAAGTGAAGGAGACTGAGATTCAGACTCAGACATCCCCACCAAATGATACTGTAATGGATGAACTGAGGAGACTGGAGGAGCAGTTGGAGGAGGTCAGGAGGCCACCAAAGAGGTCTTTGAAGAAAAGGTTCAAGGGGCTCTTTAAAAAAGACACACAGACCTCTTGAAGATGCATGACATGCATTCATTAAAAAAAAAAAAAAAAAAACACACACAAAAAAAAAAAAAAAAAAAAAAAACAAAAAAAAAAAACAAAAAAAAAAAACACAAAAAACTCCCACAAAAAACTCCCACAAACACATATTGTGAATATGTGGCCTGGCTGGGCCATCCTGTTGCGTGAGTCACTTGACGTCAAGTGACTCACGCAACAGGATGGCTCAGCCAGGCTAGTGAATATGTACGTTTGAAGAGGGTTGAGGCCTGAGGTCCCGCCTCAGTGTCCAGTTTACTCTCTGGGTTACAGCCTCACTGAGGCTAGTGAACAGGTTTTCTCCGAGTGCTTCGGTTTCCCTAATTTTTATACAATTGTGTAAAAAAAAAAAAAAAACCCAGTAACTCCGCCAAATTGACTCAATTGGGTCATTTTTGCCGGTCCCAAGCCCGGATAAAGGAGGAGGGTTGGTTCATTTGTAGTTCTAAACATATTTGGGGTGTTTTCCCCCTTTTTGTCTCTCTCACTACATTGTTTCTCTCACTTACAGCGTCCATTTTAATTCGCTCAATTAATATTTAGTTTTCACTTCTTAAGGAGGTGTAACAACGGTTTAGTTTATCATGTCTGCAGATTGTGCTTTGTTTCTAAATTTTTCATGTGTCCCAACATGCTAGTTACATATCCGACAGGAATGCAGAGGCTTCCTTTTTCCCTTGAAAAAATCCAATTTCAAACACAACTTGGCTGGTCATTTCTCCAAAAGACAACCATGAAGCGCCATCTAAACCTGAAGCAGGCAGTTGCTGCATGTGTACAGTCACCTGAGGGGAGTGAGGTGACTGCTTCTGAGGAGAACATGAGCACTGAAGATTCACCTTGGAGCCGGGACAGGGACGTGCACATGATTATACAGGGGCAGGGGCTCCATTTTTTTCCAGTCATTTATACAATATGGAAATTAATGTAAAATAAAAATAAAAAGTACTAATAGAAAGGTAACGACTGTCCTGTGTAGGTGACAGTGATATGCAATAGCCATTTCTTTTGTGTCAACAAACTATTGTCAACATGACATGATCAAGATGGTAATATTTCAAACACAGATTACCTACATGCTGAAATTACTATCTATCTATCTATCTATCTATCTATCTATCTATCTATCTATCTATCTATCTATCTATCTATCTATCTGTCTATCTATCTATCTATCTATCTATCTATCTATCTATCTATCTATCGGTATACAAACTTTATTTCAGACCCAATAAGTCCATGTCATACAAAAAGATTATTATTATTATTATCATCATCATCAATTTGTTAGCCCACACATTAGTAGCAAAGTCACAATAAACTTTGTATCTAAACCTGGAACCTGTACTTTAGACCTGTAGTGAGGAAAATGTGATCCGCCATAAACACGATGCATTTTGTTTTGAAAATAAACCTGGTGTTTTATTTTCTATTTTGTACAGGATTTCCTGTCTGACATGATCTGCTCTTTGCTGAATTGATGCACCATGCTCTCTCTCTGGCAGCTCTGTGACAGAGTGGAGCCGCAAGAGACAGATAAGTGGCAGGCTCATCCCACACAAAAACCTGTATTACAAGAAAATGAATAAGGTAGAATACCGTGGAGTTTTTGTACCACCGTTTTTTTTTTTTTGTTTGTTTGTTTTTTACTTTCCAAACAGGAATTTATTAATGTTATTAAAAGAATAAAAAAAGGGAACCTTTAAATACAAGGCAAAAAGGGTAGGGGCTCAAGCACCCCTAGGGCTCTATTTGTGTGCATGAGCCAGGAGGATTCAGGGGGAGAAATACCTGTCAGACAGAGAGGGATAATGCAATTTGAGAGGGGGAAACAAAGAGGAGAAGGAGGAGTTTGAATCTCTCATGTGCAACAAATTATTATGCATCAAAATCAATATCTTTATCAAAATTATTTCACTTTGCACCTCATTTTTGGAAATATCGCATGGTTTGTATTTTTCCCATTGAGATAATCAGGGGTTCTCACGACAAAGGCACTGAAAACCTAAAAATATACAAAAAAATTTTAATAAACTTGATATCTATGGATAGGTCTGAAGTTGTTGACAAGATATAATGCTTTAAAGCAAAAAAAAAATGAATGTATAATGTTTTTACTGCACTTTTATAAGACCGTCCATTTTTGGCCACGAGGGTAACAAGTGTAAGTTTATGCTCAAAACTGTCATTGTGCAATAAATAATTATGCATTGAAATCAATATTTTTATCAATTATTGACATGGTCAGGGCTGTTATATCTTTATCAAAAATATTTCACTTTGCACCTCATGTTTGGAATTATTGCATATTTTGTGTTTTTCTCATTAAAAAAATCAGGGGTTCGCTAGACAAAAAAGACTAAAAACCTAAAAATATATAATTTTGTTTTAATAAACTTTATATCTATGGATACGTCTGAAGTTGTTGACAAGATATAATGCTTTAAAGCAAAAAATAATAATAATGTATAATATAATGTATAATGTCTTTACTGCACTTTTATAAGACCGTCCATTTTTGGCCACGAGGGTAACAAGTGTAAGTTTATACTTAAACTGCAACACCCCATTTACTGAATGTATTATATTGATAAGTACTGTGTTCTTAGCATCAGTTTTCTTTAAACGATTTTTTTATTAAACTTGTAAGGTGCCAGTTACCAAATCAGTGAGGTTATATATGAAATCTGAGATTAGTCTCAATTTGTAGTGTAACTAGTCAATTTTTATTGTGAGTAACTATGTAAAGTAAAGAATCACTTTTTTAGGTACCTACCTCAACACTGCTCTTAACACACCCCACTTCACAGGATTTTTGGCAGGATAATCTTAAGTACAGTGTGAAAATTAAGCCTTCGCTAACTTTTGTCAGGATGGTGAAAAAAGACCCAGAATCAACACAATTATCTTGTATCTTTGTGTCTGTGTTTGTCTCCTTTTTGTGAGTTCATTGCATCTTGCTTGAGTGAATATTCCTTATGGCTTTTGCATTCTTTTCTAAGTGTGTCTCGGGTTTTCTTTTATCAACAGACATTTTGATTTCTGCACTTCTCATGATCATGGTTAAGTTATCTGTATTTTACTCATTTCATTTAATGTCCAGTGTTTCCTGTTTGTTTTTACTTTGCGATCACTAACCCCTGTCTCTGTTTCAGATCTCTTCCTGTCTGCCCTGCCCCTGTCTTGTCTTGTCTTGTCACACCTGCCTCCTGATTGTGTCTCCACACTTGTTTCCAATCACCCACATTACCTCTTGTATTTAACCTCATGTCTCTCACAGGCTCACTGCCAGTTCGTTGTACCTTGTCGTCACGTTCCAGCGTTCTTGTATTCATAGTGTTTTTTATCCTGACCTCGATAGCCTTTTGCCTCGGCTTTTGCCTCTTGTTTTTGATGCCTCTTTCTGTGCTGATTGATTGCCGTCTACCATATCTGGACTAAATAAACCTGATTTTTGCCTTTGAGGACTGGATTGTGTGTTCTGCATTTGGGTCCCACTGTTGGTATTTGTTCATGACAGCACTCTAGAAAGTAAGTTGTGATATCATTTTGCCTTTTCTACATTAAAAAAAAAAACATTGTTGGAGTTTGTATTTTAGGTCCACTATATTTTAGAAGAAGTGATTTCATGCATTCAGGGATGCTGATCAAGGGTCCTTATCCACTCACTGTGTTTTTTGCACTAATAATCTTCACAATCCAACTATTGAGTTTTAAAGCCGAACTGTAACAACACTTTTTTGAGGACACGATTTCAAGTTCCAGAGCAGGACTTTATTTCTAATTATTTTTACTCTTCTTTATCAAGGCAGAGCACTTAAAACAGACTTTACTGTCAATAATCTGGGGTAGAAGGGCCACGGGACAAATCCGTAACCTTACAACAGTAAGCACCCATGAGAAGGGCTCATAGAAACTTGTTTGTGCCACCAGCTCATAACAAATTAATTGGATACAGAAATAAGGAGAAATTTGTAAGAGGCTCTTAATTTTTTCAAAAGATAGATCCTCAAGGTCTTTGTCAAATATAAAGTTCCACTCACCACATTTTTACAAGAGCTCCATTTGGCCTTCTGTATGAATACGCTTTCATATTTGCTTACACTCACATTGAATAAACTGTTCAAAACTGTTCAGAAAAGGGAAAAAAATCACGCTTCAATATTTGAATTTTTGATTAAAGGAATTCCACTCCTAACAGTGTTTACAGTCTCTTTGTTTCTGAAGCTCTTTGGCCAACATGAGCTGCATTTTAAACTTTACTTTTGATTTGAACTCACACATTCATCACAGCCCAACACAACGTCAATCTCTGTGCCACATGGTGATGAGCAAGGAGCCAGCACAGCAAGCGCCAGGTTATCCTGTTTATCAAACCAGAAAAGCTCCCTTTACTAACTCCCCTTGGCAAACATTGGAAAATAAACACTTTAATTCAAAATGCATCAGCAAAAAAAACATGTCATCCAAAACTGACCAGACAACAAGTTGAGCTGACATACTGACAGCAGCAAGAGAGAAAACAAGCAGCTCTAATAGCGAGAAGTCATGCCTGCCTGGCACACACAAAAAGATTTTTAAAAACGTAACCAATTTTTAAAACATCAGGGACCCCACACAAAATAAAACAAGATGACAGATTTGTTGCTACAGTAGGTGGTGTGCAACAGCATACACAAGGACTCTTTTCAAAAGCAAAATGAGTCTGAACAGTCAAAGCTGAAAACCCCGGAGAGTTTGTCGTTGTCAAACGTGACTTTAGATGTTTACAACCGTTGCCATGGTTGTATTCCTTATGCCTCCTATTTTAGTAATCTCCTACTCCCTAGCAGATGAAAATAGGCAGAGTCTCAGTCTTCCACAGTGTTCCCCCTGTACATTGGGATTTTAGAGAAGTATAAAACTAATGTAATATTTAAGATTTCAAGTCAGAGAGATCAGATCATCTTCTGCTTTGAAAAAGGCGACAAAAATCCCTCATAACACAACTCATACCACCGAAAAAATCAGATGGTTTGGACTCAGAAGTCAACATTGAGCATTAACTGGCATTCACATATTGATGCATGCTAAAGAGACACCGAGTCCATGTTTTGGTTTGACACATTACTGAGTCTAACAGATCACAGTAAACTCATTTGACACCTGCTTATCGAGGATAATTCATGATTTGTGATGACATTAACACCAAGATCCCTGAGTTTCCAATGAAAGTGCCAAACAGTGCCAAAGGAAAATGAGTGACTGTTTTCTGAGGTTCCACCTACGTGACACGACCAGTCATCACCGGTAAATCAGAACAGAGTGTACTCGAGGATGACAGAGAAGAGGGTAGAGAAAGCGGAGGAAAGAGGAGGGAGGACAGAGTGACAAAGGAGGGAGTTGGACAGAAAGACACAAAGAGGTGCGAGGATGTTATGATGACAAAGTTTCAGACCGTGGCTCAGAATATGAAAGTGACGCAATTAGAAGAAAAACGTAAATAGAAGGCAAAGATCCACAGACCTCATGTCGTCATTTGGTTGAAGCTTGTGATGTAGAAAGTTAAATGGTGTATTGTTATGCAGTAACTTCAATCACAAATATGTCAGGTTGATGATGAGTACGTATGTGATCCTTTTGCGGCAAATTTGGCTTTATTGACTTCCTACAACTTTGACATGAATCTCCATGAAGAATTGTCATCTCTGGGTTTTTATCAACCCAGAGATGACATTACATGGTCTCATGACCAAATCATTATAAAGAAAAACTTGAATTTATTGAAATATTAAAGATACCTCTGAATCGAACATGATCAAGCCTTATCAGTTTTACTCAAATAAAGGGTTTTTTAAATCTCTTTCTTGTAGTGGGGTAATATGAGGTGCTTTGAGAGTGTGAGACCTTGTTTATTCCTACCATAGTCACATATCTGGATGACATGATTGCATGTGAGCAGCCTTAATTCCCAGTGGGAACACTCATCAATGCACGCTGAGATCTGATCACTCAGTCCACCTATGGAGGCAGTCTTAAAGGGATTTGTCCATATTAGTCTGGCAGTGTGTATGCTCATGTGTTCTGAGGAGAGACTGAAAAAGGGAGATGGAGGAAGAGAGAGATGAACAGAGGAGAGACTGGTGGAGGGAGTGGAGGAAAAGAGGCAAACAGAGGTGAGACTGATGCATGATGAGTCAAAGCAGAGGAACCTACAGCATGATGGAGCGCCAGGACTCCCAGAATAGACTGTGGTTAGTTACTCTATTGTACAT